TCTCTTTTTTCTCTTTTACTTTCTGTTTTTCTTCTTCTACGCACTAATATATAGAGTGTATGATACTGATTTGAGACAGCCGATGAGAACCCTGTCTGGGTCGCAAATCGCGTTGGCAAGTGGTTGCAGACCGACAGCTCACCATTGAATAATACTGATCTGTCCTGGTTTGCGGGCGAGGCCACTATTACGATTGGGTACTTTGGAACATATAGAAACGCTGATCTAGCAGGATTTACCGCTCGGTAGAAGATTCATAGATTTCCCAGACCATTACTCAGGCGATTCACTGCCGACAAACCACCAGTGCAAATTAGGCTTTATAGCATGCTATTCGAATTTATGTTCAATACACATAGAGTTCTCGCATAATGATAGAAGTCCGTATAGTAATTTAATATTTCTTCTTTCTGTTTCTCTTTTTCTAGTTTTTTACAATTTATATATTTTTTCAATGTCCTCCCCTAGAACCCTGGGCAAGAAAGGTTTATAGAAGCCATAGCATTGTGTCTACATGAAAAATAGTACATAAAACCTTAAAAATAAGCAAAGGGTAAATGATCTCATGGAAAATTTCCTCAGTCAAATTTGAAACCAGCATAGTCATCCGCCGCAACCTTTTTGAGAGTCTTGTAGTAATTATCGACGCCACCCAAATAAATCAAGGGTTCCCTCGGCTTGCCCTCAATGTTGTCTCCCATATACCACTAATAAATGATGTTAGTACACCTCTGAAATAGATACTCCATGGTGTGATACTGACCGACTTGGCCTTTGGCAACAGTGTCGAATACGCAATGTTCATGACCGTGTCCCTCCACTCGTCTTCAGCCTTCTTCTCTGCCGTGATCTTGTTGAGCCCACTGCTGTCGACGCGTTTGACTGCGTCGACGATCCAGTCTCCTTGGACTTGGGCACACACGGGACCATTGCAGAAAGCTGTCGGGCCTTGAGGCGCGTAGGTCATGAACATGTTGGGAAAGCCGGCCACGGTGATACCGAGGAGCGTGTGGGCGCCGTCTTTCCAGTAATCGCGCAGCGACTGGCCCGTGGCGCCGCGTATGTCGATTTGGGTGAGCCCTCCCGTGACGGCATCGTAGCCTGTGGCGGTGATGAGAACATCGATTTCGTGTTCCTTTTCAGACGTCTTGATTCCCTTCTCCGTGATCTCTTTGATTGGAGTGGCGTTGACGTCTACAATGTTCACATGGGGCTCGTTGAAGATTTCAAAGTAACCCTGCTCGAGGGAGATTCTCTTGCAACCAAAGGGGTAAGGCTGCTCCATGGGCGCGAGAATGTCTTGGACGCGAGGATCATTGATCTTGGCGCGAGTCTTGTCGCGCCAAAAGTTGTAGGCCTCGCGGTTGGCTTCGTCATTGAAGAGCATGTCATTGTACGTTGCCAGCCAGTAGTGGAAGTCGCCGTGTGCCCAGAGATCCTCATAGACCTTTTGGCGCGTCTCCGGGTCGTCGTCAAATGTATTGCGGCCCAGGAAATGGAAGTCAAACCCAGTGAAGCATTCAGTGCGACCTTTGAAGAGCCTGGGATATTCCTCCCGGGGGTGGTTCTGCTTGTCGCCGTGGAAGTTTGCTTGCACCATTGGCATACTGGTATTGATTGACCGTTGGAAGACGGTGAGTTCACTGACAGCAGATGCCAAGTTGGTAGCTATTTGGACTCCGGTAGACCCAGTTCCAACCAGGGCAACTTTCTTGCCCTTGAGGTCCAGTCCTTCATGTGGCCAGTAGGAAGGATGTATAATCAGTCCCTTGAAGCCTTCAAGTCCTTTCCAGTCGGGTACATGCCGCTTAGCAGCAAACCCGGTGTTCAAGGAAAGGAACTTGGCTCGGAACAAGCCGCCCTCTCGTGTCTTGACAGTCCATTTGGATTGGGCCTCGTCCCATGTGGCAGATTCCACAAAGGAATTGAATTGAGTATCCTTTCTGAGATCCCACTTGTCGGCGACGTAGTCGAAGTAGGCGCGCAATTCTGTATGATCGGGGAACCTCTGCTTCCACGACCAGTCTTTCCACAGCTCTGGCTTGTCAAATTCGTAGAGAGGGGTTGGGGTATCAACGCGCGCGCCCGGATAGGCATTCCAGTGCCAAACCCCGCCATATCCGGTTCCGGCCTCGAGGATTTTGACCTTGTAGCCCTCATCACGGAACCTCTTGAGTTGGTATACTCCCCCGAAGCCTGCACCGACCACGACCACATCGAGTTCAACCGCGTGGCTCATATTGATATCACCTGAGTCAGAAGCCATTGATGTTGTCCAGTCCTGGAAGAACAAAAATGCTAAACACCGTAGCAGAAGAGAGACGATCGCTTGTTAATATTGAGACAAGGTTTATATATAGTATATGAAATTCAGAATGAGTGAAATTGATATGAACGGCGAGGTCAAGCTTTGTACATGGATGGATCAAGGCTCGGAGAATTTTCTATGGTATATATACCAAATGATGAGATAACCAGTCCAGGATGTAGTATTGAGGTCATTTATATATCTTTCCAGTCCGAGCTTGCCCAGATGGACCCCAAGTCCATTGGAGATGATTAAATGCGGAGTTCTATGCCGACGCAGTGGTGTTACTAATATAGGGAACAGCAGCCGAGATTCTGCTGAGAAACTTGGTTATCGATGTGACTTTTTAATATAATATGCCGCACTGATGTGGGTAGGGCCCACGGCAGCTCCGCTGTATTTTGATACATTAGATAGATTTTCAATATTGTCTTTTGTTGCTCCATAGTAAGATCCCAGTATTCTTTCTAAAGTCTTACATGCAGATCAAGACGGCAAAGATATAACTAGTTTCTGAAAGGAGTTGGTTTCAATTGCACCACTGGTTACTCAAGCTTCCCCATCAGTCGTATCTATTGGTTTATTGGTTAAGACATATTGGGCCTTGTTCAATGCTGCATGTGTCGTTCGTGAATGAGTAATACCCCGCCGAGGGGAACAGGAAAAGTCGCACCACAAAGATGGAGTAGGTGTGCTGCCTGGTGATTTCCTACCCTGTCAATCGCAAAATGTCACCCCGTGAGCGATTGTTGGCTTGTCGATGACGAAGCAACTTTTTACACCGAGTAAGCGCTATTGGGCTTATAGTCATTCGCACTCTGGTCGCATCGGAGTTCCTTGGCAGAGCTATAGCAGGTTTCAATCCCGAGCGGACGCTTTTGCCATGAAGTGAGGCTCTCATCACTGATATTATTAAGCACACTTCCGTGGCAGGATTACTCGAAGTATCCAGTACATAGTTTCCGCATACCTGCACGGGGTAGATGCGCCACCAAACTGGCATACCGTGTAAAGGCTGTGAATCTTAGACAAAAGCAGTATTCCAGTACTAGTGCTGATATATGAAGATGCTTGAATCCCTCTCTGATGTGTTCTTGGTTATTACCGATGCTCAGGCGATAATAATAAGTGGCGCAAGACGGCTGTGAAAACGACGGAGATCAGTCGGAGGGTGTAAGACTCCCGATTGGTATTGCAATGCAATGTCTCAGAATGTTTGCACAGGTCCGGCTGAGCTGATCCGTGTGACAGCCTCCCTATCCACCCCTCATCTGGTGTCGACTCCAGCCACTTTGAGTAGCGAAGCTATCCAATAATACTGAGAGTGACATCCCCAATCCAGTTTGAACTCATTTGGTTGAGTAAATGGGTGGCGCTCCTGGTTTCGAGTGGGTTATGGGCGATCTAGGAGGTAGTTTATGGAATCCAGGTCCGTAGGTCAAACTTGCTTCTTCACAACGTGAGCCAATAGTCGAAGAACACTCGGGATCTTCTGAACATAGGAACCCTGTGGCTAAGCACGTGGTGTTCGATCTAGACCACGGGGGGGCATCTTCTCTACCACCACAGGGAAGGGGTCGTCAACAACAAGTGTTCAAAGTGAATACAGCCACGGCACGTCCCGTAGCATTTGCTGCAACATCCCGCGATCAGCATCCGCGGGAAATCGTCATGACTCGAAGAATACTTCTACATGCCAAATGATCCATCTGATTTACTCCCATACGAGGAGAGAGGATTCAGTGAGTATTTCTTGAACATGACATCGTATATTGGGCGCCGCATCGTTCTAAGAATGAAGAGGCTGAGAAAAAGCAGATTCCTCCAACGCCATGATTCAGCAACTCCTCTTTCTGAGTTCATCTGGGGCGATGGAGTCAGATCCAGATGCCGCCACCAGCAGCCATCTTTCTTCCTGCTGCCATCGGCAATATCTCGCTTTCGTAAATGATTCAAGTATAAAGACCCATCAAGTTGCATGGCGGTTCTGACAGAAAGAATCACTATAACCACGCTTCTTCTTAATCCAAGTTTCTACCACTTGATACAAAATACCTCCCGGCCAATTTACAACATGTGCGCATTTTTACGGCTTGTTCCCATAGCCTTCCTGGCGACTGGAGTCTTCTCCGTGCCTGCTACAAACGAGGTTCTGGTGGCCAAAGCCGTGACGCCTGGCTTCACGTACAAGGGCTGCTACTCTGAGCCTCCCGGTGGTCGAGCCATTGAACTCAAGAGCTACTCTGACAACAAGAACATGACGACTGAGTCTTGCGCCGCCTTTTGCGATGATTACCAGCTCTTTGGCACCGAGTACGGCGAGCAGTGCTTCTGCGGCAATGTACTCGCGGCCGGCTCAAGCCCAGCAGACGGCTGTACCATGAACTGCACTGGTAACAACAGCCAAAAGTGCGGCGGTCCAGCCAGACTCAGCTGTAGGCAAATTTATATTCTCACACCAACCATCAGAGTCCATCCACGTTGAGACTTTGGAACGCTAGACTAATCACATTCATCAGTGTACAACAACACCAACTACCGCGCCCCCTCAGTCGCCACCATCCCAGGCTGGACCTACCAAGGTTGTCACACCGAAGGACCCAACGGAGCACGAGTACTAAGCTACCGCAATCCCCAGGACGTTTCGACGCCTCAGGCCTGCACCAGCGCCTGCGGCGCCGCGGGCTACCGTCTCGCCGGCGTCGAGTACGGCAGCGAATGCTGGTGCGGCAACACGCTCCAGGGCGGAAGCTTTGTGGACACGGACTCGCAAACCACCCAGTGCAACTTTCGCTGCGCGGGCGACAAGTACTCCTTTTGCGGCGCCGGGAGCCGGCTCGTCGTCTACGCCGCCGTCACGGCCGCGGACGTTGCCGGATGGCGGTACCAGGGCTGCTATGTCGATAATGCCGGTGGCAAGCGCAACTTGGACGCGCTGTCGTCGTATACAGATGACAACACGGCCCAGTCTTGTGCTTCCTTTTGCTCTCAGTACAGCTACTTTGGCGTCGAAAACGGCAACGAGTGCTTCTGCGGGCTATCACTCAACTCGACCTACACTCCAACGTCCAATTCATCGTGCGCCAAGCCCTGTAGCGGTGACAAGAACCAGACCTGTGGAGATTTCGGCTTCCAGTCCATCTATGAATCTGTCCCGCTCAAGCCGGCGCCGTCGAACCAGGCTGTAGTAGCGGGCAAGTTCAACTACAAGTTCTGCTCCTTTGACGACAACAACGCGCGAGTGCTTGCCGCCAACACCAATGCCAATGATGCCATGACGGTAGAGATGTGCGCTGCCTTCTGCAACAGCTACAGCTACTTCGGTGTCGAGTACGGCAAGGAGTGCTATTGCGGCGACAGCTTCAGCGGCTCACCAGCCCAGGAAAAGGACTGCAGCTACCTCTGTCCAGGAAACTCAACCGAACTCTGTGGCGCGGCAAATAGAATCAATATCTGGGGTCCTGCCACGGCGACTCTGATTTGAACAGGAGGCACCGTGATTTGCGGCTCAGTGAGGAACGATGCTCAATCGTCGAACCTCGAGGACTTGCAACAGATTGTCACAGCGTAAAGTCGACGTATGGATATGCTATACTGTGTCACATGGTTAATGGAACTGCAAAAGTGATGAGGTTAAGACGGCGGGAATGTAATAATAATCAATGCCAAGCTGTAGACTGTTTTTTACACTTCCGCAAAGAATGCCTAACCTAGGCTGCCGGTGTCAAGTACTACAATACAATGTGGGTCGCAGACTTTTTTGCTTGCCCTTCTGGACAAACCGAATGCAGACATCTACTTTACCTGTAGAAAAAAAAAACGCCAGTTCTTCGCCGCCTCTAGCCCTTCTGCGGCTTGGAAGAACTTCAAGTGTCGAAAAAAACAAATCCCCCCTTGCGACCTCATAAGTATAGTAAATCCAACACGAATGATCATCTGATCGTTACCAGTCGAAACCTGACACATAGTCTCTGCATCGGCTGAAAAAAACAACTCCAGCATCACGTTCTTGTAGCTGACCACGCCACACAGAACGAAATCGAGAACTCTACTCGCTCCTCACTCCTCACCTCACACAGTTGGCGTTGCGCGCCTACCTAGGCACGTAACCTGCAGCGTGACCAGTACCGTTCTTCATACCATAAGCCGTGGTATATCTTATACCATTCACCGTGTACCCTATATTTTGAAAAGGTATTTGCTGTACAAAAGGGGGTGATTGTATGCCTAACCGTGAATAACCATGAGAAAAGTTCGATGCTGGAAAGTGAGCATTCTATGCTTGCTTTTGTGCGTCTACCGGTGTTTCATTGGCCGAGACAGGCGTGCCATTAGCTGCAGGAATCTGCGATAATGCCGGCGAGTTAACCTGCGGCTTGGGACTAGGGCTAGGTGTGTTGTAATTCACTGCTCCCGGCACGGGTGGGCGGGCTCCTCCAAGTCCAATACCTCCAAGCCCAACAGGGGCAGCAACAGGTTGCCCTTGCGCTGAGGGGGGTCGGGCAGTCTCTGGTGCTTTAGGTGTTGCATTAAAACGGGCTTTAGCTTGATTCATTGCTTGTTCAACCTGATGGGGATGGAGAGAGGTTTGGAATGCCAATGTTTGTTGAGCATTCTGTTGTCCTTGGCCGGGCGGAGGAGGCGGCTGCGGTGCTGGCGCCTGGGGTGCACCCGTCGGAGGGTAGTAGTGCTGCCGTGCGTTCATGGTTACGGGTGGCGGACCGCCGTACGAGGCCCTCGACGGCGTGGTATTAGGATTGAAATTTTGATGCGGGGCGAACTGGGGCTGTTGGTGAGCTACCTGTGGGGATACTGCTGGTCTTGGAGGCATACCGGGCGCACCATTAGGAGTATACTGATTGAACTGCGGTTGAGGGGTGCCAGGCTGTTGCTGCTGAGGGTAACCAGGTTGTTGGTAAGCTGGTACTTGACCAGGCGGCGGCTGGTTGGCGTAGCGCGGGGGCGGAGGGTGGCCACCCATGTTTTGGTATTGGGGGCTTGGCTGGTACTGTGTTCGGTTGGGCGGAGGAGTGGCAGCAAATGAGTTCGGCGGAGGCGGGAATGACTGAGGAGTTCTACCCATGTTCTGTGCGTAATTTGTGTTTGCGCCATAGCCATTGGTAGGTCTGTAACCTGCGTTCGAGGGAGGCCGTTGCTGGGTGTATGGGGGCATGTTGGGTGGTGGGCGCGCAACGTTTGCTGGGGGCCGGATCGGAGTCTGTGTGCCATAGTAAGCTGGACTCGGCACAGCCGGTCGCGGGGTCGATCCGTATGAGCCGCCATATGTCGCGTTGTTGGTGGAGCTCGAAGAACGATGAACTGCGGGACGAGGAGCGGGAGAAGGTTGTTGAGCGGCCCTTGCTCGCGCAGCTGCCTCATCCTCCTCCATCGTGCCCTGGTATTCATCGGTGCGCACCTCAAGCCTGGTACTGATGCTCAACTCTTCCAGCTTGTCTGAGTTAAGACGTGCTACAGCATATGGTGGCAGCGTTGCGACAATAAGCGCAAGTTGTGCTTTCAAGGCGTCGTAAGTTGCAGTTTCGTCCTCACTTGGCTGCGCCGGAGTGCCATTGTTGAGCATGTCATTGCTTGTCGGATCCGTGGCATATCGACTTTGGTTTGCCGCAGAAGGCAGGGTAAGGTTACGGATCTTTTGGAACGAGACAAGAGTCTGGATCATGTCGGACACATCTTGCAAGATGTCGTCCACGTCTTGCTCTTCCTTGGACTTTTTCGGGTTGCACATCTCTTCCAGACTGGGGTCAATGTTGGTATCCCAGTTCTCAATGGCTTCTTGCAGAAGCTTCTCGTCCAGTTCAACATGGGGACTTCCATTGGTCTCATCCTCCCCAGTCTCTTCGCCAGATTCATTTTCGATGAGGCGATCAAAACTGCGCTTTCCGTATTTCTGCCACCACATGGTCTGGCTGATCAGGCCAGAAGAGACCATGGCAGCCGAGTCATCCTTGGACGGAGCAAAACTCGAGAAGGCGCCACGGAACAAAGCGTCCATCTCGCTGCTCTCGGGGTGAGAGGGGGGCTGTTTGCCAATGCCAGCGAGGCTCATTGCTCTCTCCCTCTGCTTGGTAAGAATCTGCGACGGCGGAGCGGCATTGCTGTAGTCCAGCCAGCGGCCGGTGGATATAGATTGGCCAGAGTACGAGCCAGTGCGGTACTTGGACTTCTCAGTCAGCTCAGGGCGATGCCAGCCCACTTGAACGCCCTTGGTGGTACTTTTGGGTGCCTTGGGCGGTTGCAGAGTCGGGAGGCTTCGTGGAGCTGGAAACAGCTCGCCCAAGGTTTTTGACCTCTTGTCTTTCTCAACGGCTGACGGGAACGAGAAGGGAACGGCCTTGGCCGTCTTGACACCAATCGGCAAGTTGCTCTCGCGGAGGGGTTGTACTGCCCCAAGAGGATTGTCTGGAGTTTTGACTGGTTGCTGCAAACTCGTGTACAAGTGACGGGGTCGCGGGGCTTCGCCGAAGATTCTCATTACCACATTTCCAGTTGCGTTTGACTGCAGGTCACTGGACGGGTCAAATTCTCGGAGGATCGAGGGATTCTGCGTTGTGCTAGGATAGCTTATCTCACGGCGAAAGAGCTCGCGCGCCTTTCGATCAAAGGCGATGGTTTTGGCGAGGGCTATATCGGTGTCCTTGGTCACCTTGTCGGCATCAAGGTTGCGCAATTGATCCAACTGGTCCTTCACCGAGGCCTTGATATCTAACATGACAGCCGACAGGTCAGCATACTCACCCTTGGCGGCCTTGTCGGTGACTGATGGTTGCGTCGAACCATCTTCGGACTTGTTGCGCTTTGCTGATGGCTCATCCGAATCCTCTGGGTCGGGAAGCGGACGCTTCAGTAACGATGGAGTGGCATCAAAGCTAGAGTGGAGGAGAAGGCGTTAGCAAGGTCTATCCGAAGCCGAATGTATCGGAGTATGGTGGTTGAGCAGTTTCAGATGAATTGAAATAGTTTTGCGTGCAACTTACGGCTCAAGGACGACAAGGTAGTCACGAATAAGAGCCTGTTGGAATTCGTGAGATTGCGAATCGCCGTTTGCAGTGGATTGGAGCTGAACATCGTGGGCGATGCCATTAATGCTTGGCTCGCGTTTGCGCTTGATGGAGGTTGTGGACTGCGCATCGGCCATTTCGACATCGTCGCGCGGCTGCGAATGCGCAGGCTCCTCGTCGGGGACGCCATTCGGCAGCGCGACGGCTGGCGAGGCCATGTTTTTGGGGCGGGCAACGCAGCTTTTGGACGATGCCCCGTTCGTGTGCACAATGAGCGCTGGGCCGTCGTGTGCCTTGTTGTTGTTGCTGCTGCTGTTGTGCGGGCCGTAGGCGGATCGCCGTGGGTAGGTGATGGTGGACTTTCTTAGTTCGTCGCGTTTGATGCTGCGTCGCGTAATTGTAGGTACGGGCACAGGTCAGGTAGCGGGTGGTAGGGGGAAAAAGGTCGTGGATTTGATTGATTGAATGACTGGCCTGAACTGGAGTTGGGGCAGCGACCGACTGGGCGAAAAAAAATTATGGACCTAGCCGTGCCAGGGAGGAAATACCAGCCAGCCAGCCTTATTTTTCCCATTCGGCTCACGGAAGAGAAGGGAAAGAAATCGGCCAAATCCACCGCAGCATGACATACGCAGATACCAATGCAATGCAGCGCAACTGAACCCAGCCTTTGGCAAATAATCTGCTGATTTTTGAGATTTAATTCGATTCCTGGGCGAAGGGCGAAAGATGAGAGAAAGAGGCAATTTGGCTTTTGTATTTGCATTTGTCCAGTCAAGCGCTGTTGCAACGAAAGAATGTCCCTTCCCTCAACCTTGAGAGCATGGAGATGGGGCTAAGCCGTATTGGGGTCTAGCGTGAGAGCTCTAACTGAGGACCCGACGGTCCGACCTCACTGGGCTGGAACCTGCGAAGTAGGTACCCAAGTACCTACCCGACTTGTTTGCAGGCAACGGCAAAATGGTTTTTCCCTCAGGATCTCCCCTCCATGGAACATTGATTGCGGTTGGGGAGGGCTAGATGGAATGCCCGGACTACATTATGCACTACCCAGCACTGCTATACCTACCTGCACTTCTATAGCTACAGGTATCGAAACCCTTGAGGAGGATGACCCGTTATATAATATTATAACCCCTCCACCCGCAAGCTATTGAGATGAGTGCATTCAACCTAGATAATAACAGTCGATTGCTGCTCAAGACTTTTCCTAGCTTGATGCCAATCTTGATATTATTTCCTTTGTTGCCAGGCTCACTCGCTTTACATCCAATCCTGTCCCAGGCCCTGTGATACCCGGCCTCTCGGCGTCTACTCTGTACATAGGAAGCAAACATCATTTGGATTCACCCACCAAAGGGCCCCTCCCTCCCCTTCTGATGCCGCATCACACATGGCTGGGTCAAGAGTGGCCACGCTTCAATGCAAGTAATGTGCGGCTAAAGGATCCGGCTTGGAGTTTTGTCTTGACTCCCACATCTTCTCATGATCTCCTACAGCATCCACCAACGTAGCTCGTCGCAAACCTGCCTATATTGTCACGCACCGCACACACAAGCTGGGTCCTTTAGAAACGCCTTGCGATCCCAATGCCTCGGCAACTGCATCATCTCTCGGGAACTCCCACACCTACATATCCAAATAGAGCACTAAGCCGGATGTTTGATCGACAGATGCATCACCGCATCTGCCTTTGCTGCCTTGCCTGCATCTTTTTTGCCCGGCTCTTCCCTTGTTATGCACAAATCCTATTCTATCCTAGTCTCCGTACAGCGCCGGGCGGATCACAGGTCCAAAAATTGTACGGTCGCAGCTCAAGGGACCAACACGCCTCAAAGCAGTGCACTTTGCATAACATCTTGGTAACACGGAGTTACAAACTAAGTCAAGCGGCATCGCGTACCAGTAGATTCCCATGAACGAGATCAGACGATGTCCTCGCATATCGAGATCCCGCTGCTTCGTCCCGTGCGATCTCGCGGCCGTCCGGAGTGTCGGCTCTAGACCCCTGGTTGTCCAAAGAGCACCCTGCTCTATAGCAAATGCCCTTTTCCCACGGCGACAGCTTTTGCTTCAGACGTGATCACGGCTGGATTTCCTACTCTCGTAAACAATCCGACCACCTAGCACAGCATAATACGCAAGGGACCCCAGACCACACATGAAGATGCGCTGGCATCGAGATATGTGCATGTATGGTCGTTGTCATCGTACGTTATAGTCCTATAAGTGACGAGCAATGGCTGTCTCTTTCGTCTACTCTCCCCGGATCCACATCAGTCAACTTTTGCTCGGCGATTAGACGGGCACACATGGCCAACCTGCTGGACTTTGAGATCTCTAGGGTCACTCCGGACCAGGTCAGGACAGTCAAGGACGCTGAGAAGCTCGTAGCCGTCTTGCATGCAGCTACCAAAGATGGCATCTACGAGCAATTTAAATTGTCCTTTGCAGAATGCTTCAAAGATGTTGTGGTCTTCAACTCCGGGATCTTCCAAATTGCTCGTCTCAGGAATGATGCCGAAGATCAAATCATAGGAGTCGCATTCATCAAATTGCGCTTTGGAGGCTCTCGGGACCCTGGGTGGGACTTTGTGGCAACGAAACGCCAGGCAGAAGTCCACAACAATATCTTCGCATCCGGACCTGATATGGCCCGGCCACTCTTGAGGGAATTCACCGGTGATCCAATCTTGACGCGGTTTGCAGAATGCGTCGAGGCTCGGGGACAGAGGTTGATCGAGATGGATGAAGACATTTTAGGTGAGCCTACATTTGTTCCTCTGCATCTGGCACGTCACTCACAAGCGATATATCCCCCTGTAGTTATTGAACCGGTTTACATTTTGCCTCAGTATCAGCATGTCGAAGGTCTAGCAAAAGCCCTGTTAGCACCAGTCTTGGAGCGGGCCATCGCACAGAACGTGAGGGTCGTGGCATACAATCACCGGCATCGTCATGACTATTCGCACCCTACTCTTTTAGCGCCCGAGTTTCGACTTTTGTATGCGGATATTCGAGTCGTGGTACACGTTGACACCAAAGAAACTCCGGGTTGGAAGGGCGATGAAATTACCTGGGACTGTGAATTCCAGTGGTTCACTATTGACAACATGCGGCCTTCAACGAACCTTGTAACAGTCGAGAGTTTATGAGTAATTGTGACAGACTTCATAATGGCTCGGGGGAATAATTCATGTCCGTACAATCGTCCTACGATAAATTTATATTTGATTTATTTCGATTTAGAATCGCGATATAAGTCCTTATGAGGGTCTCAGAGAACTTGAAGGTTATGTTTTGCGATGTTGTAGTGGGTATGTGCATAGAGTGGACTTGCTATTCGTTGATCATTGGATATGACAGCTCATAAATCTGTCGATCTCTCCATCGACTCTGCAACAAATCAGTGTAACGAATGATTGAATAGAATACAATAACACGGGTTGAATAATCATTTGGGGGCAGTAATTACTCATGTGCAATTGGGAGCGTCTCCGAGAGTTATCTCCGAGGGTTCATACACCGCGCCTTTCACAGTATATTACCACTATAGCATACCATAGACACCCCAGCGCTTCCCCAACGCTTTCCAAGTGCTGACAAGCAAAACATGATTTTCGATACGCCCATGCATATCGATACGCCTATGCAGGAAATCCATTACAATCATCTCCCATAATGGCATGCCTAGCATACATCGACCGGATAATCAGCCCAATCGGTACAAGTATCAATCTTACTGCGGCGGCAGTTCGCCTCTTTTCGCAGTATCAGCGGTTATACTCCATAAACCCCATGCACAGAACCCACTATATCATATCATGCTTTGCCCCAACGAGATACAACTACCGTCGTAGCAGACGAATAAAACATGAGCAATTGGCATTTGAGGGGATCTCCCCAGGCCGTCTGCTTGCAGACTTGGGTCACCTCGGCAACTACTCTCTATAAAAAATAACATCACTTCCTCAAGAGCCCTCATCCAAAGATACCTAGACATCATTATTTGGAATTTGACTTGAAAACTCTTCACTCGCTGAGATGGCAAACAGCTCGGAGCCCTCCCCGGCATCGCTAGCTGATCCCCTATTGCGAGAACGGTGGCCCTATACCGCTGGCATCGCAGTTGCATTGATCTTAATTGTGCCGCTGATCAAATGGATATTTGCCACCTTGAGACCAAAGGACTTCCCACCTGGTCCGCCCGTGATACCAGGCCTCGGGAACCTGCACCAAATGTCGCCCACCAAACCGTACCTTCAGTTCCACGAATGGTCAAGGCAATACGGTGACATTGTCGGGCTCAAGGCGGGAACAGCTAACCTCGTCCTCCTCAATACCCCAGAACTGGTCCATGAGCTCTTTGACAAGCGCGGCGCCATATGCTCCAACCGTCCCATCAACCATATCATGACCAAATATGTCCACTCTGACCCTGAAGAGAAGGGTATCGCCATCTTGCAATACGACGACTACTACAGGCGCTGGCGCAAAACTTTCCAGTTCATCCTGGGCGCCGCCGGTATCAAGCGGCTTCTCCCTCTTCTGGAAGCCGAGGCGTCGAGCTTGTGTCGCAAACTGCTCGACGGCGGAAGAGACTATGAGGAGTGCGCCCGGCATTGGGCGCTGGCGGTACCTCTGGTGGCCACGACCGGCGAGCGCCTCGAGGATGCACCATCCGACTATACGGAGAAGCTGTACCACGCGCAGGATGTGTTACTCCCTCTAATCCTGCCTGGCGCCGCGCCTCCAGTGGACATCTTTCCCATCCTGAAATACGTGCCTGGATTCTTGGCCAAGTGGAAGGGTCGTGCGCGCTATGCCAGTAAGTGCATGCGCGACGATGCCAACAACCACCTCATGGGTGCAAAGAAGACGTATCAGCAGATCCTGAAAGACCCCGACTCTGTTAGGTTCGATAGTCTATTACCCAAGATTATGAAAGAACAAGACGATGGAAATACCAAGGACAAGTTCACGGACACCAATTTAGCATTCATCGGGTCAGCCGCTGTTGGAGCAGCAGTGGACACGACCATGGCGACCTTCGAGAGTCTCATGGTTGCATTCGCAGCCTTCCCAGATAAGCTTGCCAAGGCCCAACAAGAGATTGACAATCTGTCCTTGAACGAGCCATTGAGCGGTGATCGAATCGGCGAGCTAGTATACCTCAAGGCGTGCATCTCAGAAGTAAGACGAGTGCCGCCCTCCTACCACTTTCGAAAGTATATATATATATACTAACAGCATTAGGTTCTGCGCTGGCGCCCTACCACACCGCAAGCTCTCCCTCACGTTCTTACACGGGACGAGCGAGTGGGCAAGTACGCCTTTCCTGGCGGCACCATGTTCATTGCCAACGCCTGGACCATCCACCGCAACGAAGAAGAATATGATCGGCCCGACGAGTTTATTCCTGAGCGCTTTCTGGATAATCCTTTTGGACTTCGGCCCTCGTACGCGACCCAGGACCTGGAGAAGAGCGGGCGCAGAGCCCTATACGCGTTTGGGTCCGGGCGCCGCCAATGCCCCGGGGAACAGTTTGCATTCACATCGGTGCTTCTGGCTGCTTCCAAGCTTATCTGGGCCTATGACATACTGCCTCCACCTCATGGTCTGGATATCAGCATTGAGAATGGATTCAAGGACGGTGTTGTTTTGCAACCGCTTCATCCCGAGGTTATTTTCAAAATAAGAAGTGAAGGGAGAAGAGCAGCCGTGCTGGCTGACGCTGATCGCACAGCGGAAATAGCACGAGAGCTACAAGCATAGGTAGATAGATAATTGAAGGAGTGTCAAGTGTACAAAGTAAAAACAGGGAATTTTGCAAAAAGTTGGACCTCTCGATCGGGGAATTGAACCCCGGTCTCCAGCGTATTGAATGATGGTTCAATGACAAGCTGGCATACTGACCACTATACTAATCGAGATGCGACTGTCAGAATAGATTGTTGTAAATCTCTTTTGATTGGTTGTTGGCTTGTTGCTTTACAAACATTTATAATAGCTTGCCAGAATCTCCACTTGGTCAACGCCGGATCCATTTGCCATAATTACCTATATACCTAGCAATAACTATAGCCCCTCAATATCACCATACAAATCTTTCAATTAATATAATCAGTTTATGATGAAGTGTTCATGTAACATTCACAAAATACAATATCTATAAACAATTCAGTTATGTGCTGCAAGAATTATAACTTACCATCACGTGCATCTGTATACACGCGGTCTTATGCCTTCACGTATGTATGATGCGATCGATTTTCAATACGCACCACATGAGTCGTCAAATTAAGACGCGAGAAGTAACAAAACAAAATACTACCATGGATGCCAAACAGTTGTATGGTGCTTTCAGGCTTTGTTGAGCTAAGCCTCGATCCATCTGAGCTGACATGATGGGCTTGCGAACATTGCAGACTAAGCCGCAATCCAGTGAGCGCATATGATGTGATGCTTTCTACCTCTTCGCCAACCTTCCTCTCTCTCTTTTTCTTTCTTTTCCCAAATTTAGGCGTCGCTGTCAATAAATCAATCTTATCATACTTTAGCACAGATCTCCGAGAGCCCTTTAGTGAAATTACAAGCAATTCTTTTTTAGTTCTTCCATTTGAAAACATCCCGCGCCGACATGAACATGGCTGTCAGAATATTGATATCAATGAGCCTAGCCAGATCCATCAATGCTTACTATACCTCAATTTCGGGCAACTTGGACTGGCAAGAATTCGGTCGTCCGTATGGTTTACCAGAGAGCGTCACGAAAGATGCACTGGAAAATCCGTTTGCTAGCAGTAACTACTCGACAGGTGCGTTACTCAACGAAACGGAACACTCCGTTAGCAGTTTACCTCCCAGTTTTATCACCACGGTCACCGTGATAGAACTGCCACTGGAGAAGAACAGCTCTCAAGCCCCGAATCAAGCCGCCGCCGACCTGATCATCTCAACCTCCAAGAATCAAGATGTGGACACTTCTGGCTGGGAAGTCTGCAATGTGGTTTTTCTATTTGATGACCTCCAAGCTCTAAATGACATGTTCGCTTCATCGGATGACGGAAGTTGCTCGCCGTTCACAAATGAGTGCATAAGCCAGCTTCAACTCTTGACGTGCGACGACTCTGGTTGGCCAACGGAATGTCCTGATGGGTCAGTTTCTGGCATAGCCTGGAGTAAGCTTTCCTCCCGCTCTCTTTTGGTCTCAGTACATGTCGTTTATCCTTCATGGTGGCCAATGGTTCAATTGCTAATGGAGCACAAGATGCCACGGCGACATCACTTCTCGAGGCAGATGCGTGGCTCAGCTACTATAGCAGTCCATATGATGCCAGTAACACGTCAGAAGTAGTCAAACTGGCCAACGCAGTCATTCCTGTTGTTCAAGTTTGGACCACCCCGGACAAATTGTTTAGTAGCACGGAAGTGCGCTGTCTGAGAGCAAGCAAGCCGTCACCAACATCATCTACCACCGGCACGCCGGAGCCAACTTCCAGCGCCAGCACCACGCAAAGCGGCAGTCTTGCGGTCCCGACTGCGGCATTCCAGAAGGAGTACTTAGTTGGCGCTGTGATGGCCGCCGCCGGGTATATTGCATATTGATCAAGTCCGTGGTTCCCGTGTAGTCCGCGGCACGACAAAGGTCCACTAACTCCTACCCTCTCTCGAAATAGGCCGTTACGAAATGTCATCTTCCAGAAGTCATGAGTACCCGCAATGGGATGGTCTATGTTGCCATTTCTTTGTCGAGATATTATTCAGAGCAGCGATGACCTATCTTTGACATGACAATGAGAAGTGAACAATGACATCCGAGCTCATAAACAACCAAAGCGAATGTCCTGTACTTCATGGCTTCGTAACATAAGCAACCATGACCTTGAAGCCAAGTCAAATCGAAGACATCAATATGCCAGGACTGTCCCAGTCGTTCCCATCTCTACCCGTCCCAGACAAGGAAGGGGTGTTTCACAATGATTCTCCTATGAAGCCAGATGCCTCTCGACAAGCATTACCGGCGCCGGTTATACGCATCCTGGCTCCAACACCAGAGGACGAGGAGCACGGTAGCGAGCCTCTGGCTGTGCGCCTAGCAACCTTGGCACTCAATAGCCATCATGACGAACCAGCTCAGGACGGATCCAGATCGTCGCGCCAACCATGAACAGACGAACTCGTCAAGCGGCCGCATTCGAGAACCAGCTATTTCATCGAGGACCTTGACTCGGACGAGCGGGACAGCGAGGATGACACATCCGACTCTGACACGTCGTCGGGATCCGAACACGAGTGGTCGGCAGAGTTATATAACATGCCGCCACCTCCACGAACACCGTCTCCGGCCGAGACAATACGGCCAATCCATTCGCGTTGCGACTGCAAAGCCTCTAGCAGGCACTCCACGTCTACCGATGCCAGCGAATGTGTGGCAGCAGCTTGCGAAGAGTGCAATTCCAGCAGCGTCTGCTTAGATAACTCACCTCTGCAAGATGGCGTCCAAGAAACCAACAACACTTCTGCAGCCGACTAAAGGCTATTTTGCGCTATCCGCAATAAAGGCTCGTAAAAGTCCTGGCCATGATAATAGATACCTAACTAAGCATGATATTCGGAATCCAATAAGCCATATCACATTTGTCATAAAATTAGTAGTATAGATCGAGTGTGATTCTACCTGCCTTGTTTACTGTATATCCACTGCATTGCCGGACAGGCCATATCCGCTATCTGAAAGCCACTCTCTGATGAGCACATCTGTCTCCTGCTCGGGAGCGGAAAACTCAAACAGAAAGGCCAGCTGATCTGCAGAATCCCCCATCTCATTAGAGACTTGCTCATTACTTGAAGTTGGTGCCATGTTGACGCCATACGGCACCAACAGATCGACGCCGTCATGCCCTGGATCGCACCGCACGGTATTGGCACCCAATTCATCAGGTGCAATGAGTATCTCCCCCTCTGCTGCAGCGAGATGATCCCTCTGTTCAAGATGAGAACTCTTTTGCAGATCTGAAAAGTCGTCACAGTGGTACCACTCGCGCGCCAGCAATTGCACAGCTCTGAGAGACCGCTCCGCCCATGTGCACCAAGGCCTTTTCAGATCTTGGAGCGCATCCACACACGTGCCGAGATGCCGGATTGCTTGGGCTCTATGTGCGCTCGATGGCCTGGCATCGATGAGATGAATCACGGCAGCCGAGAAGCAGAGATGAACGGCAGCGATGGGTACTTGACGCTGCAGGAAATCAGTATCATCACGGTGTGTTTGAACATTAATATATCGTGATGAGCTTCTTCGCCGCCTATTCAGCAGTATAAATATGTTTTTACGTACCAAGGTGTAATGTATTTTATAGAGACGCAATAACTTTGCAATCTCCGCGGCTGAGTCCCGGCAGGTAGCCATGTGGCGATCGTCGGCAGATTCGTCAATTTGCTCAGTAATATTCCCGTTTCCCATGTTTGTCTTGCTTGATTTTGATCGTTGAGGACGGTCGCTTTGAACCAGGGGCCGGTGCAGGAGAATCAAATGTGCATGGTATTGGATACTTGATATTAAATGTTAGCTGCCGTGGCAAAGCCTGACGGGTTATACTAGAACACTCACTGGAACAGGTAAATATGGGGAAGAGTTGGCGTCTTTTGTGATGACGACAAGCGCAGATAACTCGGCAGTGTAGCATAGCTTGTTCTCAACTCTACATCTGCTTTGCTGACAATATCCTCGACGTCTCTAGTTGACGATTTACGGTTCGGGGCATATCTACAAGTAGTTAGTATCTGCAATAGACAAACAGCATAGCAACTTGGTGGGTTCAATACATTACGTCTATTGCTTCGCAAGCAATTATCATCATATCCGATATATAATGGGCAACTGAAGAAATATGCGAATGTGCTCCGAGCGACGCTTTGTGGGTCTGGGATGCTGGAAGCCAAGGGCTATACTCTTCATCCTTGTTGACGCTGGGCTTGGGGCAAGTGATGCCTGACTTTTGGATACTACTTGGTCGACCCAATCCAAGTGAGAAGAGTCTGGAGTTCATGTGAGTTGCCGATCGCGCTTGCATTAGTGTATACTATCACTTACTTGTCCACAACAAAACATCCCCACCATGTGACTTTTCTTACCTCAGCCTCATGCTCTGATATCTGTCCTGACGAGATCCATGCCGCGCAGTCTAGATGTAGGCCAAGGTTATGTGCCATTCTCGTTGCGTTTCCTGTGATCGAGTAAGCCTAATACCACAGCAAATTTCACGTCAATTCTCACCACAGTACAGCCAACCTAGTGCCTCCTTGCCATCCGACATGATGCGAAGTGCCAAGAGACAAGCTGCTTGCACGGTCGCTACAGAGGGCGCTTCACTTTCATACAGGAGGAGAACCTTGGCCTGCTCGCAAAACGCGCTACCAGCTGTGCTAAGATCTCCTGGCACTGAGCATAGTTCCGGCCGGTCTGAATAGCGAGCTGCAATGGCAAAGATGGACGAGAGGAGCAGTGGCGAGCAATACCGCCCGTCATTCTCGCCCCGGAGACTCGCCAAGAATGCCCCCTTGTGGACAATGTAGTTCCAAGGATTCTGCCACCGCCAGTAGAGCTCGAGCAAGTGATCCTGGAGCTCGGCAGAGATGGTGACCAATAGGCCCAACTGAGCAGCGGCGCTGATACCTTGTGTTTGCATCCTGAGCGGTGTTGCCTGGGGTGTGGCACTGTGTAGAGGTCCTTTAAGGAGATTGTATGAGCTCTGGGAGCCAAAGTAGTGAAGTTGGCCATCGTCGATGACATTCAGACGGCCAACGAGACCAGTAAGTTCTGAGAGAGGATCGGGCTCCTCATCGACGCTGCCATTGTCGGGGTCATCTTCATGCGGGTCTTTGATGTCAGGACCAAGCGGCCCTGATGAGCCCAGAGCCACTAGTTGAGCCTCTAGTTGGCTGATGCGAGCCTGTAGTGATTCAACATATTTCTTGCTAGGTGGCCTATTGAGTCGGTCCACCAACGACACAGTGAGTTTTATAGCTTTGGCATTACTTGGAGCCTCGATTTAACATACCTTCGTTTATTTTCGCCGTGTTGATATTCGCAATCTATTCCTCTTTTCACGCACGACCCACAGACAGGCTGTTGTCCGTCACACTAATCAAGAACAAGTGGCAATGTTTAGTTTCTCGACAGCGCGTACGTATAGAAATATGATCCACCACTCACACGCATGCGCTTCGCCCGGCATGGAAGGCAGGCTATCGATACTCGTTGCCTCTTCTTAGCATCATAGTTGGGTGGAGAACTGCTTAGATCTGTCATGTCTGGAGGAGAACGCAAAAGAAAAAGTTTCAGGACAATGGCGCAAAATTCATGGTTCTCGCGACATCTACAGTGATGAGGCACGGCGCAATTGTTGTCAGTCGTGCGGAATAATGGGCAGCGGAACTCGGTTCCATAGAACCAATGGCTATTCAAATGACAAAAGCCCTACGATAGCGAATCGGACGATCTCTATTTATCTTATCTTGGGGGGTTGCGAGCCAAGCTTAGCGCACTAAGTGATTTTCATCATAGTCTCAAACTCTATATAACAGGCAAAGAGTTGGGGACAAGCCAATTATTTGGAGATAGGTCATCTGATGGCACATCTCGATCCATCTCACTCATATAGTTCTTGCTAGTCACATATCTTTTTTTTTTCGCGTAAGTATTATATTATAGCATGGTATAGAAATAGAAACTGCCCATCAAAATACGCTCTAAACTTTGAAAATGGCCCAGATAATCCTGCAGCCAATAATTCTCCAACTTGGCTGCGTAACAAGTAAGAGTTTAGGGAGCCGCGGCATAGTGCACTGGCCTGGCCGGGTACTTGTTGACGCGCAGGCTCAGCTGATCGGGGCGGCAATAGTGTCCAACGGTGTCAAGGTTCTGCTTGGCCTTGAACTTCTCCGAGAGATCCACATCGGCATACAAGATGCCCTCCTGGCCGGGAGGCAGGCGCTTGACCAGCTCCTGGCCAAACGGCGAGTAAATCATGCTGAAGCCGCCACCGCTCTCGGCCGTGCTCGTGGAGTAGGGAAACTCGTCGATCCGGCAGCGCTTCTTGGACTCTTCGCTGACCACCTGGGTGCACACCATGACGAAGCATGCACCTTCGAGCGCAAGGATCTGGGAAAAGGTCAGGCTGATGTCGTCGGTGATGTGGCCCGGCCAGTCGGGCAGCGGGGCGCCGTCTTTGGTGGTCGGGAACGGCCATAGCGGCGGCCAGCTGGCAACGTGCAAGTCAACGTCCTGCTCGTACTCATAGTACCGCAGCAGCGTCTGGGTGTGCTCCCAGCAGTTGAGACCGCCGACCTTCACGCTGGGGAAGGTTGTGCTAGGTACCACGCTCTGGAGAGACTCTCCCTGACCGTCGCCCCAGTAGGCGCGCTCGACGTGGGTAGGCTTGATCTTGCGACGATGGTGCACAATAACACCGTTCTCATCAATAAAGGACTATTGATATCATTAGTAATTTGTAACGCCCATGACTGATGACTAGTCTTCCGTCAGAATAGCTAGGATTGAATCCATACTTGAGCAATGTAAAGCGTTCCTCTGTATCTCTCGCTGTAGCCGAGCACAACAAACACTCCGGCCTCCTTGACGGCAGCACAGATGCGCCGCATCTCCTCCGAATCCTTCTCAAGGGAGTTTCTAAAGTACTCGTCCATGAAGGCAGCGTTGTCTGTTGGAGACTTGGCCCAGATACTCCTTTCCAGATTCCTGATTAGCAAAACTGCGCCTTGATCTTGGAGAAGTGGTCTGCCATGTCAAGACGATCAACTTACCAGGGATAACCAGGAATGAAAACCTCGGGAAAGCCAACGACATTGGCACCCTCCTTAGCAGCCTGCTCAATCAGGGAGATGGACTTTGTTACTCCTCCTTCGAGATCGTTCCATGCCGGTTCGGCCTGAATAGCGGCAATCTTGAGCTGAGGAGCCATGATGAGTGTAGGTCAATGTTGACAGGATGAGGTAGTCTTTGAGAGATTTGTATGAGAGTTCTGATCCTTTACTGTTGAGCGTGTGATTATTCCAGACAAGAGAGGAGACTGGATCTTTATAGTTGATGTAGGACTTCTCACCCAAATAACATTCACATAGCCGTAGGACCTACTGCAATGAAACTCTACTGCATCTACTGCTAATCAAGCCATACACGTCTCAGCCTCATAGATACTGGCGATATCCGCTGCGGGTAAGCAATAACCTATCTCAAAGACGTGTAAGTGATAAGTGATAACATATCTAGAGGGGACTATAGAGGGATGGCATGTCACAGGGCTGATCGACGGACAAGCCATGTGCATGATAACAGCATGTTGACCCTTCCGGATCACCGGGTAAGCAGTAAACTATCTCTTCTCCCCAGATTTAATGCAGATACTACTCGGCTAAGCATTACCATATCATTTTTAGCCATTTCCATTCTCTGGGGTCCCCGCAAAACACTACTGCTAGGCCATGTGCCAATGGATCCACTCCGGTTAAGCACTATCCTATCTGCCCGTTATACGTACTCCATATGCCGATCAGTGTTGATTCATTTATGTAGTTTAACTTCCCAATCTGATATCTTGATGCCGGGCATCTTTCTCTAATCACTCTACCTGGTATTGCGGACGGGTATCTAGTATGAAAAGTTTGGTCCACATTCCACATTCGCAGCTTTGGCCACGCCTGTAACGTGTGCGCTACATCTCCACCATTCCTTAGAACTTTGTCATCGATGACAAGAGCTACGGGATATACCTGGCGATCATAAGCTCACTGACCTTTTGTGGTCCGGTCTGAAGCGAGGCATGCGATGGAGGACGTTATGAGATAGAACAACTCTGCAAACTATCACAGCACATGCAATTATAAGCATCTTGTAAGATTGAGGAAAAACTTTGCGTCTCGCAGTACTTTACAATTGGAAGTGTCCGCCATGCCGAGTCGATGATAAATTCAAGGAAAGCCCCTTTCAAGAGGATTGTGTCTGTGTGTGTGTGCCATGCCCCCCAACCGTATTAAACCGAACAAGCTGTCATATTCCCTGATCCTACTATCTCTGAGGTTGGATCCAATTACAATCTCATTCCCCAGTTCACATTTGAAGCAAAAATTTATTTAGCCTTGGCGAGACCGACGGTGCCCTTGCCCAAGTCGTAGATGGAGTACCACTTGCGCAGGAAAGCATCGCCCAGAATGGCCAAAGGACCAACGGGAGCAGGGAAGTCCATGCCCATGAAGGTAGAGATACAGCTTCCCTGGACCTCGAGGATGTAGTCGTAAGCGCTAATGGCAAAGTCGTAACCGCTCAGCTTGAAGCTAATGTCGGGAAGGCCGTCACGGACAGAGCAGTCAACGGTGTATTGGCCGTTGAAACCCTTCTTGGCGCCAATCTCCTTGTTGAGGAGCTCAGCAAGGTCGGTGGGCAGGGCAATCAGAGATGTACCAGTGTCCAGAATGACACCAGTGTTCTCGAGCTCGGCAGTCTCGTCACCAAAAGAGATGGAGTCCAGGTCAACCTCCCAGTAAGCCTTACGGCGCAGGGGAATCTCGGTAATCTTTCCAGTGTAGTGATCCTTGTCCACTCCACCAAAGATAACCTCGGACGACTCATCACCGTTCTCACTAGAGAGGTAGAAGGCAAAGACGGGCTCATCAATGAGACCCTGGTTGACCATCTGGTAGAAGGGAGGGACGATGCCGTTGACGGAGAGTCTGTCGAAACCCATACCGAGAATTCCATCAAATCGACCGAAAGCAAAGGCCAAGCCGGGCTCGCTGGTAGCCTCGGCAAAGTCCTGGTTCTTGATCTTGAGGTCACCAATGTTGAGGGTGTCCTGGGAGACGAAACCCTTCATGCTACCGGAACCATAGCGGATCTCGAAGTCGGAGCCGTTCTTCTTGTACGAGGACGAGGCCGACGAATCGTACTTGGAGTGCAGGTAGCAAGCAATGCTGCCGCAAGATTGACTAGGAACCCACAGGTTGGAGCTACCAGTGTCGAGAATGACCTTGAACTCCTGGGCAGGAGTACCGATGGAGATTTCGGAGAAGTCTGTTAAGCGAGCGAGCGCGAATTAACACACAGGCCCACAAACAACGTGAAGGCTCCGGACAAATGGGAAATACTTACACTGGGCGTTCATGAAATTGCTGATAGGAACGGGGTGGTTCTTGTCAGCGTGCACCGAGCTCTCACTGAACATGGCCTGAGCGTGGCTCTCAGGTCTGCCTCCCATGTACTTCTGGCCGAGGCCCTTCATCTGCAGGTCGATGGGAATGGAATCCTGTTGAATCTCGTGTCAGTTTTGCATGTCGCATTCATCATATAAGTATGATTAAAGGGATACTGACAAGCTGCTCCGAGAGGGGGATCTTCTGGAGCTTCATCTTGTGGACGCCGGCCTCAGCGGCTCCGAGCAGCGCAGCTGCTGTCAACAGAGCTCCCTTCATGATGGGCGACTCTTATCGGATGACGTGGAAAACTGGAGATGAATAAAAAGAAGAAGATTGAAAGAGATGCGATGGAGTGCGCAGTTCCAGAAATGACCACACGACAGGTCGAGTTGATGGGTTTGTATTGGTGATGTGTGATGATAAGAGAAAGAAGGTAAGTAGCTCTCGAGTGATCAGGAGGACAGGCAGGTATGACGAGGTGTTTGAGAGCTCCGACCGAAAGCTGGGGGCGGGCGGGTGGATGCGCAATCTGAGGGCGCTAGTGTTGATAGCGATGGAGCCTAGGTGGGCGAGCAGCAGGTCTCGTGCTTGAACTCGTCGCAGCTCTCCCAAGGCAACAGGGAATCGCAAACAATCTTCAGGCCCCAGCGTTGCCAGCCAACCAGCCAAGCCAGCCTGTGTTGTGGCGAGCGCTCAGCAGCGCACCTGGCCTGCCTGGCACCTTTTTTGGCACCCCCAAACCTGAAAGCCAAGCCAAGCTCTGGCCCCGCTAATTTCCCAATACAATAGCTATTGGGACGATGAGACGTCCTTTGACCAATGGGTCTGCTTGTTTGCCCCCTCGTCGCCCTAGCCAACTGGCTATGTATGAACCCACCAAGCCCAACAGGGTCAATCAGAGAAAAACGCAGGTACCACCAAGCGGCCTGCGCGGCTCGTCCCTCCAGCTCAAGGTACCTCTTCCTCACCTGGGGTAAACGCTCATCACCACTCCTCCCAAGTACCTAGGTAACCAGTAGCTAGGCGTTGAGTGAGTCGGAATGACGCCTCCAACTTTCCCCGAAGGTCAGTTTCGGAGTTCAATGGTTTGACATCCATCTCCGTGTCTGCGCACCTGACATGGAGTTACGAAGCATATTATGCCTAATTGTCGATCTTCAACTTGCTTTTCCCGCATCCTATTTTGTAGTGTACAGTATAGCTTTCCTGTCGATTCTTGCCGTTCATCTTTGTTCGGCTGTTTGCCGCATTGCGCCAATCATTATGCCTTTCTTGTACGCTGAAAATGGCCAGTACATTAAGTTATGGGTCTTGAGCACTGTGCTATACGAGACCCTACTCTACCGGAAGTTTCAGTAGGATTGACTGTTGTTTGCCTTATAATAACCTAAACAACTCTCTAGGCAAAAGATCCGACTCACATTTTAGCTACTACCAAAGAGTAGAAAAATAAAATGCATCGTACAGCTTGATCTGCACGCAGCTCGAACCCGAAAGGCACGCACGGGTCTAGATACTCACATCTGTACCGCGGTTGTCCGTTCATGCCATGCCCTTGCATCGGAGTGAGGTTCTTTACTTGAGTTGTGAAAAGGTCGTTCTGGAAGAAAAGCATTTCCTTTTATCCTTACTAGCGACTGCTTGTTGCGACACACTCCTACAACGGTCCCACACGAGGTCTCAAAGGTAGTTATATAAGCCTGACAACGTATCGAGTTCCCGGTAATAATCGGATCATTTACCTGCGAATCATAGAATGATAGTATCATCCAAAATAGCTTCGGAGTCCGTATGTCATGCTTCTGCTAATTGCAGAGCGACCATCGAGTTCATCGCAACGGGCCGCTTTTTGCCTCCGACATCCGATCATACGATGTGAGATGGTCCGATGTTGTACAATCAGCCAATACTCTTCACATTGTGCGCGCATGTCCATTTTTGGCGCATACTTATATGGGTAGAGGAGTCGCATACAATAGAATAAATCCGTAAGAGAGAAATAGGACATGCGATTTCTCCAACGATCAATTTTCGTCGTTGTCGTTGGTATCGGACTGGCACTCCTGGGCATGCAATTCGGTTCATCGCTAAGCCGGAGTTTTCAACTACTGATCAAAACAAGACCTCACTGGCGCGCAGGTGCATCGTCATCCATCATGACCCAATCTGTAGTATCCAAACCCGTAATCGTGGTCGGGTCAGGCCTGGCCGGACTCTCGGCCGCGTATGAGGCGCTCAAGGCCGGTGCATCGGTCCGGATGCTGGACCGCGCGCCTAAGCCGGGCGGGAACAGTATCAAGGCGTCCTCGGGTATTAATGGCGCAGGCACGCCATATCAGCGCGCAGCAGGTATCGCCCAGGACGATCTATTCTTTGCGGATACCGTTCGGTCGGCGGGCCGGAGGTTCCGGGAGGCGGCAGAAACGGGAGAATCGCCGGTCGTCGATCGAGAGGCCTTGATCACAAAGCTTACAAGTCAGTCCGCTGGGGCGGTCGGTTGGCTCGCTGATGAGTTTGGTATCGATCTCACCGTCGTGGCAACCCTGGGTGGCCATTCTTTGGCACGAACGCACAGGGGCGCCAAGTCGACGCCTGGCTTCGCTATTGTCAGCGCCATACTGCAAAAGCTCGGGGAGAGCGACAAATTCCAGCTCATCAATTCAGCCGAAGTGCTGTCTTTGAATGTCGACGGTGAGAATGAAGCCGTCACGGGCGTCCGGTACACACATGAAGGGCAGACACGAGATCTCGAGGGCTCCGTGGTATTCGCCGCAGGCGGGTTCGCCGGTGACGCCAGCGGCCTAATGGCAAAATACCGCCCCGATCTTGTCGGGTACCCGTCCACCAACGACGAGCGGCCCGGGTCGCACCACATTCTTGAGGCGGTTGGTGCCGTCTTCGTCGACATGGACAGCGTCCAGATCCATCCGACCGGCTTCGTCGACCCCAAGGACCCCGAGGCCAGATACAAGTTCCTAGCCGCCGAGGCACTCCGCGGTGAAGGTGGCATTCTCCTCAATCACCGAGGCCAGCGCTTCGTCAACGAGTTGGAGACGCGGGCGCATGTTAGTGACGCTATCCAAAAGCTCTCTCAGTCGCAGGCCTACACGCAGAGCCGCCAGTGGGATGTGACACTCGTCCTGGATCCCGGCGCCAGCGAGGCCGCACAGAGCCATCTGGGCTTCTACATTTTCAAAGGGCTCATGGAAAAGAAGAAGATCAAGGACTTGGAGCCCGACATTATTGAATCAATTGACAAATACGCAGCAGCTGTCAAATCTGGCCAAGATGCCGAGTTTAGCCGCAAGTCGTTTGGTCATTGGACACTTGCCCCTGGGGAGGAGAATCGCGAGCAAGAAATATGTGTCGGCAAAGTCACCCCCATCACACACTTTACCATGGGTGGCGCGGCCTTTAATACGGAGACGCAGGTTCTCACGAAAGACAAGACTCCCATTGTTGGTCTCTGGGCCGCAGGTGAGATTACGGGTGGTATTCATGGCGACAACCGGTTAGGAGGATCATCATTACTTGAGTGTGTCGTATTTGGAAGGGAGGCTGGATTGCAGGCGTCGAAAGCAACAATTCGGAAATAATATAAAAAGCAAGGGAAATTTTTCAAAGGATATTCTTTCTGTTATTTATGTGTTCACCATAGTGTATACCAAGCATCTGCTGCTAAATTATATAGCTATATACCATTTCTCAATGATGGTGATGCAAAGATCATAATCATAGTTGCCAGTCTTCAAACAAGCATTGTTAAATTTGATAGCGGAACCACGGAACATTGTCAGCAAGTTCTCTTTCCAATGCCTTTTGCTCTTCTGTAAGTTCTTGGACACCAGCCTCCCTTGCAGCGGCATCACGTCGAGCATTTTCACGACGACACCACATAGTCATGAAGAGCGTCAAGAAAAAGGCCATGCTGCAGAATTCAGTTAGCTGGAAGGCCATCTTCTGGGCAGTCAGATATTCAAGCTTACCAAACAAAACCGATCAAGATGCAGTGCCCAGTGATGAACCGAGGTCCGTCTCTGGAGAGGTAGACATAGGACGCAATAATGCCTCCGCAGTTACCACCCATTACTTGCATGGCAATGCCTGTGCCTCTCTTCAAACTACCCCCGATATTTGCGCCATTCCAAGCCATACCCAGCGGGATCTGAGGATAGATGCCTGTCAACATGGTTAGTCATAATTGTTCAATAGTTGACATTAACACAGTCTTACCAATTGCTGCCAGCACGGTTCCAGCGTATTGAATCGAAGGTTTACCACTGGCTGCCAGTAACGAGAAGCCAATGATACCGACAACCTGAAATCCGAGCAGGAAGATACCTCGCTGCCTGATCTTATCGGCAAAGTAGCTGGCGCCAATGGTGAAGATGCAAGCAAATACATAAGGCGGTACAGACATGAGCTGAGCATTGTTCGCCGTGTATCCCATATTCTTGATGATTGTGGGGAGGAACATTGAGAATGAATAGATCGGGCAAAAGCCAGCCATGCAAATTAGCATGAAAATGTAGATCTTCCAGTCGCCAATGGCCTGCCACACATACTTAATGTTAAAGTCATTGGACAAATGGCCGTGGTCCTCGAGGAGGCGACGCTCGACCTCGGTGCGCTCGCCGTCTGTCAGGAAGCGAGCCGTCGCTGGATAGTCATAGATGGCCCAGTAGGCAGTGAAAGACACGAGAATGCTTAGGAGGCCTTCGAGAATGAAGATCCAGGACCAAGCTGACAGACCACCGGTGCCACTCATCTCTGCAATGCCGCGAGCCAAGATACCGCCAAAAGCGCCCGCCAGCGTGGCTGCGGAGAAGAACATTGCCATGCGGAAGCCAGTCTCGTGGCGGCAATACCATTGCGTGATGTAGTAGTTCACACCGGGGAAGAGGCCACCTTCAAAAACTCCCAGAAACACTCGCGTGGCCATGAGACCAGAGTAATTTTTGACAAAGCCCTGACCAATCATGCTCGCAGACCAGCAGACCATGATGAATGTAAGCCAGATGCTCGGCCTGATGCGCTTCATCATCATATTGGAAGGAATCTCGGCGGCGATGTAAAACGGGAACAAAATCGCCAGGCAGTCATTGTATTGGAGGCCCTTCAGGTGAAGGTCCTGCTCCAGGTTGTCGAGACGAGCATTGCCAATATTGGTACGATCGAGAAAACATAGTCTACCCAAAATCCCGTGTTAATACCCACATCAGCATCCATCTTTCACGGTCAACGTACAAATAAATCAGACTCATATAGGGAATCAAATGCCAATCGAGCTTTCGAAGTAGCCGTTTCGTCTCTTTACTGTCGTATCCTTGAGCCTCTGCCACGTGAACCGATACAACGTCGGGTTTCTTTTCGTCAGTAAGTTCGGGGCTAGGAGCGGTAGCCGCAACCGGGCCGGTATGCACATGATCCGACATGATCTCAAGGTTTCTTGGAGAACCGGTATGTGGACCCAAAGCTTCGCGGGAAGTGTACAAGACAGACAGAGATCTGCGGGTGGGCTTTCCTTGCTTATATATTAGGGATAGTATGCAAAGGGATACTTTGCGAAAAGCCCCCCCCCGGGCACAGCTCGATAGGAGCTCAACAAGGATATGCGGCCGCTTACGCAAGGAGATCAACGCCAATTAGCAGCGTTCACGACCATCCCTCGGTATGAATTATACTTCATTTTAGACAACCTTGTCAGCCCAAAACACTGGACATATCATGGGGGAACCGACGATCGAGGTCGGCCTGTGGACCCAGCTGAGTCCAGCATGTGCACAATGGCCAATAGTGAGTGTAACATCGGGACTGCATGTCAGATCATGTCTCTCTCATCGATAGGTGTCGACGCCAATCAATGTGAGGAGGTGATTGAGAACTTTTCAACTATCGTTTACTGGCGCCCAGGAGAACCCTGGAATAATGCGGCAGGCCGTGCAGATTGTGGCTTGCAAGGGCTTACCGGCCATCTATCCCGTTTGGCGATAAGCGGCGCTATGGAAAGGCGAGAAACGAGACGGCAAAAAACGAGGAGGCACTTTCTGGTTGGTGCTATTGGAACACATGTCGTGTAAATCTCCTTGGCAACGTCTTTTTAGGCCAGACCCCATCGTAGATTCGTGGCCCGGCCGGGGGTCAGAAACTTTCCAGGCGAGCACACCACTTCCACTAGCCGGCGGAAGCATTCCAGAGCTCAGGGGGGGTGGCCGCTGCACAGTTCTTGTTGGTGATTTTGATGGTGAGTTGGTTCCATTCCTGAAATTCAACTTCATAGCTCTGAGTAAAAGACGAGCAAAGATCTGGAGCCAGTTCGTGTTGCTAGGAATTTTTATCAAAGGAGTGTTTTATTTTGCAGGGGTGAGAATTTAAGGTTGAGATAAGCTCATTAGGTCATTTTCCCCAGACCCGCTCACACTCTGCTCCTCAATGCCTAGGCTTTACTAGACCTGTGATGGCAAATGATGGGGACTTTCCTTAGACCATCCGCTGCCCGCGACGCTGGGCTCAAGCCAGTCCCGTCCTACCCTAGGGGATCACCCCCATCGGATTAACGTGTGCTGATGCCAGTCTGGAGGGTGGGGTGGCGAACAACGAATATCTTGCCTGTTCTGCGGTGCCTAGAAAAGACTTGTCGTCTTCCATCTTTTCATCGTGACCTTGCAACCCATCCAAATGCTGATGGATTGATTATCCAGTGAGTAAGCTGCCCTTGTATAGTTGTTGCGGTGAGTGAGCGGTGCTGAACATGAGGCGAATGCCGCGGTAGTCTGTCCTAATTGGCCTGCATGTTCCCAGTGTGGCATTGCGCCCCGAAGCTGCAGCAGTGGAATATTGCATGCCTACCTAGGTATCCAGTATGTAGCTACTATGTGGCTCAAACAGACAGTACGGAGTATATGCCTCTTGTGTGGCATCTATCGCATGGACTATTGATTTCAGGTATACTGTGCCTCTTTGTACATTGCCGTGAACAAACGCAACGCAGCTCAGTTCGGTGCGAAAAATTGGGCCAAAGCAGGGAAGAGGACACAAACGTCTCTTTGAAATCACCCCACGGATACGGAAGACCAAATCCGACATTTCGTTTATCGGTACGTTCATAAAGTTCTGTTTCTGTTGTGATGTTAGACCGGAGAAACCAAACACACGCAACAAGTCTCACATGTCAAGTCAATATCTTGCCAGTAATTTCAATGTTTGTGGCATTGGAGATGCATCTTCTTGTATAGGAATGCTTCAGCATCGCGCAACACTACCAAAGGATTTGCAAGTCATGACTTTATGTTTCACAATGTAATATTATCTGAGAAATCCTTTTGATGCCGCTTCCGCGAAAGCCTCTCGCCATAAGCTGGCCATACAGCGGTATCCTGCATCATTTGGGTGTGTTCCGTCCACGACTAATTGATCAAGCAAAGGCCCACGCGAGCCGTGCATATTCACTAGAACAATCTTTCTTCCAGCCGCATCGTGTCTCTCCCATAGCATCTGAATCTGCTCGTTCAACAGCAACACTCGGGACTCAACAGCAGTATCGATATTAGGAAGCAGTGTAGAGAGCAAAAGTGTGGAACTAGGGACAATTGACCATGCGAGCCGCAGAATTTGGTCGATACGATCGCCCGCACTGTTGATCTCAAAGTCCTGGATACAGTCATTGGAACCCGCATTGATGGTCAAGACATTTGGCTTCAGCTCGGGGATGGACTTGGCGGCTTTTGCTGCAATCTGGTCAATTCGATACCCTCGCCAGCCCTCGTGGCAATGACCTTTGCCTGTCTTGCGGGAACCGACCATATCCACTGCGTAGCCATCAGCGATCAACGTATCGTGGAGTATTTCCCTGTAGCCATTCCCGTCCGAGGATCCCACACCATGCGTAATGGACCCGCCCAATGGCATGAGGCGAAGAGCGATTTTCGGCGGGTGTGATTGAGTTCTAGCTATATTTCCAAAGAAAATTAGTACTTGATTTCTCCTTGAAGCTCAATAATAGGCAAATCACTTATGACGAAGTGCTCAGGTACGTACTGTGCAAACATTTTTGGCCAATTCGAGTCCGCGCGCTAAAGAGTGCCGCAGCCATATTGTAGACTTCTGTAAGCAACGGGATGTGATTAAAGTCTTGTATCGCCATAAGCTTTGAAGACTTTACTGCTGGGGAAATTTACAAGCTCGTTGATCAGTCCTTGCGCCGTCGGCGGTATTGATAACTGACCGATGCATGGTGCACGTTTGTTCTGTAGGCATAGATGGTTTCGGAGACTAATTAAGAGGCCGTGGCGTTGATCACTCTCGGCCGCTAAGTACCCCTTCCCGTAAAATTAGCCAAGCAAACTGACAGTTTGCCGGAGTTGACGGGACGAGCCTTGGGCGATTCCGAGGCTCCTCGGACTATAATGGGATCTGGATCTCGGCCATGGCACTTAGTCGCCGAATTTACTATAGCGCCAAGTATCCCAGCATCTTAACCAAAGTTTCCATATTGTAACTTACTACAGAAAGAAATGATTCTAATAGAAATCTGCCTTAAATCGGGAATGCCTTCCAGGTTTTTAACTATCCGAAAGGAGTTTATCATCTCCCTTTTCTTACAATGACCTACCATCATCATTTCAATTCAAAGCGCCTAAGCCAAGAGCTAGAGCTCAAGGCCACAGACTGCGTCCGACATCTCTCAGGCTGGAGACCAGCAGTCGAGGAGATCAAGACTTGGCCAGAATACAAGCCACAGCCTTTACGAGACCTGAAAAATACGGCAAATTCAATGAATGTTCACAGTCTCTTTGTCAAAGATGAGAGTCAAAGGTTTGGTGTCAAGCTGGCATCATTCAAGGCGCTTGGTGCCCCTTATGCCGTGTATAAGATCCTCTCGGACAAAGTCTTTCAACAAACCGGGCTTCGACCTTCTTCTGCCGAACTCCGCTCCGGTAAATACCGGGACATTACGCAGTATGTTACTGTATGTGTCGCAACCGATGGAAACCAGGGTCGAGGACTAGCCTATGGAGCCAAAATTTTCGGTTGTCGTTGTGTCGATTACATTCACAATTGTGTCAGTGATGGCCGAAAACAAGCCATGGAGGAGCTTGGCGCCGTGGTCATCCGCGTCGATGGCGAGTACGAAGCTTCCGTGGCAAGGGCCAAGGAAGACGCGCGCATGAATGGCTGGCATTTCGTGAGCAGTACGTCGTGGGCCGATTTTGATGACGGCACCCCACAAGACGTGATGAACGCCTACATGGTGATTGTTGAAGAGGCGTTATCGATGATACCAGCCGTCGACAAGATTACCCATGTGCTTATCTGTGGAGGAGTTGGCAGCATTGCTGCGGCGGTTTTTCTCGGCTTTTACACTCGCTTCCAAGAGTTCAAAATACTCAACAAGGACAAGGACACATCCGTACCACGATTTGTGGTGATTGAGCCCGAGGAGGCGGATTGCCTATTCCAAAGCGCCAGGCATGGAGACATGATCCCCTCAGACGGCACTCTTCACACCTTGATGGCGGGACTTGCTTGTCGGGCACCTTCACCGGCCGCTTGGAAAATTCTCTCGTGGCTGTCCAGCGATTTCATGGCAGTGTCAGATTCCGCTGCTGTTGAGGGCATGAAAGAGCTTGCCACTGGTGCATCCGGTGACATTCCTGTGGTTTGCGGCGAATCCTCGGCAGCTGGCATGGGTGTGATGATGGAGAGCTGCCGAGATTTTGTGCTTCGTGAGAAATTAGGTCTCGACAGTAAAAGCCAAATTCTCATATTTGGACTGGAGGGCGCTACAGATCCAGAGATATATTACAAACTTGTTGGAAAGAAGCCAGAAGATGTGTTTGCTGCGCAGACTGCCTTCAATGCGACTTCATCAGAGCGGCCAAGTGAAGAAGATTAGAGGTAGATTTTTTCCAAAGTCATGGATTGATCAGGTACATTGATCATGCGCCACTGAGTTGTAGCATTTAATATTTATCCTATCTGGGATGATTAAATCAGCTCCTTTAGTATTGTGGTGGGGAGCACTGTTTTATACCTCACAAGCTGGTAATGGTCGGCGAACGTATCTGCATGCCGATCCGAAGTATTGAGTCAAACTAATTCCATTGCAATTGCACTGCCATTGCCGATTCTCTAACTTGATCAAAGACGGTTCAAAGCATTGCTCATGATGGGATAATAAGATCGTGTGTCGAGTACTGTAAAAGTTCACTTGATAGCTGAGAGGACTGCTTCACACAACGTAATATTGGCGTGATTGACTGGGCCGGTCCGAAGGTCAACTACCGAATGCCATGGCAATCGTGTAAGCCCACCACTTTGATCTTGCAAAGTACGAAGCTACTTAACCCTGTAAGGCTGAATGGCCAGGGCTAGGCTCACACAGACTTCGGTCCTTTGCGTAGTGGAGTGGTGATGGTTGATAGCTTCCATTGCTTGCGTGACGAGGGCGAACTTGGGATCCGATGCTTATTCACGCTCCGTACTAAATCACTGTGATAATCACTGCTAGACCCTGGGTGGCTTGAAAGAACAATGAGATTCGCGAGCAGTCATATAAAACGTTGCATGTTATCTGAAATGCTGGTGAGAAAATGCTCTTCGCTGGCGATCCCCAGCACGCGATAGGAGCTAGACATAGTTTGTACCTAAACAGAAAGACGTTGCCAACCAAAGATGCCCCTGAATCATTAAATCGCACGCAACTATAACCGCACAGATAAGGATCAAGGTCATGGGCGCAACTTGCAATATTCTGTATCGCCGAACAGTAATTCGCTCAGTAGCACACCATTCCCCATCACCACGTTGTGGACGGGTCGACTAACCTGTATTCCGATGGACAAGGTATGCAGTGATTGATACCGGCCCATCAAAATACCTGCCTCGTCTCATGGCATACCGTGATCGTGTATACTGATTGTAGTATCTTGGTCGGCATCATCAGAGATTTCCGGTCACATGACACGGGCAACGCACCGTCGAGGTCCGTGGACGCGTCGTGACGGAACCAAAGACCTTGATGGGTTGCTGGCTCATTGGCGGGGCCGAATTCGGCAGCTTGGCGCCTTTTGGGGGTGATGCTGGACCCTTACCCCGCCATCATTTGTAGGTAGCTTTTTTTTCTTCCTCATAGCAAGGCGATTTGATTAGCTGCTAGTAAATCACTGGGCCCAGAGTGGTTGGAACTTGAGTGGTTTAATTCCTAGATAATCCTGGCGGATGTGTTCATTAACAATAACTTGCCCCAGGTCGGTTAGGTTCTTTGTCATGATCATCTCGCGCTGTGGTTGGATCTTCCACCTCCAGTATATATCGTGGCTGTCACTGAATGAAGGAAGGACTTTGGTGTAAGCCAAGACACACACTCATCTTTTGCTGCATAACGAATCTCACAATCTCACCAGATTGAGGATCGACCTCTAGAGCTGTGATTTGTTGATTGGTTCAAACTTTGCATTAGTACTAGAATATCCTGGAGTAACTGGAGACATCCAAAAGACCAACCCTCGTCGTTGCTGTACCGCCTTAAAAGAGTGGCACGACAATCCCTCCCGCCACCACCCCACCCCATCCGCGACTCGGCCTCCGCTGAAATTTTCTGGCTAGCTTCGGATGATTTTTTCTCTCTTCTTTACTATTTGACCTCGACATCGCACCTCCGTTTTCTTTTCTGGTCGTCAATTGTTCTTTGTTTCTTCAAGCAACAATTCCTCCATCCTTCCATCCCTCCCTAATTGCCATACCCCAACCCCTTAGACACAATGGCTGCCAACGGTGTTACCTACGCCCTCTCCAACTCCCACAAGGAGGTAAGATTTCCCAACTGCCCCGCCATGCAGCTATTATGCTGCCGCCGCTCAATGGACAGTGATGCTGACAGACCGCCAGTTGCTGGAGAAGTCCCTGGTGGACTCGGACCCCGAGGTTGCTGAGATCATGGTAAGTCATTTCTTCGACGATAGCATCAACACCAGCGACAACAGTTTGCTCACAACTCCTACAGAAGAAGGAGATTCAGCGTCAGCGCGAGTCCATCATCCTCATCGCCTCCGAAAATGTTACCTCCCGCGCCGTCTTCGATGCCCTCGGCTCGCCCATGTCCAACAAGTACTCCGAGGGTCTCCCCGGTGCCAGATACTACGGTGGAAACCAGCACATTGACGAGATTGAGATTCTCTGCCAGAACCGCGCTCTGCAGGCTTTCAACCTCGACCCTGCCAAGTGGGGTGTCAACGTCCAGGCTCTCAGTGGTAGCCCTGCCAACCTGCAGGTTTACCAGGCTCTCATGCCTGTCCACGGCCGTCTGATGGGTCTTGACCTCCCCCACGGTGGTCACTTGTCCCACGGTTACCAGACTCCCGCCAAGAAGATCTCGGCCATCTCGACCTACTTCGAGACCATGCCCTACCGTGTCAACCACGACACCGGTATCATTGACTACGACCGTCTCGAGGAGAACGCCCAGGTCTTCCGCCCCAAGATTCTGGTTGCTGGTACCTCTGCCTACTGCCGTGAGATCGACTACGCCCGCATGCGCAAGATTGCCGACTCCGTTGGTGCCTACCTTGTTGTCGACATGGCTCACATTTCCGGTCTTATCTCTGCCGGTGTCATCAAGAGCCCCTTCGAGTACGCTGATGTCGTTACCACCACCACCCACAAGTCCCTCCGTGGTCCCCGTGGTGCCATGATCTTCTTCCGCAAGGGCGTCCGCAGCACCGACGCCAAGACTGGCAAGGAGACCTTCTACGACCTTGAGAACCCCATCAACTTCTCCGTCTTCCCTGGTCACCAGGGTGGTCCCCACAACCACACCATCACTGCTCTTACCGTTGCCCTGAAGCAGGCTGCTTCTCAAGAGTTCAAGGACTACCAGAGACAGGTTGTCGACAACGCCAAGGCCCTCGAGCACAAGTTCAAGGAGCTCGGCTACAAGCTTGTCTCTGACGGAACCGACTCCCACATGGTCCTGGTCGACCTCCGCCCTCAGGCCCTTGACGGTGCCCGTGTCGAGGCCGTCCTTGAGCAGATCAACATTGCTTGCAACAAGAACAGTATCCCTGGTGACAAGTCTGCTCTCACTCCCTGCGGTGTCCGTATTGGTACCCCCGCCATGACCTCTCGTGGTTTCGGCACCAAGGACTTTGAGCGCGTCGCCGAGTACATTGACCAGAGCATCAAGATCTGCAAGGAGGTCCAGGGTGAGCTCCCCAAGGAGGCCAACAAGCTCAAGGACTTCCGTGCCAAGGTTGTCTCTGGTGAGGTTGAGAAGATCAACAGCCTCAAGAAGGAGATTGCCGCCTGGTGTCTTCAGTTCCCTCTCCCCGTTGAGGGCTGGAGAGTTGACGCTGGCATCTAAGCAACAAGTCCAGCGATGATTTTCATGAGGGTTCAACAATTGCAATGAGGCACGATTAGGGGTAACTCAACTTTCTCGGCGCGAGTCATATACAGGGTCAGGTTTTAACAGCTGGAGAAAAGGCTCGCGAAAAAACGGAATACATGCATTTATGAGGCGTTGCTGCTACGCAGCTTGGGGAGTTTGGAAAGCCATATATGGCTATTTGGGTGTACACTGCTTCAACACAGCCGGTGTTTTTGATTCTAAGATATAGTCTGTAATATACAGCAAAGACCCTAAGCACTGACTTGGGCATTTTCGAGACACATTTTGAAGACTGCTTAATGATGTAATTGTCCCGCATTTGGAGGTGCCCGCCGCACGTCACGTCATTCACCCGGTCGAAACTATGCTGACATGGATCACGAATACAATATAGTCCAGATACAGCGTCAATCTTGAACCAAATTTAAAATTCGACTGCGAAAAATTGACATAACTGTAAAACATCAATCGCTGAATTGACAATGCCTCTCCCAGATGCAGATGTTCACCCAGTTGCAACTGGTCTGGCGCGGGAAACGGTTGATGTAAATTGTCTTTGCACCAACCCTAGCTCTTCGAAACTAACCATGCGGCAGAAACATCAATCAGAGCAGTCCTTGAAGCTTTATTCAGGGTGGTTTTGCCCCTTTGTCCAAAGGGTCTGGTTGGCCTTGGAAGAAAAGGGCATCCCTTACCAATATGTCGAGGGTATGGCACTCGATTATTCTGCCTTGCCCGCTGCATAACATGATACTAACGGAGGAGATATAAAGTAAATCCGTACCACAAACCCCAGTCTCTTATGCGCTCCAATCCGCGGGGTCTCGTGCCCACGCTTGAAGTGGCGCCGGGCAAGGCGCTCTACGAAAGCAACGTCCTACTCGAGTACCTCGAGGATGCGTACCCAGAATCCCAACCACTGCGGCCGACGGACCCGTTTGACCGGGCCCGGTCTCGCATCTGGTCCGACTTTGTCACGTCGCGGGTTATTCCGGCGTTTCACAGACTATTGCAATTCCAGACATCGTCTGCGCCGGACAAGGACGGCGAGGCCAGGCTCGACGTCTTGCGCGGCGAGTACCGGGCCAAGCTGCTCGAGTTTGCCCGCGCCATGGACCCCGAGGGCCCCCTCTTCGCGGGCTCCGAGCTGACGACGGTGGATATTGTCATGGCGCCCTGGGCGCTGCGGTCCTGGGTGTTTGAGCGGTTCAAAGGTGGTCTGCGGATCCCCGAGCCCGGTCGAGGTGGCGGCGACGAGGAGGCGTGGGCCCGATGGCGGACTTGGCTCGCGGCCGTCGGAAGCCGTGAGAGCGTCCGCAAGACGACGAGCGAGGAAGAGTATTACGTGCCAATTTATCAGAGGTATGCAGATGACATTGCTCAGAGTGAGCTGGCCAAGGCTACGCGAGACGGACGTGGTGTGCCCTAAGATGTAGCAATTGTAATTATCCCAAGCAATGCTCAATATGAATCATGGTTGAATTCGATTATTTCCCTATCTAGCACTGCGATATTATCTAGGCGGTGCTGATATCCACAAGCAACACAGAAACCTGCAGGCCCAACATACCACTTGAGCTTGAAAGTGTCTGACCGTCCTCGACTTCCCAAGCCACATCACCCCAAAGTATGTCGACGACTGAACCAAAATTGGTACCATTTGGAGCTGCAATCTCAACGGTCTGTCCAATATCCCCATAATTGAGATTGACAATACTCAGCAGAGCCTGTCCGGTAGAATCGTTGATCCATGCAGCAGCATCAACACGGTCGGCACCAGCCACGGGCAACGTCTGCACCCGAGGAGTTCCCAGCAAGAAGTCGGCAATGGTTTCAGTAGTAAAGACGGAAGCCAGGTGGTTGGTAACGTTGAGTAGCTCGGCCGTCGTCGGGTAATCCCACATGACGATACCTTTGGCCCCGTGGTTGATGGCCAGAACGGTCATGACAACCTCCTCGGCCGCGGTCGGGTACCGGGTCCAGAAGGTCTCGTTGCCAAACGCCTGCGGCGCAAACCATTGCGTCTTGGACCATCCAATGAGGTCGTCGCGGCGCCGGAACTCGTCCAGACGGTCCGAGATGTCTTCAAAGGCGCCGGTACAGTCGTCGCAGCCGCAACAACCGTAGGTGGCGTTGCATACCGTGTCGTAGACGGTCGAGTACGACGTGTTGGTGGAGATGGGGTAGACGTCGGGCGTGATGATCTCGGCGCCCTTGGCGTACTCGGCATAGTAAAAGTCGTAGCAGTTGAGCGCCAGCGAGGCGGGGTGGTACGGGTCGAGCTCCCGGATCTTCTGGTGGGCGATGCCCGTCGAATTGATGGGATTGCTCTTGCCATCTGGCTCATCCGACTGGTACCATACCAACTATACAGAGTCAGAAACCGATTTTGGAGGTATCGTCAAGGGCAAGCTTACTAGAGATTTATGGCTACGAATGCGCTCGACCTGCTCAATCATGCCTGTGAGGTTTGCATAGTCCCAGATGACGTCGTATTGCAAGTAAAGCCCAAGTTCATCCGCACGATCAAGGTATGGTTCAAATTGATCCCACGGGAACGGCTTCTCTCCAAGAGTGCCCGTCGGTACAATGTGTATGACATTGTAGCCCAAAGCGGCAAAGTCATCCAAGGTCGTTATGTTACTGTCCCAGTATAGACTCCATTGGACTGTTTACACGTAAGTCTTTGTCACGTTAGGTGAGATTCCCGGAGAATATACGGACCGTAGTAGGTGTAAGGGAAGATGTGCTTCCAGTCCTCGTCGTCCCTCTGTACCCAAAGACCTCCGTACAAGCTGTCGAGCCTCGACACGCTACCATAGTTTTCGGGCGTTGGCAGCTTGAAAAGCTCGGTACTGGCTTGATAGATATATGAACCATCAAGGGTTGCTTGCACACTGATATTGAGCCCATCTAGACTGGTTGTGAATTGACCCAGGTCCAGTGGAACCTCGACATCAGTTGAGCCAATATCGACTGCAACAGTGTCGATGACAGTGCCGTTGAAGATGACATCTATGCTCAATTCACTAGTAGCCGTGCTATAAGCTCCGGTATAATTGGCTGGAAGCGGCTGTCCAACTTGGTACGAGATGGCGGCGTCAATCAACAGGCTGGCCTCTTGATCCGTCTCAAGGTATATACTCATCCGCGGTTTTACGCGCAGATCCAGCAAGGGTACGTCCGACTTTGCTGGTTCCTCGAACCAACCTCCCGGATTGAATGATGCATTTCTAGAGATATTTAGGATCCAAATAACCCGAATTGATTGTTGCTCATGTCAGAAGAAGGGAAACTCACGTTGAACGATATGCCTTGCCGCACCATATATCTACACCTTCGGGATTATTGAATTGTCCCTGCACTGCTGCCAACCAGCTCAAGGTCAGGGCCAATGGCCACGAAGACAGGGAGAATGAATGCCTCATTTTCATACTGCTCCGCACAGTTGCAATGATGATGCAGCCATGTGCACCTCGGAAACTTCAAACCATTGGTATAAATCCGGAAGATGTTCAGTCTTTTACCTAGGCTTGTGCCACTAAAGATCACTCACTGTACCTGGGAGTGGGGCATGTTTAGTGGTGTCACTATAGCGAGATCTCGTAACCGAAGGCAACGTGACACTCACCCAGTGCACTTAGTTCACGATTATTCCATATCAACAAGGAGTCTAGCGGGCATACGTAACAATATCAGGGTCCATTCTTATCACGGCAAACGCCTTTGCCCCTGGAGTTGTCTTTGCTGTATCTTTCTTGGGACCTTGCAGATCACCCCGACGTCATCCCCAGAATGGTCAAGAGTGGTGGCCTTTTTTCTCCCCTTGCCCATGGTTGGGAAAGAAGCGGGGATTTTGGGTTCGGTAGATAAGGAGATGTTTACAACCGATGGCCCCCCTCCGCCGAGCCCCCCGAACCTGGAATACTGCAATGCCTGTATCTATCGTACATATCCTCCCCTCCGAAAAAATAGTGGATATACATACCCCGGTCCGCTGTTACTGCCACAAACGTTACCTCGACAATCGGATGCAAAGAGCGACCATGCCGAACGGTGACGATGCCGAGTTTATATCAGGTTACTGCCTGGAATTGAAACTCTGCCGTGTCAATCATCACCGCAACTCACCAAAGATTCTTCACATCTCCTCCGTCAGCAAAGTTGATTGCATGACATTGGAAACATGAAGGACTCGGTGGTCGATATGGGTTGGTCCAAGACCTTTATGCTTTTCGTGTCGGGCGTGTTGGCAGGCTCGTCATGTTACAGTGACACAATTCCAGGAGTATGTTTCCTTTGCAATTGAAAGAAAACAATCTGACACCTTCACTAGAAGTCAATTGCACTGAACTTGACGGACCTTTTCAACAACAAGGCCTTTGGAACTTATCCTGGCGAGGCAAACTTCAACACGTTGAACGAGTCTTATCCCGTTCCAAGCGTCGACACGACACAGTACCAATCTTCCGAGACGGGCATCTTGTTCTCGTTCCCCGGCTACACTGGACCTGATCTGGCAGATAATCTTATTTGCAGCGGAAATGTCCTTGATGTGCCGTCCGGCTCGTACTTTTCTGCTTCATTTCTCGTTGCCGGAGATTTGGAATCAACCAGCGTGAGCGCCAATGTGACCTTTACGTATAGTGACAACAGCACGTCGCTGTTTGAGCTGCGCAGTCTCAATTGGTTCGAGTTCTTGACGATAAACCGTGGCGAGATTATCTTCCCCAGCCGATACACTGATACTGGTGTCAACTTCAACAGTATGTACCATGACACTAAACTTGCCACCCGAGGCCAATAAAAACTATTGAGCCTTGTGGCATTGTGCTTTTGCGGAATTCTGTTGACTCATTTTCCACGTAGCCACCCATATTTTTGAGAGAACCGCGTCTATCCCCACCGGAAAGAATCTGCGTTCCATCACATTGCCGACCACGACTAATGCTACCGAGGGAAGACTCCACGTTTTTGCCATTAGTCTTTGGGAGGGTTCTTCTCTCGAGGTGCAATCGGTCAGACCTACTCAAAAGTGGCTAGACAGCGGCGCACAAGCCGTCGAGGTCACCATTAACAATGCAGGCACCGAATGCGTAGCAGGAGACGGACTCAATGTGACCATCACGGGCGAGGGCATCAAGACAACAGCCCCCGGCAACTTGAAGCGTCTGTGCCCAGGTGACCAAAAGACCATTACGGTCGGTGTCGAGGGAACTCCAAACAAGACAATCACTGCCAATGTCTTGCTCGATGACGGAGTGAGCCCGTCCAAGGTCACCGTTGATGACTTGGACTTTGGCTTGCTCACTTGGACCAGCGATCTCGGCGTGCTGGCCAAACATGAAAGCCCCGAGTGGTTTGACGACGCCAAGTTTGGCATCTTCATCCATTGGGGCCCGTATTCGGTTACTGGTAAGTTCATAGGAGCATACAAATAGTCAGAGACTACAGCCTCTTTTTGGACAATCTTGCTAATTTTGAACCTTTCACCTCCTAGGCTGGGGAAATTCATCGCCTTACGAGAGCTACGCTGAATGGTTCTGGTATGTGTCTAACCATAAGTTTTGACTGTAGCGGAGCTGATAGTTCATTATAGGTGGTACTCAACTCACCATCCACAAGCTGACAGATCCGACTTTTACGACTACCGGCTACGCACATTTGGTGCTGAATGGGTGTACGACGACACATTCCCCGACTTCAATGCATCAAAGTTTGATGCTAAAAGGTGAGTGAACTGACACCAGCGGAAGTTCGGACTGCTATAGGAGATACTGTCGCATATTGAACTGCACCAAGGCTAACATTCTTCTCAGCTGGGTGGACCTCTTCGCTGAAGCAGGTGCCAAGTATTTCGTGATCACTACGAAACACCACGATGGATTTGCCCTGTTTGACGCGGGAGACACGACGAACCGCTCCGCGATCCACTATGGTCCCAAGCGTGACCTCTTGGCGGAGCTCTTTGACGCTGCCGAGACCTACCAGCCGGCGCTCAAACGAGGCACTTACTTCTCGCTGCCCGAGTGGTTCAGTCCGGATTTCGCCCCGTACGGATTTGACCAGTTCAACACCAGCTCGACAACATCCTGGCCCGGAGGCTTGGCCACGAACCCTTACACGGGCGAGAAGGAGCCGTACACGGGCCGCATCCCCGTCGACGACTTTATCGCGGACATCATGGTGCCGCAGATGGAGACGCTGGCCTATGACTATGGCACCGACATCATGTGGTGCGACTGCGGCGCGGCCAACGGGACCGCCGATTTTGCCGCGGCGTGGTGGAACCAGGCGCGCGCCCAGGACCGCCAGGTGGCCATCAACTCGCGCTGCGGTGTCGCCGAGGCCGCCGACTTTGACACGCCCGAGTACCAGACGTTTTCGTCGGCGCAGCACCGCAAGTGGGAGTCCAACCAGGGCATGGACCCCTACAGCTACGGCTACAACCGCGCCACCCCCGACAGCGCCTACATGAATGCCACCACCATTGTCTACACGCTGGTCGACATGGTGTCGAAGAATGGAAACCTGCTGCTGGACATTGGTCCGCGCGCAGACGGAACCATAGTCGATGCCGAGGTGGACAACCTCAAGCAGGCAGGGGCATGGATCCACGCTCACGACGAGGCCATCTTTAACACGACATACTGGTTTGTACAGAGTGAGATTGTCGATGGTCCCGATGTGCGTTTTACGCAGACCAACGATGCTTTCTACATCTTGTTCCTGGAAAAGCCCTCTTTGGTCAATGGCAAAGTCGACATTGCCGCTCCAATCCCTGTCCTTGAGGGCGATGTCATTCAGCTTTTGGCTATAGAAGGAGGCGAGGACTTGACGTGGGAGTCTAGTGGAAGTGGCACGACGGCGGTTCTATCAATCACAATCTCGGAAGACCTGATTGAGGCTGAAGAGTTCTGCTGGGTTTTCAAAGTAGCATACCAGTAGATATAATCACAAAAGCACAGAGTGAAGTTGCCAGTACCATACTTAAGATCATGCAAGAGTGTTACGAGAAATTGTACTGCTAGAAGCGCTGGTCACAGTCGAAAAAAATGGATATTGTGGAAGCTCATTGGGCGACATATGTCACATGTCTGCATCTGCGTCTATATAAGCGGGCAAATGGACTAAGCATCCGAGCATGCGAAAAAACCCGAACGTGCATATTTGGTGAAAGTGAGCATCAAGTACAACACTGTGTTTTCTACCTTGGTCAGTGAGGGTTGTTCAAATCTTCCATGTTGTTCTCGTCATCTCATGCAGCAAAGAGGCAGACGGGGTGGTATCGGCGCAATAATGACCGAACGACAGATTGACCGGGGGAACAAGGCCAAGACCTGGCTCTTCCGACCCTGCCCTGAGCTGCCGGTTAATTGAGAGTAGATTTCAGGGCCCGTTTACATCGGACAAAAATCTAGACCAGAGTTCTGTCCAGAACATACTCGAGTTCAATGCCCCAGATGCATGCCTGGTGTCAGAAAGTGACGCAAACACGGCGGCTTCGACCATCAGACTTGTGACGAGAGATGCATGTTGAACTCTCGAGTGGGGATCATACCAATCAATAATAGGCAATTAGCAGCTTCAACTATTGTCCCTGTTACTCCGCCAATGGAACGAATATACTCCAATTTCAGTCCGGGGCCCCACGAACAAGATCTGCTATATACTGCGGGGAACCTGGACGCTTCCCAACCTCATCTTGCATAATACCTGGACATGCGGAATATCCTCCTATTCGCTGCTCTTCCAATTGCCATGTTTGACTGATATGACGCTGTTTTTATGAGGGCGTCCATCTCAATGATGTATAAATGTAAGAATCGCACGTATCCCGGATCATTCATGCCAGGTGGATACGACCATGGTTAGGATTATCCCATCTTGTTGTGCCGCAACAGCATTCCAGATTATATCATGAAGGCCCTTTCTTATCTGAAGCTGCTCCTCGCCGGCTCCTCGTTCTGGGTCACCACGGCCACGGCGCAGGAACAATCGAGCCCAAACTCGACATACTACAATCCCATTCTTCCAGGATGGCATTCAGACCCCAGCTGTATTCACGTCAACGAGACCTTTTTCTGCGTGACCTCGACGTTTATCTCGTTCCCAGGCCTTCCCATCTATGCCTCGGCCGACCTGATTGACTGGAAACTGGTCAGCCACGTGTGGAATCGCGAGGCACAGATCCCTGGCGCGTCACGCAACACTACGGGCCAGCAGCTCGGGTTCTATGCGGCCACGCTGCGGTACCATGATGGTTTCTTCTATGTTGCATGTCCTTGTGAGTGGAGTAAAGATTTGGATGATTTCTAGCTCGTCCCGTGTGTTGCCTTTGCGACGCAACTTTTCGGTATATTCTCACAAACAATACCAAAGACAAAAGACCAGGCATTGGGGAGAAACTATACATAAACACAATAGACTATCGATGCCCAAATGTCACGGTACTAACTTATCCATTGCCAGATTTGGGCGGAACGGACCATAACCTGGGCCTAATCTTCAAAACACAAGATCCGTTTGATCAAGACTCATGGAACGATCCGGTCTACTTCGAAACAACAGTCATTGACCCAGACTTGTTCTGGGATGATGATGGGACCGTGTATATTGCGCAGTCCGGCGTGGTTCTACAATCCATCGACCTCGAAACAGGTGCCTTGTCGCCAGAGACGCCGCTGAACGTGTGGAACGGCACCGGTGGCGCGGTAACAGATTTCTTTCCTTCTTTCTTTTTCTTGTTGTTATTTCAGCTTTCGCATTGCACATGTCGTCCCGCCTACAAAACTATAGCAACTAATTCCGGAACCTTTGGCAGTACCCTGAAGGACCACACTTGTACAAGAAGGATGGGTGGTACTACCTTTTGATCGCTGAGGGCGGGACGGAGCTGAATCACTCCATCACCATTTCAAGGTCATCGTCGGTCTGGGGCCCCTACGAGTCCTACGAAGGCAATCCGCTCCTGACGGCCCGCGGCACCGATTCCTACTTTCAGACCGTCGGCCACGGCGACCTGTTCCAAGACGAGGCGGGCAACTGGTGGGGCGTTGCGCTGTCAACCCGTTGCGGTCCAGCCTATGAGATTTACCCCATGGGCCGCGAGACGGTGCTATATCCTGTTACCTGGGCCGAGGGTGAATGGCCAATCCTGGACCGAATACAGGGCATCATGAATGGGTGGCCGCTGCCGGGGTCAACGCGAAATGTGCCCGGTGACGGGCCGTTTAATTCCGATCCGGACACGTACGACTTCCTCGAGACGGGCGCCGCCATTCCACGTAACCTCGTATATTGGCGCGTGCCCCGAGATGGAGCCTTCTCCGTGACAGACCAGGGCCTGCAGATCATTCCCAGCCGGGCAAATCTGACCGGGTCGTCGGATCTCAACCTCACAGGTCAGGAGGGCCTGTCCTTTATCGGTCGGCGCCAGACGGACACGCTCTTCACCTTGAGCGTGGACCTTGCCTTCAACCCCGAGTCGGCCGGGGCCGAGGCGGGCATCACCGTCTTCTTGACCCAAGAGAACCACATTGACCTCGGCCTCGCTCTCCTGCAGTCCGACGACTCCGAGGAAGCGCCCCAGTTGACTTTGCGTCTGCGAGCCGAGGCACCCTTGGTTGACAATCCGCCAAAAGCGAGCGAGCCGCTGGCACCAGTGCTGGTCTCGGTCCCGTCAACCTGGGCAAGCGACACAGCTATAACACTTCAGGTTCAGACTGCCAATGAGACGCACTATCGCTTTTCTGCTTGGCCCTCTAGCAATCCTAATGCACGGATTATTCTGGGCACTGCGTCTGCACAACTGGTCAGCGGTGGCAGTGGAACTTTTGTAGGGACTTTGGTTGGAGCATATGCCACTTGCAACGGCGCTGGCGAGGACTTGGACTGTCCAGAAGGTGGCAATGCCTACGTTCAGAATTGGCGATACACAGGATCAGCACAGGCTATATCTGCTGTTGAACTTGTCTCGCCGACCATCTGAGCTTGGCTTGCTATTGTGTGACAGGCCCCTGATGTCGAATAAGGACAAAACGTAGCATACATACAGCTCAACCAGACAAATTCATGTTTTAGATATTACGGCCTCAGTCTCATGACGAGCATATAAATTTCATACAAACAGTAATGCATTTCTGTATCCTAACGTCAAGGGGGTATATCACAAATAACGATGCCACCCCTGTCCAAATTATCTGATTTTTTGGGTTTTACTTTACAGCCACTGGTGCAGTCCAGGTCCAATTTCCGATCGTCTGGGGCAAAATTCAATGCAAAATCGCTGGTGAACTACTAGGTCTTTCCCCTTCTCCCGCCTGTTCCTCAGACATCATCATCGCCCCGCGAAATCACTTCGTATAAACTGTCACCATCGCGTGTGACAGCGCTTCTGCTATATGCAACGAGTCGGGATCGACTATCATTAGACAATGATCTAAAAGTGACTGCAGAGAGTCCATTGAAAAACGCCGACGCCAGAGAAAACGATTGGTAGTTCCAGGCATATATCGGTATGTTTGCGAATCGAATACAAAAGAATAGTCCTTGACCACAAAAAGCGCGGCAAGCAGCGCGCCTTTACTGGGGTCTTCGCAAATGAATTCGTACGATCGCTGTCATTCTGTCATGCGCGCCCGCGCGGGCAAGAGTTGATATGCATCAGCCGGTTTTCCTCGTTGACGTATATCTGAGTCCAATGCGAAAAGAAAAAAAGCAAAAGTGGGTATGTTGTGAATTGATGCTGATGAATTGGTGATGCTCATACTTTGTGAGCATGTTGACCGTTTCGCTTCTCCTCGCGATAATGTTATGAAAACGAAATGTTCGTGACCTTGAGGTCCCATAAGCCGTTCCGAGGTATACGGTCCATCTTTTACCGTTCCATACTTTCTGGGCTCATCATGCCGGTGTCGGTTTTGTCTGTTTGGCTGTTGGCACCTTGGCTTTGCATGCTCTCAGCACGTGACATCTCAGGCGCTACAGGCAACGACGATGATGGCGCATTCATAGAACTGTTCGAAGCAGCGGCGCCAGTTTTCGCAGGCAGCTTCTTGTCCTTGCTTTTCTCGGGGCTCGCATTGGCAGCATTGGCCTTTTCTGCGGCGGCGGCAGCAGCAGCCTCCATCTTCTTCTTCTTCTTGTTAATGGCGTTCTGCTCCTTCGGTGGCCGCTTCTGGGGAGAGACGATCTTGCCCGTAGCACCGAGACGTGGTCGAGGACGCTGCTGTTTGACGGGTAGATCGGCATCCTCAATCAAGGGCTGATCGCCATTAGCGTGCAACTTGGCGAGGAAAAAGTTCTTAGCCAGGCCGATTTGGTTGTGAATATTGTCCTTCGTAACGGGGTCAGGAGGTGACAGTTCGTCAAACATCTGAGCATCCGCCGGCCCTGCGGTGGTATTTTGACTGGTGTAGGTCATGCGAACCCTCGAATGCAACAAGTGAAGAGGAACAGACAGCATGCCACCGAGCTCGCCCGCTAGACCGAGGTCACGGAAACCAAAGTAGTCTTCGCCAAGTTCTTCGGCAAAGTCACCGCTGACAAACTGCTCGCTGCCCTCGTTGAATGATGATGCGCCACCGTCACCTGTTCCTTCCTGCAGCGCTGGACGGAGAAGGTCGCTCAGATGTGTCTTCATACGATCATGCATAGACACGAGCTTGTTACCAAGTCTGTCAACTTCGTCCTTGGCATAGGACTCCAAGTCCTCGACGCTGTATCCGTTTTCGCCCAAGGTATGAAGAAGAATCTCTTCATCAGTGAATCGAGGCTGCACACGAGCGCCACGTTGAGCGTATACCGGCGTAGGATCGGTTCTATCAGCCTCGGCGTAAATCTTGAATGTCGTGCTGAGCTTGTGAAAATAGTCCCCAGCAATATCCGTAATGGCATCCAACGCAGATGGTTGCATTTCCTCGAACCCAGCGTGATACAGCAATTTTGCGACAGATCTCTGCAGGGCGGCTCGGTTGACAGTAGGGTCCATGACCAGATTGTCGGCGCTACAGACGACATGTGGCTCAATGTCATGCTCCACAAAAGGCTCAGGTTCATACTTGGGAAATTGATTCTGGTAAACCTGTCATTCGTCTCGTCAGTTTGTGCTCAATAGTCAGCCGCATCCATTCTCTCCATACCTGGGTTTGTATCTGCATTTGTTTGACCACAGCAATCTTTGCGCAGACCTTTCGAGTCTCCTGCATTTGCCTTAGATTGGCGTCGAGCCTTTCAGAAAGCTGGCCTTTGGGCGCAGTGTAGAGACCACTCGGGATAGTTTTGAGATACTCCTCATGGTGATTGATCACTTGGCCATCACCATCCTCTACCCACTGCAGTTTGGGGTGTATATCTGGAATCAGGCTCTGTGTCTCATAGTAGTCGGGGGCAAGAATGTCTCCGTCATCCTCTTCCATGCCTTCTGCGAGAGTCTCTGGTGCTTTGGGTGCGTCCTTACTGCCTGCGACCGACGAATCTGCGGTGGGACTGGACGTGCCAAGAGGTTCTGCCTGCTGTTGATGACGCAAGAAGTTGCGCATCTTGGCCTTGGTCCGAAGTAGAGCGGGTTCGTCGACATTGAGCTTGCGTCCGTTGAACAGCTGGTAGCGTCTCATGGCAATTTGAGCACGATCCTTCTTGGTGAGCTGCTTATAGATCTTGTACTCGTCATCCTCGTACACCTGCTCCTGTGCCTCATTGAGTGCGTGATTGAGAGCCATTCCGTTCAAGGATGGGCCATCGATATCCATGGCATCTCCATTGCTGGCTATGCCAGAATGTCCATTCATACCTCCAGGAGTAGCCGAGCCAGCTATGGGTGGTGTTGCAAACCCGTTGCTCCCGTCAAGCTCAGACCCTTCCCTATGTGCTTTCGCAAGTAGTCCATTCAGTTGTAGGACTGGCTTCTGATCGGCACCAGGCGTCGCTTCTTTCTGATCGGTGGGAGCTTTGCGAGACTTTGCGCCTTTTGCGCCGGTGGTGTTTCGACCGCGCGAGGACATGATAGGCTCATCGTCGGAATCGTCACCATTGTCGTCATCTCCACCATTCAACTTGCGGCGTTCCTCAGCTTCGACTTCGGCGCGGGGGCGGATGACAAGGTCAGGGATTAGGGGAATGAGCTTCTCGGCCTCCCTGCGCATGCCATTGGCCATGCGCCTAAGGGGATGGTTCATATCTTGATTGTAACGCAAGCAATTGTCCCAAATCAAGTTCAAATCGGCGACAAATTCTGCCTTTGACTTGTACTGTGTGGACTTGAGCTTCTTGGTCATGGTCCCGAGGTCCATGGGTTTTGTGATGACTTCTAGATATTAGCGACACTGGAATTGGGCCAACTTCTGCATGATGACTTACGATTGTAGTAGTCTGGCGCGTCTCTCTTGTTCACTTTCTGTAGAAAGGGGGTAGAGTATTCTGTATGCGCCTTAAGTTCAGTAAGAACTTTCTCAACTGCCTCATAGAGTTCCTCCTGGTTGACGTTCTCCTCGCTGGCCCATTTACTTCGATTTTTCCTAACTTCGTTCATAAGGTGGCGCAGTTCAGCATCTGATGCGCGGACCATATCGCGCTTCATGTCGATACGCGCAATGAGATGTTTGAGCGTCAAACTCGAGGCACCCAGGTTGGCGCTACTAAGAGAGCCGTGGTTTTCAGCACCAGATGTGCCGTTGGTATTTTGGTTACTATTGTTCTTATCCATCTCAGCTTGCAGCTGTTTCTCTGCCTCTTCAAGCTGCTGTTGCTCTAGCATGGCGGTTCGGTCGTTCTCCAATGTGTAAAACATGGTGTGAAAACTACGCTTGACAGCCTGCTCGGTAGCTGTGCGATCCTGCTCCAATTGCTTACGCGCATCTTCGGAGGATTTGTTGCGTTCTTGCGACGCTTGTGAGCCTTGAGAAAGGTCATCTTTGGATTTATCGTGTTTGTCCGGCGTCGTGACTGATTGCACGGGGGAGCTGCCGGATTTTGATGGAGAGAGCAGGCCTTTGTGTGCCTGTGTGGCGCTTTTTGATTTGGATGTCGCGGCATCCTGGGTGCTGTCACCGTCATTGCCATTGTCTTCGTCGTCTCCGTCGTCATCATCGCCATAGTCGTCTTCATCGATGACCCGCTTTGCGCGCTTGACGGGGCGCTCTTCAAGCGGCGCATGATCGGTGGTTGGTGGTAGGAGAGGGGCGCCGAGAGTGATGGGACGGCGAAGAGATTCGATGGCAGTATAGTCGTAGCATCCGTCTTCACCAAAAATATGCGAAATGTTTGCTTCGGTCCTGCGAAAGAGGTCGGCGAAGAAGGCGCGTTGTCGGTCATCCTCGGTGCTATCAGTAGTTGATGCCTCAGGCACCGAAGCCTGGGACTGGGAGTTGTCGACGGGCGTCTGAGTGCGTCCGGGGCCATCATCGGGAAAATGAAATGACCTGTTGCCATTGACTTGATGTCCCGACAAAGGCGGCCATTGTTGATTACCGTTCATGATGGACATGATGGTCCTTCGCGTTCTATGGGGATGACAGGCCTGCGGTCGCCATGCGGGCTGGAGAACGCGGCGGGGAGTGGCTGTCGCGACGGCAATATGGCGTTTGGTGCGCCTAGAATGACATTGATGGAACGAGCGACATCGAAATAGATGGGAAAAGTGGTTTCAACGACGAGAATTGATGATTATGCTCGTGTCGCGATGGGTTCTAGTCCAGGCAATTCGCGTGTCGTTGATGGGATGTGGTTAACTTAGGAGTCGCCAAAAAGGGTACAGGCGAGTTTTGCTCTCCGCAATGACCGCATGTCCCATCCGAAGTACTTTTAGCATTCAACTTGCGCCTGGCATAACTCGAGCCCGCGCATATGAAAAATAATAGCTACACTAATGTTCAATTCATTCACCATTTCATTCAACATTCTTTACAGGTTTGCGCAGGATCCAATTGCCATGTCAAGGTCTTGTTCTGCCAGATGCCCGCTTCCGATCGATGTACCCTCTCCGCAGTGGCCCCCTTCATCCTCGAGACTAGAGAAAATCACGTGTTTCCTTACTGGCCTCATTGTCTCGCGTCGTCGTCCAACTTGTGAACTCTTCGCGTCCTTTTTCAAGTCTTTGAGAGATTGCAGCATTAACAAAGACTAGATATCAATGGGATTCGGTCCAATGCACCAAGTCGATTTGTGAACTCCCCCTCCAGGTCATTTTCTTGCTTGGGTACGCCTTGTTCAAAGAGCACCATTATATTCACCTCATGGTCGAATGCTGGTCTTGGCGGAGGAACCCCACATCGAGCCACGAGCACAGCTGGACCTCCACAATGCGCTTAATATGGTGCACTCGCAGCATGATGAGCAGATGTCAAGGCGGGAAAAAGGAATTATTCAGCTTGTGCATATAAAATTTTTGAGTAAGATTTCCCAAGATCACTTATGGTCATGTTATAATGACTTAAATGTATATCCAAATATTGGCTATATTTGTAAAAGTGCTTCCACAACCATGCCCCGGATACACCTCAAACAAACACGAGAGGGAAAAAAAACACATTGACCCAAAAGTGTCTGACGACTCCAGCCCAGGCTGCCAGGTCATTGCCAGGATGGGTATTAGGCCACCCCACTCCACTGTGGGAAGCTCGACCAGCCACCCGGGTCGCTGCCTTTTCACCGTTCCAGCTCCCTGACCTTTTCACCTTAGCTGCCTGACTGTCTGTCGACGGACTGGCGGTACAGGCTTCCAGCTCTGTATGTAGTAGTAGCTTTTGTTGCCCCAAAGGTGGAGCTTGAATGGGCAATGGGATTCAACATTGCGATTATGACAAGCAACAGCTCTCCCTATGACCAACCTTTTTTTTCGGCCCCAACACTTACACAAGGCACAAATAGGCCAGCTTTTCCTCGTCCATACCTCGGCCATTTGTCAACAAGGGAAAATGACCTCGATATAATTTCTCCGTGGCCTCTCATTTCTTCTTCTTTAGCTCTATTGAGTATAACAAGATGCGTATCCGCCTTCAGTTCGCAGGTCAGTCTCTTCCAGTCTTGTCGAAAATCACTCCATCTCTCGTATTCTTCAAAGGCCGCCGAGTGTTGGGAGCCAAAGAAGCGACATCGAGAAATGTTCAGCTCCAACAGCAGTCTTCTTTCGACCCTGGGTTGCTTTCGCCCGTTTTCGGATGATCAGTACCGACGTCTTGATCCATGCTGACTTGTTCAATTCACCTTTCAGGCACCTTTTTTATCCTCTGCCTGCTGGCAGGCTACGCCGGCCTCTCTTCCCTCCAGCTTGGCGTCTACATAAACGACAAGGCCCTACATGTGTTGACCTTTTTCATCCTGACCATCGTATTCTACTGGATCGTCGATACGAACCGGCGACGCACCCTCAACCTTACCCTCGTAGTATGCACCCTGCTCCTCGGCATCGGTTCCGAATTCCTCCAGGGCTTCCTCCCCAACGGCCGCGAGTTCGACTCTTATGACATCGTCGCCAATATCGTCGGGAGTCTGGGTGGCTTGGGTCTCTGCAGCTGGTACCATAACCGCATGCTCGAGCGGAGAAGAGGGAGGAGATATGATGCTGTCCCCGGCGAAGACGAGGACGATCTTGAGCTCGGCCAGGGAGTCTCATCTGAGGCGGGGCAGGAAGAGGGAATCATGAGCTCTACAGTCAATGAGAGGGCTCCGACTCTAGAGGAGGAAGTTGATAATTGGGACGAGAATGCTGTTGACGCTTGGGATGACGATGACGGCGACGGAGACATCAGCGCTGCTTCCACGAAACCACAAGCGACGGAGCTGAACGGTGGTGGCGACATTGGCGAAGCAAAGAAGCGGACTGACTGAATAATTGATTTGCTAAACGGGAACGGCCTGGCATTCCCCTACTGTAATACCTCTGCTTTTGGCGTTCAGGTGGGGGCTAATGCTGGCTTGATGGATTCATGGATCACGGCTCTCAGGACTTGATTTTACGACTCAGACGAGCGTCACGATACCAACTCAATCTGGAATTTTCACCATCTAAATGTTTTTATATCAGCGATTGTACACATGACTACCTGCTATTACATGATGGCTACGAGACGTCGACGGAGGCGTCTGCAATATTTGCACTTGCACAAAACGACTTTACTGGTACTGCCCGCAGACATGTGGCTAAAATTTTCAGATGCAACAGAAAACTCGAGTTGCAGAAACAGCCAAGACCAACTGTCCCCGTGTCTGGAAAGAGAGCGAAAGATACGCAATAGAGACACGATGAAATCCGACGCCAATGAGCTTGTTCCACATACTGCATTTCTTCAAGGGACCAGACGACAGCCATTGGTTCGGCGAAATCGGCGATGCATTAGCAAACTCTGGGTGATGACAAAGCGACCGTGGTACCTTGAGCCCAGCTGGGGGGTGGGTGTTCAACTCTATACTCGGCAACCCCTCTTACGGTTATATGTTCGCGAAAGAAACGCTCATGCCCATGGGTTCAAAAGATAATCTGTTCCTGATAATCTGCTTTTACAATTAGCAAAGAAACTCCAACTATTCTTTGATTCGATGCTGATTTGATGCTACTGCAAACTTGATTCAATCGGCAAAGGCTCGGGAAATCCAGCTGACGAAATCGGGACCTGAGTCGACGCAACCTCGAACTAGCAAAATTTATGCCAATCCAGACTCTGATTGATGAATAGCGGTGGAAGTGGAACCTTTTACATGTATAATCGTTGGAAAATACTTTTATGCATCTTTATTTGTATATAATTCGACCCCAGAATCAACTCCGCTGTCGCTCGGGGATCTTGTTTTTGTAAATACGATTCAGAAAATTCACTCTCGTTTGAAATGCCGCAAACCGACACAAGCCTGCACGGCATCAATGGCCAGATCAACGGTTTGAATGGTACAACGAAGCATGATGCTGCAGGAACCACATTAAACAGAGCCTCTGAGCTTGAAGATGCAAGTTGGCTCAAAGACACCTGCCACTATGGCAAAATGCTAACTCTTTTTACCGGTAGCTTGTAGATGCTGTGAAAGGCCTCTTGATCTCATATATCCGCGCAGCCGATGAGGCAGCTCCCGTCAGAGCCCAAGGTGGCGATGCATCGGCTCAAGCAAGTGTGCTCGTCGAGCCACACGCACCCAAGGCATTGGTAGAGAAAATGGCATTTTCCTTGCCGCAGCAGAGTGGCAAAGGCAAAGACGGGCTCCTTGAGACTATTAAAGATGTCTTGAAGTATAGCGTAAACACTTGGGACCAGGGCTTCCTTGACAAACTATACTCCAGCACAAATCCTGTCCGTACAACTGAGATAACCCAACAAGAAAAACGAACAACATTGCTGATTCATTCTATTTCAGGTGGGAGTAATCTCCGAGCTTGTTCTGTCGATTTTGAATACGAATGTAGGTTCACGACTATGGTGTTTTCCCGATACCCAAGTCTTGAGACTTTCATTGGATCAATGTTTACTGACCATTACCCCTTCCAGGTTCATGTGTATACTGTTGCTCCGGCTTTGACTGTCATTGAGCGAGAAACTGCACGGTCATTTGCCCGGCTCTTTGGCTTCACTGGTCCCCGCGCTGGTGGAGTTACATGTCAAGGTGGTTCCTCCTCGAATCTCACATCATTGATTATTGCGCGGAACGCCCTCTATCCCGATACCAAGACCAACGGCAACGGGTCTCACAACTTTGTGCTCTTTACCAGCAAGCACGGGCATTACTCGGTCGAAAAGGCCGCCACCACTCTCGGCCTGGGTTCCGCGGCCGTGATTCCCATTCCCGTGGACGACGCTGGCTGCATGGTCCCGAGCTCGTTGAGAGAAGCTATTGTCAAGTCCAAATCCGAAGGCAAGACGCCTCTCTACGTCAACTCTACGGCCGGAACCACCGTCCTCGGTTCCTACGATCCCTTCCGCGCCATTGCCGCAATTTGTAAAGAGTTCAATCTCTGGCTCCACGTTGATGGTTCGTGGGGCGGAAACGCCATCTTCTCGAGCACGCAGCGCCACAAGCTGGATGGGGCAGAGCTCGCCAATTCTCTGACCGTGAACCCGCACAAGATGCTCAATGTGCCAGTGACGTGTTCGTTCCTCCTGACCAATGACGTTGGCGTCTTCAAAAAGGCCAACACCCTGGCGGCGGGCTACCTGTTCCACGGCGGCGGCGGCGGCGACGACGACGCAGACAACGAGGAGCAGCACTGGGACCTGGCCGATCTGACCCTGCAGTGCGGTCGGCGCGGCGACGCCCTCAAGCTCGCGCTGGCTTGGGTGTACTACGGTGCCGCTGGCTTTGAGGAGCAGGTGGACCACGCGTTCGCCATGGCCTCGTACCTCGCCAACCTGGTCAATGAGCACCCCGACTTTGTGCTCATGAGCAGCAACCCGCCGCCCTGCCTGCAAGTGTGTTTCTATTATGCCCCCGGGGGCAAGCTGGCCGATGAGAACAGCGAAAACACTAGACGGACAAGCGAGCTAGTGAAGAAGCTGGTCCCCCGAGGCTTCATGGTGGACTATGCGCCGGGCCCGCATGGCAGCTTTTTCAGGGTTGTCGTGAACTGTCAAACACTAAAGGGAACAGTCGAAGGGTTGCTCAAGGCATTAGAAGAAGTAGGCAAGCAGGTTGTAGCGTAAAAATAGATTGGAAAGGTAAATGCTTCAAAAATGTACAAGTCTGTTGTGCCGACCTCATGATCAATCATTCCGATGACTAAATATCTAATCTAATTGTAAAATAGGAAATTTTATTTTCTAGACTTGGCCAAGATTAAAACGAGTCTTCACATTCCGATAAAAACTGATATTCGCACAGAAGGGCTTGCCAGCGAAAGGAATCTTTTTAACACAACTCCCATGTTCGAAATTTCAATAAACAATGATATAGCAAAAAGATTGAAGAGTAAGAATTCTCCAAAACAATGGCTGATTTGTTCCAGTGACTGGAACGCATCGGGAATTGAGCCCAATGCGGGGGTCGAACCCGCAGCCTTGAGATTAAGAGTCTCACGCTCTACCGATTGAGCTAACCGGGCAGGTTCTTGTTGTTGATGCTAGATGCGTTATCGTTTACTATATAGCTTCTGTTAAACAAGCACCAATCACGTTGTTCAGACGGGCTTGGAGGTGGATATCGTGGTGGGGTGAGTGAGCTTTGGCGGAGCGCCGCAGGAAACGAGTGCTGGGTAGGTCATGGTTCTTCATGTCTCTTAAAATAAGGTCGAAATCAAGTACTGGGTTGACTAGAGTCTGCGAAAGCGGTCCGGAGGTACAGCTGTGGTTTTGTGCTCATATTGACCATGATTGAACCAAAATGCGTGTCAAAACATGCGGGCAATATTGGTATTAGCCTCTGCCATGGAATTTTATTTTGACATGGTAGCATGATGCGAATCATGATATGGTGCTGTACTTCGGGCAACGGTGTTTCGAGGCCATGGATAATCTAGAGTAGGATAGAAACTTTATTATGTTCTTGTCTCTGACGATCCTTGTCACAAATTCAAAGTATACGCTGTACCACAAATATCCACTGCACTAGAAATCATTCGCTGTATGGAGTTATACTAATCTCCGTACCAGGGTACACCAGTATGATTGCCTAGAACACGAAATACATACAGGGACCTGTCGAATGTTGTTTGAAACTTGCGCAGATGTAAAATCGTGGACCTCGCACATTTGCAGATTTGCGAGATGTTGAAAGCGTTTACCTAAATAGGATGGCGCCCATAACCATAACGCATTTAACGGACTTAAACCCGCCGTACAGCCAATATTGTTTGCGGCACCATCGAGCATGCCACGATATAAAATAGTGAATACATTCAGTCAACAAGGCAAATAAGCACTTCTATCCGTTCATGCAAATAATTATAGTATATGTTCTCGTCATATTCACTTCTGTCGCCTTTCGAGAAAAATCACACAATGGCATCTGACAAGAAAATCGTACTTATTACCGGTATGTCGAGCTAGAGTATGCCACGTCAGAGTAGCCAATCAGACTGACATGACATATTTATAGGCGCTAATGGTGGCATCGGTCTGGAAACCGTGGTTCATCTTGCTCAGAGCTCAACCGAGTATCATATCCTGCTGGCCTCTCGCTCAGTAGAGAATGGCCAAAAGGCCTTGCAGCAGATCAAGTCCACCCATGGCGACTCCCTCAAAAGCTCCGTGTCAGTTTTGCAGCTTGACGTGACGAGCCGCGAGTCTGTACTAGCCGCCAAAGATGAGATTGAGAGCACATATGGCAAACTCGACGTACTGGTCAACAATGCGGGCATTCTCCTCATCAAGCCCATGGACATACTCGAGAAGCTCCGCACGACTTTTGAGACCAACGTCTTTGGCCCATGGTTTCTGACCGAGACGCTGGAACCCTTGCTCAAGAAGTCGGCGGCGCCCTTGATCATCAATGTCTCCTCAGACCAAGGGTCCATCACCCGCAAGCTGGATCCGAGCAACCCCGGCGCCAAGACGCCCGGAGAGCCCTACCGGGCCAGCAAGTCGGCCTTCAACATGATGTCGGCGTGTCAGCGCTACTCGTACAAGGAGTGGGGGTGCAGGGTGTGCGCTTTCAATCCTGGCTTCTGCGTCACTAACCTCACCGGCGAGGAGACGCGGCAGTTTCGCATCGACCATGGTGCCAGGCCTGCAAGCGATCCGGCCAAGGCGATGGTAATTGTTATTGAAGGCAAGCGTGATAAGGATTTCGAGGAGAATGGAATGTTTGACCTGGATGGAGGATTTCTGCCGTGGTAAATTAGGACTACTTTTGGGAGGGACCGGATAGAGTAACAAAATATCATAAAGGTCTCTGAACATTATACAATGGATTATCTTCCTATGGTTGCTACTCTGATTGTTCAACAGCTTGAATTCTGCCAGCCTTTCCCAAATCTGCCTCGATGATTGACCTTGACAAATTGACAAGACTTTCTTTGGTGTAAATAACAAGCTGCGTCTTATCTTTTTGCGCGTCTTGGATAATGAGTCCACAATCACCAATAATCGCATCATTCGGAAGACGACTCGCTCAGGTGGCGTGTCCGAACGGCACCCCATGCAGGTCACTTATGCATCCTTTCTCAGAAAGGAACCCAAAAAAGGAGCCCGCCCTGGCGTTTACAAGTTTCTCATGAAGCGGTATCGTCTTTCCAGAGCCATCTTGGTAATGCTTATTTCGCTGGCTGCTTCGAACCCATGCGGCACGCCGCTAAAGAGATGAAACTCAATATCGACGTCGGCCGCCGCCAGCCTGGCAGCAAACATGGCGCACTCGTCTCGGAACAAATCGAGGGAGCCCACGTCAATATAAGTGGGCGGCAGACCGCAGAGGTCCGTAGCCCGACCCGGGGCCACGTAGGGGCTGACGGCCCCCTCATCCAGGCTGCCCGCCTTGTCCTTTCCGACATACGCCTCCCAGCACATGGCCAGGGTCCCGAGCGGAAGCGAAACGAGCGGGGCCTGCGGATTCTGCGGCGAGAGGCGCTTTATGGTCCGATCGTCCAGCATGGGGTAGGTCATGAGCTGGCGGGCGACGGGGGGCTCGAGACCGCGATCCCGGGCCATGAGCGAACAGCCGGCCACGAGGGCGCCGCCGCCGCTGTCGCCCATGAGGCCCAACCGCGCCGCGTCAAGGCCCAGCTCGGCCGCATGCTCTGACACCCAGCGCAGCGCCGCGTAGCAGTCCTCCACGGGGCCCGGGGCAGGGTGCTCGGGCGCCAGGCGGTACTCGACGGCAAGCAGCTGCGCACCAGACTCGGCCGCCTGCTTGGCCAGGAGTGGTGCATAAATCTCAATGCTCAGCGCGCAGACGCCGCCGCCGTGGAATTGGAGCCACGCCGGCAGAGGCGTTGGGCTCTCGAGCTGCTCTGTGGTTGCGAAGCGGGTGATTTCCAACTCTACGCCATCGTAGGAAGGGATTCGGTACACTTTGCGTTTAATTGTCGGCTGGGGTGGCATTTGGGCCCATACTACTCGAGTAAAGGTGTCGTTGTACTTTCGCATTTCTCTCACGGTCTTGCATAGCGGAACATTGGTGAGGTTGCCGAATGGTTTGCGCCATTCGGCATACTCTGGGTCGAATGTGAGGGCCCGAGGTATGTGTTGTTTAATTTCCATATTTGAATATTTCGATATAGTATGAGTCGCTCTAAAGACTTGTTTGTCATTTTGCCTACATTTGGATCTTTTCCCTTGTGTTGATATACTGCCAATTTGAGTCTCACGATCTGCACGTGTAGCGCAGGTTTGCGTATTCCAGCTTATTCCAGCATAAGCACGTCGGCCACTTGAGTCAACGGTGTAACGTGAATGCTCCACCGAGTCTCACGCCGATTTCCTAAATGATATATCATATCTGTAATTAGAAGCATGTGCGAGGGTTGATCGTGTTTATCAGATCATATCTCTGGAGAAAGAACCTTCCCAATGCGGCAGGCCTCTCCTCTTCCTCGCGACTCCGCCCGTACGCTTTGTCCGATTGAGTCAGGCCATGGCCGAAATGTCTTGTGTATGTTGAATAGTGAGATGTCAGAATGTGCGTACCCAATACTTGACCCAATTGAATGGGAAAAGGATTCCAGCAGGATGGATTGGCTTGTAGCTGCCATCGGGAGCCTAGGAAAGCAAGAGACAGACAGCGCGCGCGACTGCGCCCCGGTAGCAGAAAATGCCGAGAAAAAGAGCGCGCCAAAGACTTTGAAACTCCAGTCCAGTCATCAACAGCTTGATTGGGTGTACGTAGATGAAGACGTACTCGATCTTCTCTCCCTCCCTGGCCAGAGAATATCGTACTTCGTCATGGGCATGATACTCACCAAGAATGATACAGATCTTCATGGGTGATCGCTATGCTGGCGGAGCCTCCAATGCATCGCCAAACATGACGTCCCTAGAGAAGATTCCATCATTCGGGAGAAGAAAAAAAGAGAGACACCATCGCGCACGTCCCCTGGAAGAGAAAGTGTGTTTTGATTTTAACTTTTCTCTTGCAAAGTCTCGGAAGAAAAGCTGCGGACGCATTGGCGCGACCTGGAAGCGCCAGGCGCCTGTTCTGAAGGGGCGCCACTGACGATGCAAATCCGCTCCACCGCACACAGCTTTTCAATGGCGCCAAACCAAAAACCACAAAAATCTTCCTGATCGGGGAATCGTTCTGCTTGCAGAGTTCGATTTGCACGCAAAGGAACGGTTCCTCCTCTGGAGGAAAGCTCCGCCGTCGGCAGCGGGATCGGGGAGGGCCAAGAGAGGAGAAATGATGTTCATTCTTCTTCTAGAAAAGGAACAAGCGCGGATGTGTTCTTTCTGGAGCATTCCCTTTTGACAGCCCATTTCACTGCTATTTTTACGATGCGGCCCGGTATGCGGCTGACGCCCAAATCGGCGATGCGTAGACCCCAGGCCCGCTACGGGATATCGCGAAGCGGACTGCGGCATCGCACTGATGAACCCCCCTGCTGATCGCCGAGTAGAAGAAGACGGAGGGGGGTTACCCTTCATTTTCTGCCCTTGTTCTTCCAGGTCCCTGCGATAATCAATAGGGGTCTGGTGAACCCAGATCGGTATATATGCAAAGTTAATTCTCTTCTTCCTTTTCGTGATCATCGCGAGGGATGATGGCTTATACCAGGGCCCTTGACTGAGATCGAATATTAGTGGTGATATGTGACAGCGCGAATCGCTTTTGTATACAATAAATACATACATGATTATGTGATCACATCTCTCGGGTTGCCGGGATGGGTGCGGGCGTCATTTCTCACCTACCTGAAAGATTTGATTTGATTCCAATGGCACCAAAGTCTAATCTTTTCGACAAGCTTGACTGGATTAACCGGAATATCTGCTGGCTATTAGCGCTGCTGCAAGATGCACGAGCAATAATGCACCGTTGGACTCTCTCTCTCCCATTAGCATCCGCAACCAGCAGCACTCAATCTCACATGCGATTGGCAATAACCCTCTTTTCGACATGTGTCGTCCCACGTTTTGTCCCGAGCGACACATTCTTTGATGCGTCTGTCCCATGTTTTGTGTTCCTGTGGGAGAATAAAACGTCCGGGGACAGGGTCGGCTTCGCCAAGATACCAATAGTGACGCATGCTAAGATCCAGAGGCCCATCCATGTCCAAAGCCATGTACCTCTCATTTGGAACCCTTGTCCCCGTGGGCGATCAATGTTTAAGCTTGTGGATGTGATCGGAGTGATCAGATCGTGAACCAGAGCAGCGGAACGATGGACCAGGGCAGACGCTGCAATGGCTATTGGGTTGTTTTCCCCATTGTCCCCCAAGCGACGGGACCCAGACTCCTGGGTTTCCCAGCCTTTTCAAGACAGACTATTGAGCAGGACGGCTGTTGGATAGCTTCCCATCATTTGGTTCAGATTGCGTATAAACTAGAACGTGTCTCCAAAGCGGGCCCAACAGTACGTGTAGGGCGGCTATGTGATACTTAGCGGATTGCGGAAGTGCCTGGGGAATTTTCGTCAAGGAAAGGATATGCCTGCTTAGGTTTATGATCACTAATAGGCGTAATGGAAAACGACGTCACTGATGCTTGGGGTTGGATTATAGTATATTCAACGGCCACGACGGTATCTCTCACGTCTGATGACAATGCCTCGTAGGCACTCATTCCAGCTCAGTTAGAGTCTGAGGAAATTGAAGCCCAGCCAGGGGAGGACTAGGCGTCAGAGTACTGATTGACAGGTTGTAGCTTGAAGAAAGAGAGAAAGAGGCACATTCTCCCCTGCTAGATAAATGAGAATGAGGGGTATTGGGTGATCAGTTCAAATTCCGCACAATAGGGACCTTTGTCTATTAGGCCCAAAGCCCACAGCGGCAACCAGGGGGATTTCAATCCCTATTCTTACCATGACCGGGCCATTGATTACTTCTACAGTAGTGTGAGGGCGGTCGTTGCGTCGCGAAATACAGTTGCTGCAGTCACTCAATGCGTTGGCGTATTTTCGTCAACTATTTGATCAGTCAGGTAGTGAATGACCTAGTGAGCAGGCTGGTAGTGGTAGTACGGAGATAATAGCGACTAGGTAGTCCGCGATCACAACCCTTAGCGCAATAGCTACATCGAGATCCCCGATTGCAAACCATGCAAATTGTACACCAAACAAACGTGCAGCATGGAAAATCCACGACTACCTACCCGTAGCACCGTGTCGGAAGTGGACACATTGAGCCTAGGCCCTTACCGAACGTAAAGACGCAAACAGATGTGAATCTGCGATATCGATGCTGTTTCATGCGGTTTTCTTGATGCTCGCTGTTATTTTCAGAGGTGCTAAATACCTCTGATACAGGTATCCGATCGCGGCTATCAAAAGAAGAAGAAAAAACACAATCATTAAAGAAAAAATACCAGAACATGACCATAGATCTATCAAAACTTGATGTTGCATGATGCGTGGTGTTTGGGTGGCTTCTCGTACGTTGATGCTGGGATCCGAGTCAATAGAGAACTGGGCGATTTTGAACTTTGCCATACGATTGACAAGGGATTGACGAAATGCCCACGCGCTCGTTTGGCACTTTCGTACTGCCAGCGGCATCGAAAACGAGAAAGGCCTGAAAGTAGAAACTCAGATTAGTAAGAATAGCATGGGAGAGCAAACACCCCGGGCGGTAAAAATGGCTGTCTTTTTGAATTTACTATGCACATGCAAAATGACTGCGATCGCTGGGGCGAATGTGATCATAGCTATGTCACACAACGTGTGAGTCTGAGAGCTATGATGACAAAATGCCATGTCGGCGGAGATGGCATTCTTGCAAAAATGGATGTCGTCTCTTTCGTTAGGCTGACTCGAGCAAAGATCGCCATTGCTTCCCGGCACGTTTCTATGGGTCTGCCTCCCTACACCGTCCACTCCCGTCTTCCGCTTGCTGGAACGTGGAATACGTACCGCAGGGAGAATGTACCCGTACTGCTTTAGCTGGTCAAGTGGCTGCAAAAGCTGGGTGTTGCTTTGGTGCGGCAACTGGACCTCGTTCAGTTGTCTCTGTCTCGGGTCGACGGACACGACAGATGGAAACGCCATAAGCCTTCCCAAGTATGGTGGCTTGCTTCCCTAGCTACATTAGCCTTGACCAGAGCCAATCAGAAAGGGCAAGTGAATGGGTCGTCCTATTCAATTTACCAGGCCGCTATACACAGTAGACACTGTTGGAGTTGTGGACATGTTGCGATTGGCCGCCGTGGAAATAACCAGGCCAGAGACTTTGTTAGTGCACAATGTACTTTGTCGCGATGGAAACGAAGAGGGGGTACCCGGACAGGTTGCTCCGGGCACTAGATTTTTTTCTCTCTCTTGCGTAACGGAACAGGGCCCAAAACAAGGATAGCAGCAGGGCTGAAGCCACGCTTGCTGGGCTTGATGGCTCCTCTGCTTGTCGCTGGGCCACTTCTTGCTTAGGCCAACGCCGTTTCAAGCAGTTTGAACTGGGGCAGTCTGATGTCAAAACTATCGGGATTTGTGAGAGGGATCGTTAAAAATTGGAAGAGAGTCAAGAACAACAGCGACGATCCTCTTCCCCTTTCCGGTTGACCTCGGAGTCTGCATCTTCCCTTTGCAGAATGGAAGCAGAAATCAGGAATCAATTCCATAATAGACCCTGCCGCATCTATGCTTGCAGCCCAAAGTTCTACTGCAGTGTCAGAAAAATATCTCCTGTGCCTAGCCGACTTGTAGTAGTTATTATGTAGTAGTAGTAGTAGTTTGCAAAGCGTTCAATCAGATTAGAATTACCATTGTATGCATTGTCCTGACACGAACGAGTTCCACCACGGAGAGATTTCCGTTAGCTATGATCTACACAAAAGACGAAAGCCTGACAAGCCTGGACTCTCTCTTTTTCCTCCTAATAAAGGAAAATGGCTGGTTGGTTTCCCTAATGACCCCATGTCTAGTCCTTTCGGCTTTGGGGTCATGGCCCCGGATTGATGGACTTTTTCTCTAGGTTAGCTAGCGGGTGACGATAATAGTGCCGGCAGCAGTTTGCAGCAACCGTCAGGACTATGTTCCTGGTAGTTTGCGCGTATGCTATCATGGTCGCCCATATACGCGTTGTTACTGTGACTACAGTGTACGGGCTTCTATGTACAACGCAGAGCAGCAGGCCTCGACAATTACTGGCCTGCTAGTACACGATTAGCACCAAGTTGTTTGACCTAGATTTAGTCACTCGATACCTTGTCAAGTCTCTCCTGTCTCTCTGGAATTACACAGTAGTAAGACTGATGCGAATGCTAATGAACTTGCTAATGACCTGGTCACTTTGCATGCTCTCCCGCCGGAATGCCAATTGGCCAGCGTACAACCGGATCAACATCCGCTCAATCCCTTCAAGTCGTTTGTTTTCTTCTACGAGAGGCTCTCAATGCTTTTGACGCAGGGTTCAAATCGGCGTAACATTCTGTCAGGAAAAGCAATTGGCAGTCGGCCTATGGAACAACCAAGATGCTACACTACAGACAAGGCCCGCATATCGAGACACGATGCCTAGCCATAATAGAGTTTTGATGGACAGTTATAGTAACCCTTGTCAGGCATGGCACGTTGTCCAATCCGGACGTGGCCTTGAAGGGAGCGGGCGGGCTACCGTGCACAGAGCCCAGCAGCATGGAGGGCCACTGAGCGACAGCAGTACAGAGAGAGTGCTGTGATGTGCCAGCGAGCCCCCCGGCCTTCTGTTTGGGCCCAGAGCCCAGGGCCCAATGGCCGCCCATGTTGCAGCTCCTCCGCCCATCCTTTTAGCACATGTATGGACGGCCGCGCTAATTCCCAAGGAGGGAGACCGGCAACGTCCCTCTTCACTAGTCCTCCCAGCGCGGTGGGCGGGGGATCGCAGAACAAATCGAGGAAACATGTGTACATCGACGTTTGACGACCCTTTCAAGCCTTTTCGCTCCGCCGGATTGGGTCTTGGTGATGGACACAGGCACATGGGATGCAGATATCGGTCCCGTTCATCTACTTGAGGGGCAGCGGCTAGGTAGGCAGAGTAGAGTAGGGGATCAAAATTGCTACCCCTGTGTAGGGAGGTAAGATAGGTAGTAGTAGCCCTTTGCAGGACCCGAGACTTCTCTGGTTGTCCATGCTTGCCATGTCTCCATATCACCAGGGAACGTTTTCTTTTGATGTGTGTTTTTCCCTTCCAGAAGTTGCCAACAGCGTCTGGGCCTCGATAGAATGCATTAGCCGATAAGAAAGCAAAGGTACCACCACCTACAGTACCTACGTACCCCGACCCCTCGAGGTATTTTATGCGGGGTGAATGAGTTGTTGGAATAGACACTCTTATACCCGCAGATGGGGTTTTTTTTGGGCATATGAATAAATTATGCTTCGTGTATGGAAGGATTGTAGGTGCTAGGCAATGGCGAGACGGAGAGTTTCGGCGGCAGTAAGCAAGCAGGCCTTGGGTTGTTCAAATTCATAAAGTAGAAGCACAAACTAAACTACGAGCGAAGATAGTCCAGTCAATGCAGATGAGACTTTGCATTGGTGTTTTGTGCAGCCATCTGGCTGCCAAACTCTAAGAGGTCTGGCTCTGTCTTTGATAGGGTGCGTTTTAGAATGAAAGCGGGCGACTAGAGCTGGGAGGGAGGAGCTTGGGGCTCGGGAGCTGCTACACCCTCCATCTGATGAGGGTGTGCTCACTGCTGGGAACCGTGTGGCTGAACGTAAAAGTTCTCACGTTCTTCTTGTCCCCTCTGCATGGGAGCTGCTTCCTTGTTCCCATGCCAGATGTCTCAGATTTCCGCATCTCCGCTAGGACAAGCAGCTTACCAGGCACATTTATTTATTTTTTCTGTCTAGCAAGTGCCTAGGTACGCAAGCTAGGTACGTGGTCCTTACACGAGCTTCATCTCAGACCCCAAGTGACCTGAGTAGCGACACATTGCTTCTGATGACAGGCCTAATGAGAGACAAGGGTGATAAGGAAAGGACAGAAAAAAGTTGAGCAAACTATCGAAGTGATAAATTTCTCTTGGGGGTACGGAGCTTGTAGCCGGCAGAGCGACAGGCGTGTAGCCGATATTACGGACGGTGGGTATTGCTCTGGTAACGTTTACTATGATACTCTCAGGAAAGCTCTCGCTAAATAAACACCACCTATATAATTATGCCGGGGAAAAGATAAAACCTGGTAATAATTCGAGACCATGTGCAACAATACCCGTACATAGTAGATACGATCTCTACCGTTCAGCTTTGTTTGTGGCCTAGGTGAAATACGGTATGTGCCTGCTACACCATAGCGGCAACGCAAGCCGAGTGACAGAGTATAAAGCTTAAGACGGAGAGATACATGAATCAAAGGGGGATTAAAAAACCGAAATGTTTTTTTTTTTTTTTTTTTTTTACCTGCCAACCTCAACTAGATAGGCTACGGTAGACCGAACTACATTCTACTTTGACCTGCCCTGAGAGGGTCTCGTCTTTCTCCAAAAAAGAAAATCGCCGCTATACTCTTCTGGTCTCTACTTGCTACGCTATCTGCAACCATGCTGCTGCCGAGCACGACCCACAGCCGGCTGAGCACCGCACATCCTTGCTACAAACCCGAAGGCTCCGCGCGCCAGGCCAAAGGGTACAGCGTGGAAACTGATCGAGATCTCTGAGAAATGCTCTGCGTGGCGATCGATCCTCAAACCAGCGGGCGGTACATCGATCCCAGCCAAAACCCGCAACATCCATAGAGCCCCAGGTAGAATGTCATGTCGCTGAGTACATGCAGTCGGCATGCCGTTGGAGTGAAGAACGCAAGCAAATCTTACCCCTCTGCTCGTACCTTTGACAATACCCATGCAGCTCTGGGATGGGGAAGTCTCCAATGCCCTTTTCCTCGTCTCTTCTGAGCTGATGCACGTCTGTTGCCCACCCACACCCCCCCAGCTGGGCTATATAATGTTTTTGTCCCATACTACTACGTATGACAATTCCCGTGTTTGTCTTCTCTTACCACCCATTCGGGAATTAAGTTATACCTCTTACTTATTCGCAACTCTACAAAGCAGACGGGTAACAAAGGCCATTCCTCCGAGACAATATCAACCAAGCTTTGGCTTCCACCTGGCTCGATCACATCTTATACCGTCTACTCACAGACAACAACCATACGGAATCCTCCAACGCCAGGCAACTGTTCTTGTCCGGCGTCAAGAATCTATCAACGTGTCCACGATTATACATTGCATACCTGTACAGCTTGTCTTGTCGTGAGACTGGAATAGAAATACATTGGATTTTCGACCTGGTTCGATATCGCTGTCGCCTGTATAATAGGTGGATCTACGCCATTGACGCCTTGACCAATTTTACATCATAATCCAATGCCTAAGCGTTCCTTAGACGTAACAGCAGCGATGCCACTCAGCAGCGACCGAGTGCCGCCTGTAAAGGCCCAAAAGGTGGGCATTCCCACTCCACACACGGGGTCACCCAGCTCCTCTTGACACGGGAAACGATATTCTAACAGTTACCTACTAGACGGAGCGATCTCATGAAGAAAATCAAGAACGTGCATATATTGCTGCCTCGAGGCGAGCTGATCGGAGTTTGGAGGCAAGAGTACAGTCTGCAAGGATGGCTTCCGAGATTCACAGGCGGAGGACGGGCCGGGGATTGAAGGTCACCGAGGAGATTGTTATCAAGGAGGAGATGTACGAGGAAGAAGAGGATGATCTGCCGAGACAGTTCAGACACCTTACCCGCCACCTTCAGACCAACTCACCAACTATGAACCACCGGGTCTCTGCGTACATCACCACACAAGCAGCGATGGCGTCAATGGCGAGATACAACGAGGTCAACAGGCTCTTTAGCGAATCGTTTCCCAGTGCCGCGGCACTCCAGCAGCAACTTAACAACTCCATTTACATGGCGCCTCTGATGACGAACAACTCCCACTTCTCACCGACATCACCGACTATGCCATCTCCATCGGCACAGACAGACTCGAGCTTCCCTGGCATGGATCGCAGGATTTCCACAGCGACCACGGCGACAACATCATGCTCGACTCCGCCAGCACTTTCACCTTCACCTTCATCACACACCATCAGTACTCCTGACTTGAGGCTCACTCCGCGACAGTCTTCGGCACAAATGTACCCACCGCTGGACGTCCAGCCCCAGCAGCAGCAACATACATCTGCCTTTACGTCAGAGCTGTCAAACGAGGCCAAGATGCTCGGCATGGTCAATATTGATGTCAATGACCCCATGGCGCAATACTTTTTCGGCGGGGATTCTTCCAGCTTCAACTTTTACGACCCTCAGTCGAATAAGTCCTCGCAGCCTGCCTTGGCGGATAACAATGAGTCGGCGTTCGATAGCGGAGACAACGTGTCACCAACGGACACCACGCCAACAGCCGCCGACGAGATCTTGTACTCGCCAATGGAAGGTACATTCAACAGCCACTTTGAGAACTACAGTCAAGCGGGTACTCCCTCGGCAGCTGGCCTGATGGCTGATCCAGGGTGGGACAACTTTATTGACTTTGGTTCGGAGCAATGACGTGAAACACATTTCTGTGTTGGCATCTCCAATCATCTCACGTGAGGCTGAGGTGCAAGCTCGCAATGGATTTGCGAGCAACGAGGAACTTTGCCTCTTCAATGATACCACGGGCATGTAGCGCGACCTATCAGGGTTTGATTGCATTTACATTTGCATGAGTTTTTCAAGTCGGGACGATTTTTAACGACACCGACGACATGTTCGAATTTCGACGAATTTATCAAAGCGGTTTTCTTTTTTGGAATTCACACGGCGTTGGTTGGAATGTCTTGCCACCACTACCACGCATTGGCGTGAGGCACCACGAGGAAATATCTCTCCTCCTTACGCACACATAATCTGATGTCTGTTTGCGTTTCGATACCAACGGTTTCCTTGTTTCTTTTGACGGTTTTATTTTCAAACAGTTCGCACCCTCCTCTCTCTCTGCACTCGCATGGTGTTTGGATAGGGCAATCATCATCAAGCATATCCGGAGTTATTAGACAACCGGCGCAGGGAATGAGGGCAACTCGCGGGATATTTTTATGAAGCCCGGAGACCCTCGAGGCGTGTTGGGTAGCTGGCGATTTTAGTCATCAGCGCAGAGGTGGTTGTATACCTCGCCCATGCGTCCTCCACAACAGAAGTGCAGCCTGGAATATGGTGCGCTTTTTCTCATTTGGGGCGAGCCTCTTTTTGTCTCGTACTTTTCCCGAGACACGACAGAGTCCTTTTACTTTGTGTGTGCGATTGTGGACAAAAGTTCGGTCTTTGCCAAGGAAAAAACAATATCAGCAGAACAGAAAATTGACAAATAGCCGGACGTCACGGTCTGAGGTCAAAATCGAAAAGGCGCAGTATGCATGCTCGCCCTTATACGCGGTTTCCAGACCGCTGTCATTGGCAACCAAAAAAAGAATAATATAATCCACAAAACTTCGCAACATCTATCCTTCTTCTACACCTCGTGACCAAGTGAACCAAGTCATACTGGAGTCATATATGATATGTAAATTGCAGAGTGATAATCATTTCTAACGTAAGAACAACACTGATCTCTCTGATCGAAACCCAAGCTTTCCCATGCTGATTCCTGGGCTGCGTAAGTCAGCTTCGCCTATGCAGTACCATCTGTCTCAGCAGGGCCAGATTGTACCTGCTGAGACAGATGGTACTTGGGGATTCGCCTCCCCAGCCATCCATGGTCGATGCAATGATAAGTAATCAGGTTACGATTTCTATGTTGAGTTCATAGCCTCCAGATCTGCTACTGCAACCCTTGTCTTGCTTACCTGCATAATTAGTACCTCTTCTGCCAAAGAGACCTTGCAACTGTCTAGCACCACACACACACACACTTGATCTTCATCCACTCGCATTGGCGAGCAAAAAACCTTGTCCCGCATCCATTTTCTATTGGGTTCACACTACTACACAGATTATAGTCTCCAGTAGAAGTAGAGAGTATCGATGGTGTCTTGTTTCTCCTGCTATGCTCTTTTGGGGGGTACATGCATTCCCAGGGCGGGGAGAAGCTTGGTCGATACTACCCCAGATCAGTTAGCTGCCTGCCCTACCAACCTACACCCCGGGCGCCTCTTGTCTTCAGGTTTCAATCTCATTCGCAAGCTTTCCTGGTCGAGGAATCTACTTATTACTGTTTCTTCAACACAGGCTCTTGGGACTTGGGGAAAAGTGTAAAACCAAGAACCAAGTCGTTTTGTGCCTGCCCGTCCGCCCGCCCGCCCACCTTTCCACCTACTTCTACCTGCCCCATGAATTCTCATTGGTATTACCACCCTTGCATGAAATAGGTCAACGGAATACCCTAGTCCATGTTTCCCACGATTTCCCACGCGGCGGGACAATAGGTTGGACCGACCGGCAGCAAAGGAGGATTCAGAAGTGGAGGGGAAGAGAGAGAAAAAGAAAGTTAAGGGGGGTGAAAAGAAGAAGAATATAGCTCGTACACAACAGGAACACCTCGCCGCAATTTACAAAGCCCCCCCCAGCTCGCCCCCGAGTGTCTGGGAAAAGCAAATATGGGTGATAAGCGTTTCCCAGCAGAATTAAAAAGAACACCGGACTTTGATCCGGATGCCAAATTAGAGGTCAGGATCAGACCCTCAACTGACCATCATGGCTTACATGGGGTGATTTTCTTTTTTTTTCTTTTTTCTTTTTGCGGCAGAACCCTTCAACTCCCCCACTATCAAAAGCAATGTGAGGGGATTCAGCAGATTTTTTTTTCTTTCTTTGTGCAATTGTGATTCAAGGTGCATCTTCATTTACGGATTCTACATTCATTTCATGCGGCATACCGCTTGGCCTTTTGGCTTGACATCTTCCTCTTCTCTGCGTGTCTTTGGCTCTTTGAGGTTCTTTGCATGAATTGACGAGCATCTGGACCCTCGCCGGTACATGAACAAGGCATTACAAGAATATGTTTTTTCTTATGGGCTTGAGCAGTCAGTCGCAGAGATGCTCAATCAAGACCCGACACACAAATTTGAAGATACTCACCGTATGCTGCAATTTCTCTGGAAAAAGGTACCTGGAAACTGACTAATGGCAAGCATGATACTCCATCCGAGCATATCTCAACGAAATCTAAGCTATCTCCCGAGCTAGGTCACGTATTCGTAAATTGCTAGGGTGAACATTCCTCGTTTGGAGATGTTCATATCCATCCATATCCATAGACGTTGGACGACCGGGAGAGGGGTGGCGAAAACACGTGCCCACACGCACACGTGATGGAAATGCCACCATGGAAGCAAGAAGCTCTCGATTTAGTCATGGACTACATTGGTGCCTGTGCTTTTACCAAGCTACTGAACCATGAACCCATATTTACAGCATTCATGGATCTCGCTGGCAAAGCAATCTTGCAACAAAAGCATTCAAGTAACGACGGGATATCATGGGGAGGCAACACCCCGGATCTCGCATTCGGATCCAATAGACTGTCCTCAATTTAGCCACTTCCTTCACACCCTCATTTTCTTTCTTCTTCTTCCCGTACCGTCGACTACTACTGTATCTGATCCCCCACTCCCGTCTAAACATACAACCGTCGTCCGTCTTCTCTTCTGGGGGAGGGGGGGACACCCAGTCGAGACGGGTTCATGGTTTTTGCCACGCCGTTGACGCTCATGTCCCATGTTTCTGCCTAGCAGCCAGTTTGGGGGTCAATATAATGTCCAGAACTATACTATGTACACGGGATGACAGCCTGGTGGTACCAAGTAGGTAGCTGGCTACCTAGGCACAAATATAAAAGTATTCTGTAGCTTTGTACTGTCCCTTATCAAAGTATTACAGACTATAGCAAATCACGGCTATACATCCTTGATGCCTGTCCCCTTGCTGTCCTCCCACGTACCCTAGTTTAATTTCCACGAGGGCCCGGGAATAAGAGGACCTGCGCCTACTGTTGCTTTTCTTGACTACATACATAGCTGGCTGGCCCGCCAGCGCCAACTTTACCATCTGTTGAAGATATGCCGCATCTTGGTTGGGGGCCAAGCCCTTCTCTGAGTCGTTGCAGAATATTTGGTTTTCGATTGGGGAGTTCATTTTTCCCTTTTCTCAACGGCTGCCGAGCGGCTGGTCCACCCGTCAGATGAAACAAACTCTACCTAGGTATGCACCACTTGCCTACCTACCAAGCCACTTATCTTGATGCATATTTTCTAGTTTCACTCTGCGCGGAAGAATTTAGATGAAAAGTTTGTAAACCTCAGAAGACGACAGTCGATTGTGCCTTGCAAAACGTACAATTGTTAACAAGTCTGACAATTAAACACGTGTGAATCTTTGGGTATTTAGGAGGCGCATAATGTGAACATCTACCTAAAAAAAAAGAGATTCAGGTTTCAGGTCTCATTGGTGATTTGGCATAAGGAGGCGTTTGGAGGCATATAATACATGATGTACGCAGCCCCTTGAACCTTGAGCATATAAATCAAAGACAAGACACAGCCCGCTCAGCCCTATTGCGGCCTGGCCTTCCCCCTCACGGCATTCATGGCCTGATCTTTGAAGTTCAAGTTGCATCGTGACTGGATCTGACTCGGTAGGCAACGGCAAGTTCAGACCGGATATAAAAATTTTCAACTAGAAACCTACACAATTCAGCAACGGCCCGAATCAGACAAGTTTCTCATTTTCAACATCTCGTGCTAAAACACCAAAAAAGCTATTGGGAGAGAAAAAAATGTACAGTATGTATCTGTTTCAAAAGGCTGCAGGTCACAAGTTTGGGGTTCGGGGACTTCGGGAATGGAAACAGGTTTCACCAGAAAGCCATTCGGCTTAAACGCTGTGCGATACCATGTATCCAGAAAAAGAGTCCTCTCGTGATGTGTTGCTGCTTATCCTTTCGGCAAAATACTTGCTGGAGTGGTTGGCTGCTGTAGAACTTCGCACACTTCCAAAACGCTTCACCCAAATGCATGAGGCGGAGTAGCTCAATACGAGCCGAGAACACATTGTGATATGACCAATTTTTCAATTTGAACTGCACCCACAGACGTAGCTCAACTATTGGGCCGCCTCACCATCCTTTCTCCGTTTCCGTGCAGTCTCGTCGACCTTGACCATGTTCGGATTGGTGTTGCCCTTCATGGCGTTCTGTTGTCTCTTCCATACGGGTTCTGCCGATGCACTCGCTGCATCGTCAACCTCCTTCGCCCAGGCGATCCAGTCTCTCGTCCGCGTCTTCCACATGTCTCCCTGCCATGCTTTCCACGCCTTGCGTCCGGGAAACGATTCTCGTAGCTCCATCTCATTGTCGCCCAGCACGTTCATAATCTGCTGTTTCATGTGAAATGGCAGGTTGATGCCATCGCTCTTGGAGGGAATGGTCACGACGGCACTCAACACCTTGCTTCCGTGGTCCGACTGTGCAAGTCCGGCAATGTCTCGCATCAAGGCTGCCACAAGCACTTTGTGAAATGCCTTGTTCTGGGACTTTGTCTCAAAGGCTGCCGTCAAGACATGCGCCGTCGGGCCGGATGTCGTGGCCAGGCTCATGATAGAATCCGGAGGCAGGGCAACCAAGGATGTCTGAATAGCGTTTGACACGGCACCGGAGATGGACAACATCGTTGTGACCAAGTGGCATCCGTGAGAGATTACGGCATTTTGATTCTTTGATAGGGATTGTTGAGACTGCTGCTTCTCAGATTCGGCATCCTTTTCGGGGAAGCACAGTTTCGGCACCAGCACCTTCTTGTCACCCTCACATGCCTCGACCAGTGCCCGCAATAGTGCCGAGACCTCACTATGGGCTTCTCTGATGTGGCATCGCTCGAACAGTGTCTTGAGAACGTTGAACCGTGACAAGGAAACTAATTTTGGCATTTCGGGTATAATCTTCTTGACTGAGGCTGCGAGATCCTCTTTGCCCAAACGACATAGGATCCGAATGCCTAGATAGGACGCAACGTCATTTCGGACCAGGCTGTTGATTCGTTCTCCAAAATTGTGCTTGAATATGACCTTGAAGAGCTTGCCCGGACAATGGGATACGAGCGTCTCTAGTAGTCGAGATCCAATGGGATCGTAAATCATGGAATTAATAAACTCTGATGCTTCTGAAGTTGACTCCTTGAGGGAAGCTGGTGCATCGGGCAACAGCTGCCACAGTAGCCGCCGCTCGTTGGAGTCTTCCTCGGGTTGATCCTCGGCCTTTGTATTCTCCTTTCTTGAGTTCAGGGTTATATCGAGCTCCAGCAACAATTGAAGGACAGGGTTTCCTGTGGGGTGGCGGGCCAAGAGACGCAATGCTGTCGCATCCATGCCTTCTGTAGAATCGGCGATAATCTTCTTTGTAGCAGCATTGAATGATGACGGAACGGGCCGCAGGGCATCTTTTGCATTCTCTTCGCCGGTCGCGTTGGAAGTCCATGGCGCTGAGATCTTCTCCTTTTTCCTGCTGTGGATGAGTGATTTGGTTGCGGCTTGTTCGAGCGGTCGTCCAGACAGGATGATCAGCAGCACTCTCAAACTGTGAGATGCGAACCGGTCCGTCAACAAGTACCCCAATTGGCCCTCGAGCTCATCAAGTGTGAGCAGGAACAGCTCCTCCATTGTGGGGAGAGGCTCCGCGTCCGGCTCCTCTCCATCTGCAGGCTGGTCGTCTCTCTCCCCACTGAGCTCCCTTGTGACCACTGGTGCAGACTGTAAGAACAAGGTCTCACAACAGTGACTGGCAAAGCGGTGCTGTATGAGGTTGAGGAAGTGTGACGCAAACTGTTCGAATAACTTCTTCTTTTGTCTCGAGTTCGACATCAAGATGAGGCGCTCCATGAGCCGAGAACATGATTGACTGCACGCGAGCTTCAACTCTTTGCCCTTTGCCTCGACGAATACATTGGCCAGATACATGTCGCGCTCCTCTTGAGACGAGAAGTCGTCTATGTCTAGTTGCTCGTCGACTTGGCGAAAGTATTCCTGCTCTTGGTCCGACAGCATACCAAAGAACTCCTTTTCCGGGCGTTCAGTGCCGTCGAAGCTCGGGAGGCCAGCCGCACCTTCGCTTGCCCCATATTCGTGTTGTGCATCATTGGCGTCTTCGGCGTCGTCTCGTCGCTGTCGCTTTGCTGATTTGACCTCGTCCGCTTCCTCTGCATTGCGGCGTTTCTGTTTCCGCTCGTCTCGGATCGCTTGTCTTTTCGAACGTGGCTTAGGCATGCTGGGCGGAGATTGGCGGACGGTCTGCTCGGAAAGATGCAAGAAAAGAGTGACGCTATTCGCAGACTGGCTGCATCAAGCTTCTACTGGACTGCCAGTGCTAGAAATTCCCAGAAATTTTGGTTATCGAGAGCTTATCGCAGTGGTTATCTTATCGGCGGTGGGGTATTATGGAGGCGCTAATATTGGAGCCAAACCTCCGACCCCGACAACTGCGCTGAACCATTACATAGCTGGCACGGTCTACTCAATTATCATAATCCATATAATCCCCAAGGGAGGTAGGTAGTTGTATTCAAATTATATTGGTGGATCACTACGTATTATCAGTCTATTGTTCCAAGTCTCAATGCATTCCAATTGAACTTTTCGTAGCATTCCTTTGTCCTACGGCATAGAGCGACGAGTTCAACACACCCACCCGCGTGCGCTCACACACGCCAGCTAATCTCTGTTCAGAATCTCCGTAATTATCAACTTGTAACCTTCCACTGCTGCTTCCAGATCACTCACAGTCAGATGCTCGTGATCTGAATGCGCGACCAAGATTGAACCTGGGCCATAGAGGTATCTCTTGTGATCACCATCCAAATGTGGGATATCAGTGCCATAATTCATGACTGCCGTCTCGAAGCCTGGATCCTGGTCAGCACGCGTTCAAAGTGCTAGAATGAGGTACTTGTGTAATCTAGACCAACCTTTGATATCATGATCAATAGGAACAGGACCGCGGCCGCCGGCAAAATCAATCTCCAAATCTGGCGATGCACCAAGGACTACTTGTCGGACTAGTTTCTCTAGATCTTCCGCACTTCCTGCCGCTACTCTGGACGAAACAGTGGCCGAAGCATCTTGCGGGATCACATTTGATGCTACACCGCCTTGTATCGTGCCTACATTGAGAGTGGTGTTGCCAAACTCATCACTCCATGGTAGTTGAAGCTGCTGGAGAGCAGCGAGCCCCTTGATAAGCAGATCAATCGCATTGGTGCCTTGTTCGGGGTAGCCCGAATGCCCAGCCTTGCCTTTGGCCTTGATCGTAAAGACGCCGCCACCCTTGTGCCCGCTCGCAAGCTTCAGCTCAGTCGGCTCCCCAAATACGACGGCCTCCCAAGAGAGGCCGAGTCCATTGGCGACTCGCATGCCTTCGCCGCTTTTTTCCTCGCCGACGACGAAGAGCAAGGCGACGTCGCCATCGCCTATCTCTGCATCCCGGAGGAGCGATTCCACGGCGACAACTTGTGCCGCGACGCTGCCCTTGGCGTCGACCGAGCCGCGCCCCCAGATCTCGTCGCCCTTTCTCTCGTACGGCCAATACGGCGGGACCGTGTCAATGTGGCTCGTTACCAGCACCCGCGTTTTGCGCGATTGACCGCTGTATGCAAATATATTTTGCCGGTCCTCTTTCACAGGCTGTGCCTCTACGGTGAAGCCACGGTTCCGAAGATAACCACCCAAGTAGTCCGAAACATTGCGTTCGGACTCTGAAATCGAGGAGATCTCTATGAGCGACTTGTGTAAGTCAAGAAGGGCGGATGATGTCGTCTGCGCTTTAATGGAGGGCAGTGCAAGGGGTCGTTGAATACCACTCGCCGCTGCGATGCTGATGGCACCTAGCCATGTAAAGGCAAATGATCTTGCAAACATCTTGAAGGTGGTAGTTTGTCGCGATGCCTCCCTTTGCATTGCCGGCTTGTTGAGAACTATTCAGGAATACTGCAAGTGTGGTCGCTGTTTGGTGATTGTGTGCCTTGAGCCTTTGAGAACTACTTCGCTGCAGTCAATCACTATCTCACAATCCTCTACCGATTGCAGCTAAATGGATAGCGAAAGATTCACAATCCATTCGCAATACAACTTGCTGATAGCGTGCGTTGCTGGTTGCTCATTACCCCCCACACGAGGTGGAGAGCACACATGCATTGAAAGTCAATCCCTGCAACTATTATACCTATTTACGTGCGTAGAGTCATCGCATATCAAATGGCGTGACGTGACCAGGTCCGGTGGTTGCGGAGTCGGTTCCGAATCCACGTGCCCGAAAGAGCCAGGCTCGGATCCTTTGCGGATCACCCGTTGCTCCTCGGCCGGAGCTCTTCCGAACGGTCGGTATCAATCAACTGTTTATGCCACTGCCTTTGCTCCTCCTTGTAAGATATTTTGCCCCTCAGAATCGTCAACACCGACACAAGTCTTGCCCAACCCCATGGAGAGGTCATGCATACTTCCTCTACTAAACATCAATCGGATTGCTCTCCGTTGGAGGACGCGATACTTGTGACTCTGAACCCCAACTCTCTGGAAGGGCGTCATGATGGCTCATAAAGTACCCAATTTCTATATATGATTTCCGGCAAACAAAACAATCACCACATACGACCATACGCTCTAGAAAGCTCGGTATCCCGTCCGCTCTGCCTTAGATAAAATAGAGACGATGGCCGCATTCCTGGCCCGTACTTATCCACTCCTGGTCCCGGGTCCCGCATGGGTGCATGTCCGTAACAGTATCGTACGAAAGGGAAAAACGGGAACAAGTTCTTCATCGTACGAAAACTATAAATAACGGCCCCTGCATTGACAGCCGACAGCCACATCGTGGCTGTAGTGGCTTGCTGCCAGTATACCGGTCTATCCTGACTATCTATGTACCTAGATACTGACCTCGGACAAGGCTGCAAATGCCAGTATTCCAACAAGATCTTTGTACTTTACAGTAAAAATGGAAGAAGAGGGGCGACCCCGTCCCCTCCGTCCGTAGACTACAAGTAACGGCTACTGCCACAGGTACCGGCAGCCGACAGCCACCTTGTTGTATCGTGGCTGCAGTGGCTATATCGGCACCCTATCAGTGTGCATTCTAGGTAGATTCTATCGTTATGCGATACCGTAATAATTACGTTCTAACACACATACACACATACACACACACACACATATATATATGGGAGAGGGGCGCTATCTGCCAATAGACCGCCGTGCAGGTGGTTTTTAGTGACGCTATCAATAAACGGCAACGTGCTCAGATATCTCCTCCTGAGTATGAACACTACCATATTACATGCTTGGGTATTGCCTCGGAAAGATGTAGGCTCTGCTTTGGTTGGCGAACCATCAGGTATGACTCGGGCGACCGCGACTCTCAAACTATTTGGGGGGAGGCTCAGCCTTTCTAGGCGAGAAATATCGATGGGGCCGAGTCCAAAACTGCAGCAGAACCATGCATAATGTGCCTGCTAGAAATACGCACCCACTGAATATTTGTACATCAATGTATGATCCATTAGGCCGGCGCAAGGACAGGGCTATCGCTTCAGCAACTGCATGCACTTAGTATACAGTGACAGACTGAATCAACCGGAGACTCACAGGTTGTCGGCAGTACAATCAGGGTCCAAACAATTGACAGTGTCGATGGAAGGACTTTTGTCCCAAAAGTATCGGCAAGCAATGGTCCTACTGTCTGAGTGCTCATCCGTTAACCAATAATGTAAACACCGTGAATTTGTACATACTGCCCAATAAGTCCCAATTGTTGCACCCCCAAGAAGAGCAAAGGCAATGAGGACGGCATAGCTTTTGCCAGAGGTCAACAGGCACAAGCAGAAATTGGCGGCGAGGAAGGTTGCTGATTCTATCATGTTGACTCTCCCCACCCGATCGCTGAAATAACCGACGAGAGGACGACCTAATGCCATGCCAAGGTTGGCAAGGGCACCGATAACGGATGCCTGGTGCGTGGACAGCCCAATAGAAATAGCGTTGTCGGGAAGCGAGAAAAGTACTATCGTATATCCCAAGGTCCTAAAAGTTGCCCAGAAGATTATGAGTAGAAGCTTCGGTTGTTTCAAAAGGCGAACATCGAAACCGCTTTGTGTCGGACGAATATGCTTGTTCCCATCTTTAATCAACATGGTGGAAACAATGTTAGCCAGAGCAGTACAGATAGCAGTGATGCGAAATGAAAGGCTCCCACCTGGCTGCGTTGATGGCAATGCTTTCGATGACTTTGGCGAGGTCCGAAGGGACAGCAATCGTAAGTGGAGATATATCTGGAACATGGCGAGCGAAGAAGCCATATTTTCGAAGAGGAATACAAAGGCCGCCGGGAATGCTTTTTGGACAGATCTAGATGATGACTGTTAGTGAAGGTGATAAATGAACAAATGCCCATCACTGGTTATAATCTTACCATAGACATGGTCGTCAATGAATCTTAGTTTGGCGTTGACCGCACAGGGTCGAGGAGCTAGTTTGATGGGTTGAATTTCGGGGGCTCTAGCGATGCGCACGCGGATAAGGTTGTTATGGTTCTGGTCCTCGTAAATAACAACGACAACCTCGGAATAGATTTCCACAACAGTATTGAGTGGTGCCCAGGATTTGAAGACTCGGGGCATTAGGGTGGGGTGTTTCTGAAAGATGGCGGGGATGGGATGAGAATCGGGTCTTCGCTTCTTCAAGCGAAGTGCGCGTTCATCCTCAAGGATCATATCGAACAAAAAACTCTTGTCGTGCCAGAGGTTTAGATAACTTTTGATGGCAGAAGCTCGTGATTCGGCCTCAGGACCCAGCGCAACGTTTGCCAAGGACTGTACAAAGGCCAGTGGGAGGGCGACGGCGATCCGGCGTGGCTGGATCGTGCCGACCCCAGATCCCCCGTAGATGTGGACAAAATGGATTCCTCCGTCGACAAACTCCATATCGCGCATGTCTAGATTGTTAGAACCGGCTGTGAAAAAGTTCGATACATGGTCAATATGGGCTTACTGCAAGGGACTATGTCCCATACGAAACCCTGTTCGGTGGACTTCGGGTCTTTGCCCAGATTGTGGGCATACGTTGAGCGTTGAGAGTGATTCGACATCTTGTGTCTTTGAGATTGATCATTTAACACTTGCGGAAGAATGGAAAGAATTTGTGGAGGAACAGATGGAAGAGGAAGAAGAAAAAGAAAATGCTGTGAACGTGACCATGTATTGTTAGGAAGCAGATTGTGTCCCCCACCATTGACTTGTTTTGACAAAACGTGAGTCGTGTCTGGATGTTGCGGTCAACCTGGCGGTGCTATGCCAACTGGTTGTGACAGCTGCCAAGGAGATGATGGGAATCATGGTGTCGTTAGTTCAAAACTTATGATGGCGGGGGACTTCATGTTAACCATTCACGCCGATTTGGGCTTAGCGCCGATAATACTGTTAATGACTAGGGCGGACCATGATCAAAATCAATGAGAAAAGTAGATCAGCTTACATGTGATTGGTTGTTCAGAGACTGTGAGCCTCTCTTTGTCCCCTTCCTCATGCAAACGAGATGACAACATTTGCATACATGTTTGTGATAATTACAACATTTGTGTTTTACCTCTCAAAATACAAAACAAATGAAAAAAAAAAAGACACAAGTACTTGGAAGGGTTGGTGTTACAACTATATACCTAGGTAATCAAGAGCTGTAACTTACTATGCTGCTCTCCAGACTATGAGACTTCGCATACTCACGAGCCCAGGCCTATCAAGACATTACCTCACGGAAGCAATCGAGTGAGTGCAATTTTGAAATAATCGTAGCACTGAGGACGCGAACCTGTGTAATAAGTTTCCACAGGCGCTGATTTTACATTGTATTTATAACCCAGACGTCATGCAAACATCTCCTGTGGCTGTTTGGTTTGGTCAAAAGCGGCATGGAGATTCTGCTTTTGTTTGGCGGAATCAAGCGACGCGCGCGCCGGAGCGGTGGAATCAGATGCCGTTGGGGATTATCCCACTAGGATCAATCCAGGTACTGTCATGTCATGCCAATGGCAGAAAATTGCCACCAGGATGCCAAAGTAGACAATACTCGCCATAAGGCGGAGGGACGGGCCCGCATTACAGCTCAGTACTATCTGCTTGGTCTGGGCGGGTTGGGGAGCCTGAGGAATGTTGAAAAGATGAAGCCGAGCGACAAAGGTGGCTAGGCTAGCCTGATCTCATCAACCCCAATACAGCAAAATTCATTGTCCCGACGCTTAATTATTGCTCAAGCATCGCCCTTGACGACAATAAACACCTGCCTATATAATTCCAACCTCGCAAGAAAATCACGAGGACCACGATTACAGATTGGCAATAATTGTAAACCCGTAAAATTTCGATATATTTATGCTTGAAAGACGATTGCGAGAATCTTAAGTACAATAAGCAGGGACCTAGGTATGTAATCGTACGGGTGATATTTTGATAATTCTTTCAATGCTGAAGCTATACTTGCGCAATAATCATCCCTCGTTTGATTTCGTGTATATAAATGATGTCGACTTTGTATGTTGGGGCAATACTCACCTAGGCCCCCCTGCACTCTTCCCCCTGCTGGGTAAATTGGCGTTCGGAATTGGGTGTTCCAAGTTGGGTAATTTGATCACCAGCACGCCCTCAATTGGCCAGCAAGCTGGACTCTATGCTACTGAATGCATACCAATTACGTACCTACTAGGTAGGCAGCAACGCTTACCAGCACACAAGGAGGCGTTGCTACCATTTATTAAGCCTTGAGATTGCATAAGCATATAACATCGCGGGATTCAAAGCGCTGTTGTACTATATTGAAATTTCGAGTAGTGATTAGTGGAAATGGAAAACTTCCAGTATTTCGTTCCTGACATTGTGAGCACCGCCTCAAGTATAAATGCCCCCATGTAGGCATTGTTCCTCGACGCATGCGGCCTGATAGCCATATTTCATGACTACACTTGTGCTTAGTCTTTGACTCCCAAGTATTCATTATGAAGTATCGTTCTATGAACCCACTGCTGCTGTTCTGCCCCTGGATTGTCCAAGGTGCACTTGACGGTAGTCGTTATCTATGGTACACTCAGCCCGGACGGTACCCAGTTTTTGAAGACGGCCTGCCAATCGGCAATGGACGCATCGGAGCCGCAATCTACGGAGGTCTCTCAGAAGTCATCGGCATCAATGAGAATTCTATATGGACCGGCCCGTTCCAGGATCGCATCGCGGATGACCCCCAGGCCGCTGAAAAGGTCGTTCGCGAAATGCTGGTGGCCGGAAATCTGAGCGATGCACACAACTACACGATGCAGGCAATGATTCCAACTAACAATTCTCCACGAGCATTCAGCTACTTTGGAAACATTGACATTGATTTCGGTCACACCGACCAAGACGTGGCCGACTACATTCGTTGGCTGGACACGAAAGAGGGTACCACTGGCGTATCTTACACTTATCAGGGCGTCAATCATAGGTGAGTATATGGCCAACAGCCGGTGCCTATCAACAGTCATCTGACATTGAAGCAGTCGTGAATATGTCGCAAGTTTCCCACAGGGCGTTTTGGTGGCACGTTTCAGCACAACCACTCCTGGCGCACTGAACATGAACGTTTCCATGAGTCGAATCAGCAACATTCTGTCAAATGTTGCACAGATAGCCCTGAACAACAACACTATTACCCTTGTTGGATCCAGTGGCCAACAAGAGTCCCAGAGTCCGATACTTTGGACGGGACAGGCGCGTTTTGTATCGGAAGATGGTACATCAACCCATAATCAACAACGAGATGAAGCGGATGTATACTGACAAAATGATAAAGGTACATTCTCTACATCAGGGGCTTCGCTTATCATCCAGAATGCGACTTCAGTGGACATGTATTTCGATACGGAGACGAATTTCCGATACCCAAGTCAGAGTGATTGGGAGGCCGAAATGAGGCGGAAAATCGATGCTGCATATGACTTGGGCTATGATGCTGTCAAGGCATCGGCCATTGCAGATAGCAGCGAGCTGCTCGGTCGCGTGACACTGGACCTTGGCGAATCACCAAATGACTGGGCAGATCTTCCTACAGACGAGCGTATCACTATTGCCAGAAATACTTCGGCCGACCTCCAGCTGAGCACACTGGTCTTCAATTTTGGCCGTCACCTCCTCGTAGCTTCTTCACGCAACACGGGCAACGGCACGTCTCTGCCGGCGAACCTGCAAGGCATATGGAATAACTCAACGTCGGCGCCGTGGGGTGGTAAATATACCATCAACATCAACATTCCAATGAACTACTGGCCCGCCGGACCGACAAACTTGCTCGAGACGGAGGAGCCCTTGTTCGACTTGATGAAGGTAGCACAGGGGCGGGGACAGTCCATGGCCGATCGCATATATGGTTGTCCGGGCACAGTTTTCCACCACAACCTTGATCTCTGGGGAGATCCCGCCCCGACGGACAATTACACATCCTCGACCATGTGGCCCATGGGTGCTGCGTGGTTGGCATGGCACATGATTGACCATTATCGCTTTGCGAGCGACGCCGATTTCTTGCGAGACGTGGCGTACCCGTTCCTTGCAGACGTTGCCGCATTTTACGAGTGCTACACTTTCGAGTTCGAGGGCCATAATGTTACCGGTCCCTCTCTGTCCCCAGAGAACACCTACATTGTGCCCGAGAACTACACCATAGTCGGCGCGAGGCCCGCGATAGACATTGGTCCTTCGATGGACGATCAACTCATGCATGAGGCCTTTCGTGGCTTGATTGAGGCAGCAGAGGTCCTGGGACTCGACGACGCCAACGTGACGGCAGCACAAGAGTTTCTTCCGTCGATTCGTCTCCCCCAAATTGGATCGCTCGGCCAGATCCTCGAGTGGCGCAATGAATGGCCCGAGTCAGCACCCGGTCAAAAGCATTTGTCACCCCTTTGGGCACTGATGCCGGGCCGCCAGTTTAGCCCGCTCGTCAACGAGACTTTGGGCGAAGCGGCCGGGGTTCTTCTTGATCGTCGAGTATCTCATGGCGCAGGGAGCACTGGCTGGTCTCGAACGTGGCTGATCAATACCTATGCACGTCTTTACCGCGGCGACGATGCCTGGAACCAATTAACAGAGTGGTTCGCTGTCTTTCCCACGCCATACAATTTGTACAATACCAACCAAGGTCCCACCGGCCCTTATCAATTCCAGATTGACGGCAACTTTGGGTTCGTTAGTGGCGTCACCGAGATGTTGCTCCAGAGTCATGCCGGGTTTGTACACTTGCTCCCGGCACTGCCCTCTGCTGTACCTACTGGTTCTGTCACTGGACTACTGGCACGAGGCAGCTTCGAAGTGGATATTGCGTGGAAGGATGGAGTATTGGCGGCGGCAAATATCACATCGCTAGCAGGCAATGAGCTGTCACTTCGATATGCAAATGGTTCTGCGATCCTCGTGGATGGGTCACCATACAGTGGTTCGATACAGACAAGCGTTAGCCAAATATTGGTTGTCAGTCTGGCATGATGGCTGTTCTTAGACGACAGACAAGGAGTCGAGCATTTTGAGATTCTCAGATTCGTGTTGAAGGGTTGACGTAGGGGCTGGGAACCGAAATTTCAACATGTATGAACCACCCACTGCTGGAAGATGCAAAAATTGTTAGTTCTTGGTAGCCCAAGATCAGTGCATATCATATAACACCCCGACTGTTGATGGATTTCTATTCTTCTAGTTGAGCAATCATTTTATCAATCCGTTAGTAGCTCGCAATCTGATTGTGTTGGTATTGATTCAAGAGAATTGATTCAATCTATCTGACGATCTCATCCGTTACCTAGTGTACGGCAAGCATTCTGGAGACGCATTAATCTGGCGCAGGCTCACATGGGAAGATGGATTCTACTCCGTAGCACGAACATGGATTATAACTAAGAAAAGAAAGAGCGCCTCAGCCTTAAAGCTATACTATTCAGAACCAAACATGGCCCAGAATCCGGCTTCGAATGGTTAAAAATTTGCGGAAAGCCAGTATTCCACTTCATCCAAGCTACACGATAAGAAATGTGTTGCCAAATTTGATAAAAGTCAGTCTTCCTCTTCCCGATGCTTGGTAGGGTTGTGCGGCGAAGGAGGGAAACCCGTTGCTCTAGAATTGATCCGCCATGCTCAGCAAAGAACAACGTTGCGTCAGGGCAGACGATAGGTCTAGCGAGCTGGGTGACCAGGGGATTGACAAGTGGTTAGTGGTGGGGTAAGCGCAGTACGGAATGGCTCAATCCACTGCGGCTTCGGGCTTTTGGGACGATCGGTCATTTCAATGTTGCCATCTTGGTCCATCTTGAATTCGGCATGGAATGATCCAAAAGCGTCACATAATCGCGACAAGAAGCTATATACACCTAGGCTTATTGGACACGGTAGCTCACTTATATTCATGTTATTATTGATTTCGTTTAATTTTGCAAGGCATAAGCGTGTGTGGCCAGTAAGCAGCTAGCCTCGTGATACGACTTTGAATAGGTACCCAAGTCACGATGACAGTTATCAACATATTTCCAGGATTAAAGAGTGCTGCAAAGAAACGCTAAGCCGTGTGTTTTTTTTCAGCTCATCGTGACTGCATAGCCATGTCTCACTATTCTGATTGGAGTTTCTCTTGGATGTGTCGACTCAATCCATGTTTGCTTATGGGAATCGTTGCTTATTTCTTCGACGCAATCAATTATCTACGATTTATAGTTCACGGTGCGTATATAGGCCCTATCACGTTCACTTGGCTGTCGGTGCGGTAGATGAGACATGCGACGCCAAGACAAAACCAATATACAGCATCTCAGAAGTAAAACATGTCGAATCAACAAAACGCTTGCGGTACCTCTGTAACATCCTCCCTAGGGATTGAAGACTGCAATAACCAGCCAAGGTAGATAGATGGCCCTTCTCCATCTATAAATACTCTCTAGTCGGAACATCTCCAATCTCCCCTCCTCGTTCTACTGAACAACATTTGTCTTCGTTCCCAGGCTATAATATTGTTCCTCGCTGACGGAAAACGTCTCGTATTCCAAGACTCACAGAAACATCATCACTACTATCAGCCATGAGGATCACAAGCTCGGCTGTGAACTCTTTCTGTCTTTCTCTGTTCTTCCATAGCTCCTCTGGCCAAAGGTACCCTGGAGATTATCCTGTTCAAGGGTACCCAGTGGGGAATCCATATCCTCATCCTGCGCCTCATGGCAACCCATACCATCACCCTGGGCCTCATGACAACCCGTATTATCATTATCCTCAGGGCTCGCGCCCTTCTGGGAGACCAGGCCCTCCAGGATACGGGCAATCTCCCATCCCTGTAGAATCAGGGACCGCGTCTGACACTACATCGTCGTCCTTGAGTGGTACGGACGCGCCAGCTCAGACTCAGACAGGTACCATCTCCACCTCATCTGGCACTCCTGCCGACTCTTCTGTGGCTTCTTCCGTCCCATCTGCAACCTTGACCAGCCTGCCTCCGGACACCATCTCGTCGGTTTCCACCACTACCCCTACCAGCTCCACCGTTGCCCGAAATGCTTCCGCCTTCGTCATCGTGTCCCCAACCTATTGCCCCCCCTCTATCCGTCCCACCGGGGTACCGATAAGCCAGAGCGATGCCAACTTTTCGGCATCACACGAGGGGCTGCAGTACCAGCAGTTCCCCAACTCGCAGTTCATCCTGAAGAACGACAGCGGCGAGCCGTTCTACCTGGACCTGTCCACGCCCACCCAGCTGATCGTGGAGGACGCCGACGGCTATATGCTGATCCTTTACGAAAACGGGACATACAACGCCTTTGCCGGCGCCTGCGAGCTCGAGATCATCGGGAGCTGGCCGAGCCCGGGCTCATCCCCCACCGGCCGGAAGCGAGATATGACGATCCGCCGCCAGGCTGGCAGCGCCCTGTGCAGCGACATACAGTTCTTCTGCAACAAAAATCTCGGCAAGGCAGTGCTCGCCGTTGGCGGCGGGCTAGCCTGCGCCGCCATCGCCAAGCAGGTGGGCGCCGAGATCGGGGGCGCCGTCGGCTTCCTGGGCAACCTCTTGGGGCCCGAGGTCGGGCTCCCCACGACCCTGGTCGGCGCGGCGGTGGGCGGGCAGCTCGGCGGCTTCCTGGCCGGGAAGTACGGCCAGGTCCTCTGCGCCAACGCCGCGACGTACCTCGGGTCCGAGTTGTGCAGCGCCTGCCCGCCGCCGTCGAACTGCGGCCCCGGGACGATCTCCTGCAATGGGAAGCCGTGCCAGGACATCCTCAGCGACCCGAGCAACTGCGGCGCATGTGGCAATGTGGTAAGCCATCTTTCCCCTTCCTTGGATATCGCGTCAGACTAACAGCCTCACAGTGTCCGTCGGGAAAGTGCCGAAACGGGCAATGCACTGCCCCAGTCTGCGCTGGGTCGACGTGTGACAGCCTGCCGAGCTGCGGATCGGACTGCTTCTGCTTCGCTACTGCTGGGAGCACAGGATTCTGCGGTCCCAGCGTGGCCTGCAGCCCTCTCGCCGACTGCGTCTCGGACTTTGACTGCGGGCAAGGCCTTGTGTGCGCGACTGGCACCTGTTGTGGCAGAAATGTCTGCCTGCAATCGTGCGGAGTTGGGTCAGCGCGTAGGGACACTTCGATTGCGGCAAATGCCAGCGAGCTCTATACGGCCGGTCAGGGAGGCGTCGCGGGAAGAAACATTCCGAGGCTTTTTGAGTGAGAGCGGATTAGTATCGCAAGTGGTAGGATATTTAGATCGGTTTGTTTCCGCAGGTGGGTGGGACACAACCTTTGCTGCTGCGGCATCGTGGGATGGGTAGATGGCGAACCAAGATCAATGCAACGAGTATGTAATGCCTCCAAAGATGAGAGTCATGGTGAAACGAGCGGAGCCAGCCAGAAAAGCAGCAGTACATCTACCAGAGCTATTCTACAAACCCCGCCTCAAATGGGTACAACGATCGATCACAGGTCCTCATATGTCCAACACGGTCAAACAGAGCTACGAGATTCTATATTGGTCTCGATAAGACCAACAACATTGCTGGCGTTGGAAGTCGCGAGGATTTTGCTGATGCATTTAATCTCTGTGTGAGCTTCACGGCAGAGAGCATTGGCGTGACCTTGGCTAATCAATGATATGTTATGAAGGGAATACATTTATTTGATCAGAACTACTTTCGCAGGGAAAGTCTCGCTATCTTCTGGCCCAGTGTAAGCACTTCCCAGACCGTTGACAACGGACGAGACGATTTTAATCCTGTAAAAGATGCGTTCAATTATAATTGGGAGTGATCTTACTGCATTTGCAATCGGGGGCAAAAAACATGGTATAAAAAGAATGTCTCGAGCGATGGAATGGGAAAGTTTTGCCCATCATTATGTCGAGGAGAATAATTAAAGCCAACTTACAACTCAATAGAGTCACCTTATCAAAACTATTTCGGTATAAATCACTGACCTGGGGTACGTTGAATGAACCATATAAACATGATATAACAACTTGAATGGTCATTATTTTTGTTTATTAAAAAAGTTAACGATATCTGCTATGAATGGTTGTATTGCATTTGGAAATGTAAGAACTCCGATAGCATCATGTAGCGTTGTATTATGTTGAAGTGTTTGATGTGCATTGGCTATGCTGGCCTGAACGAGCTGCTGTAACTACGGAAAAGAACGCCATAGGGATATTTTCCAGGTGTTGTTTGATAACGTGATTCTAATGATTCCCAAAGAGACGGATAGCTGAATGAGATTTGCATATTTGAGTTCTTGAGCAGTTTTCACCATGGATGTAGAGGTCGAAGAGGGTTGAAGTCTCTACTTCCCACTTTACCTTTTTGCGTCTATCGGTCGTCCATGTCCAATACTTGATTAGTGTTCCCGTTATTCAATTTCTGAAGTCCCACCAGGGGTCGCTGTCACTAGATGAGAGCCACGCGTCCTTTTTTAGTATATCTATTTTAGTGCAAGTTTAATCGTTCGGAGAGGGTTAAACCGGATGCGGATTAGCATCTAACCTAACCTGGAGGACTGGCTAACGTGACTTTATAAGTAATGTTGGATCTCCATCTTTCTCTTATGAACGACATCTGCCATGGTGGGTCGGCCTGTTGAGAATTCCGAGAATGGCAAATGCATACTGCTCGAGTACCGGGACTAGCATCACCGAGTCCGAGCCGGGATGGCTAGGAATTCCGCATTTGTCACTCATAATCGACGACGACAATGTGGAAGCCTTGAAGGGATTCCTCCAACAGAAACCAGATTGTCCTGGGTGGAGAATATATCATTATGAGCCCAATTGGCATTCAGGTTGGGGTCCTGTGGACTACGCGATCAAAACGGGCAGCCTCAATGTCTTTTGCGAGCTTCTGACGCTAGAAGAGACCTTGACAGCAGCTACACCAGCTCATCCCTATCGACTTCATGAAGCCTGCAGACTCGGCCGCCTGGACATGGTACGACATCTTCTCAATCGTTCCGCCGACGTGCAAGATAGCCTCGAGCGGATCGATGATCTGGGAGCTACACCGCTTCTTGCTGCTACCGGATTCCTTGGCTATCCGGGATCAGAGGCAGTCATGCAACTGCTGCTTGATGCAGGCGCAAACCCGCTCCAAGACATCTACACCGCGGGCCGATGGAGAGACGGCTCAGATGAGCCGGTAGAGGAATCTCGACGTCAACAAGGCATTGATTTACCATTCCTTGTGGCCAATGCCCTCACGGCTGCCATAGAGTTTGCAACACCCGCTTTGATTGATCGCCTTTTCCACGCTGGAGTCGATTTATGTGCCGGCGGCTCTTATAGAATAGAAGGTTGGCCTCGAGATGAGATACTCATCCATGTAACCCCTTTGCACCTCGCATGCAGTGAGAGCAGCGTTGAACGTGTCCGGGCACTGCTACGGCTGGGGGACTCGGACGCACCCCGCATGATTGTGCAGCGAGACAGCATGGGCCGGACTGCGTTTCACTGGGCCGTGCTTGGCAATCTTAATTCACCGTACGTGGGACAGGACCCTGGCAAAGTTCACGACCGTATGTTGCTTCAAAGAAACAAGTGCATACAGGCCCTCTGCGCCCACGGACGTGAAGCAGCTACTGTCAATGCCCAAGATCGGGATGGCAAGACGGCGATGCATCTGGCGGTAGAGTCGTGTTTCCCCGAGGCCGTAATCTGTCTGCTTGAACAAAATGCTGACCCGAACCTGACTGACTCGACCGGACGTACAGCTATTATGGCGTTGACCATGAGCAGCAGAATCGCGCGAATGCACAAGCATGTTATTGACGCTTTGGCCAAGGCAATGGTCAACAATCTAAGCGCAGGCGATGGTCATGGTAACACTGCCTTGCATCTCGCATGCAGTCACTATAGGCGGCTCTGGATCGCCAGGCTCTTGATCGAGCACGGCGCCCCGTGTCATCTCACCAACGGGAGTGGCGAGTTACCTCTGCACAAGGCTGCTGCATGCTTGTGGCCGCCTAGTGATAGTTTTTCAAAATTCGACATATTTCGCGACGTCCTTCGATCTCAAGATCAGTTCATCTCTCTCCTCCTAGAAAGGACCCGCGGTGTTTGCGATATGGACAGCAAAGACGCCTCAGGTAAAACCGCTACGGACATTTTGGTTGAGACTCGACTGAAAGTTTCAAACCATGTCAAGCAACAAGAGAAAGGAAAAGCATATGTGAGACTACAACAGGTCGACCACGCACAGATTAGGGCGGGTTTTAAAATTATGCCCCATGAAATTCAAGAGGTCGTTGAGACTGAAAGTGGTGTCTGGGGATTACGTGACATAGGAGACCCGATGGCTCTCTCGAGCGTCTGGCATAGGTTCAGGGGACGCGGTGGATTGAATAGAGGAGGACGTGGTGGTTCAACGGGGGCACGACCGGCCTTACTGAGAATACCCCGGCATCGCCGTCGGATCTCGTTGGAAACGTACGGATCTTAATTGAAAATGCTAAGTAATAACCAAATGTCACCAATATTGAAGTTCGGATTATGTGACGTCTTTGTCTTTCGCGAATGTGTAACCACGAGTTGCAGCGGCGGCGATGGAACAAACAGCTACAGCAGGGCATACTCATTAAGTTGGCGGTTGCGCAAAATCTCAACAAGATTTAATATGCATTGCAGTAGCGATAATTGCTTATTTACTGCTGTGAGCATTAAAACATAGTGCTGAGTAAAACATGCCAACTTGATGATGCGTAATTTCTGGGTCAGCGGCAAAAGGCATTGTACTTATATTTGGACATTCGGAGTAAGTAACACGAGAGTGTATACAGCCCTCAATCAGCCAAGAAATAAAAAAGAGATGCAGCGATTTCAGTGATAACTCTGGGATCGGCCTTTCTTGTACAGTTGAATGGGCTAGGACTGAACTTATCCTTTAGCCTCACATACTAGGGCTGCCCATGGATGGTTGTGAAATAGCTGTCATGTTTGTGCGGCTGACATAACGTTTTATGTCCGACTATCAGAAAAGATAGGACACATATGTGGTCCATGTGATATTTAGATATGTAGGTGCCGTTTCCTTCTGCCAATTGAACGTCCGCGTGTATGTCCCTGCCCCTCACTAGAGCAGCCCCGAGACAGTCTTACACCCGTGTTGGAAGGATTATACATGCATTCCATGGCTCAGGCACACGTAAGGGTAAAAGGTTGTGTTACACAATATACGATATACCGCCAGGCCATATTTGTAAAAGTGGGAGCTCCACACCAAACTCAGGTTAGCGTTGAGATAAATACATGCGTACTCGCAACACAAGTCATTGCTTGTACGCCACGCTGATGATATTATGGTAAGCATCATGAAGTTATATTTTCGGGGAGGTACCCCCACGGGCGTACCGTGTACTTAATGTTTCCCTTCTGGGACGGCCCATGGCTTTTTACATAATACACCACCTTTCCCAAAACTGTGCTTGACTTCATACATCCTTTTCTTATTTATGAACTAGTGGCTGCATGAAAAGTTAAAGAATTGAAACTCTGTAGGAATCCGGAGAATCTTATCAAATAATGGACTCATCAATGGGTCTTACGTCACCCTTCACCCCCCATTCCCAAGTGGCGTTTGCCGGGCAGAAAACTGGATTGGGCTCTTTCCACTGAAGAGTCCCATGCCATGTCTGGCAATGTGGGCCTGGCGAGGCACGTCAATCGGTGAGATCCATCGCCAGGTCATCATGCCCAGGGTATTTACAGCCAGCATCAACCTGAAAGATCAAACTGCAATTGATAGGCATCAATACCGGGCTTGGCCTTAGGCATGCCATTAGCTTCTAAGACACCGTTTTCTATACTTGATAATGGCTGTACATGCTAAGGCTAAGTGCGAAGCAGCTGCAGAGCATATGCGTTCACAGTGCCCTAATGTCAGTATTGATACAATGATATGGATATTAGATATGGAGTTGTACGACTTGACACGTTAGTCCGTAAACCGACGTTGTGTTACTGACTGCTGCAGCAGTCAAGAACACGTATACGAGCAATGCAGTCGCGAATCATAAGATAACGTTACAGGTCAATTAGTTATCAATCTCCCTCGTGGCGATCCTTTTACTTTCCATTGTCAGATCCATAGACCGAAATAGCGCGCCCTATCAACTGCCAGTGCTGACTTTAGATAGGCTATTAGAGTGGATATAGGTACGGCGCCATACCAGGGATGTTCGATCCATCCTAGGGAGGTTCGTGGAGGTTAGTGCTTGTGTATATCTCGATGCTACAGTATCACTCTAGAGAGCCATAGAAGCTTTATTTGTGATTAGACAATGAAGCTATAAGTGCTTGTCGTCTCCTGTTGTTGTCAAGTGAAAGCTCCGATGAACCAAGTATAACCAGTTATCCAAAGTTTTGGTACACGACAGAAAGTCAAGCTATTAGAACCAGACTATGGGAGTAAATTTGGAGGAACCAAACTTTGCCGGTGCCTCTAATATTATTCAAAGTATGCCAATCACCTAGTTAACAGCTTTACACAATAAGCTTTCGGGGCATTGTATTGCTTGATTGAATCAATTCTACATGTAAAGAGATCCAAATCATAATGCTTTCGACAGATTGCTTCTTTGACGACACCATAGAATAGGACAAAAAAACAGCGTTGTTTGAACTACATTGCACGTAAGTGCACAGTGATATGGCATGGGACTGTAGCAAAGGTTTCTATATCTAGTGAATTCAGGTGTGGGAGGAATTTCAAAGCTGAGTTGAACTTTTTCTGTGATTAAGTCATTATTCTTTCCCGGATCGTGCAGTCGGGTCATAAACTACTAAGCCAAAGAGTGACTGTGAAATGTGGCACTCTTCGGGTGATACATCGGGAAGTAATAGGAAAGAGCTTCTAATTCGATTCTTAAATTGATTGATTTTCATAGAAGAAAACTATTTTTAGTTTTATTGTTTTTGTTTTTTATTTTTGGATACTGCTCGGATCAGATCGACTCACTGCATCTTATCTTTACAATCTTGTATATAGCGGTCAGAAGCCGGACCGGTGTGATCTATGACACGAAACGAATCGTGCCAAATCAAGGACAGCTCCTGGAAATCACGATTGATAGCTTACTATGTATAATAGCTATGATTGCAACCGAATCCCGGCGTTCTGTTTGGTCCCGGCTTTTGTCTGTTAGACGGTCTTACACTAAGTCGCTCAATTGTGGTTGGCTGCGTATGTACGTAGAACGAAGTTGGTAGAGACTGCGGCACGGAGATGTGCTGTCGGGTGACTTGCCTTCAGAAGAAGCTGGTCACATCGGCTTGAAACAAGCCAATGGGAGAAGAGATTGTACGGCAGAATAGTAGGTCAGTGGGTGGGTGTCTACTTTTCAACCTCGAAGACCCACAGTAGGTAGTTTTCGGGTGCTTGGCAGGTCAGCAAATTGCTGTTTTAACACGGCGCGGTGAAAATACCGTCTAAAGTCATCCTGCATGTCAAATCTGATGATAGAATCTGGCAAGTAGATGCGAGGCGTAGGTCTTGACTTGTTTGGAAATACGCAAGCCAATCCGTATTATCCGCGCAGCCGGATCCTTATAGGAAAGTTATTGCGGCCTCAAAAGTATGACTACTAGGAATCTTACTTGATACGCCCTCTGAATGTATTAACGTATGGTACAATAAAGCGCAAAATGTACACCCAAGCATGTATCTGCGCCGTCCGACTGACGTACAGTTCGTAACTCCTACGATCCCATATGACGAGGTCTTTGCTTGGCGCTTTTCATAGCAATCAGTGCAACAAAACGTTTATTCAAGGCGAATGATGAACCACAAATCGTTATGGTAGGTCGAAACTAGGAAAGTAATGCTGACATGGGGATGAGGACCTCGAAGTATAAATTGGAGCATGATAATGTTTACCGATGTCTTTCTTGATCCATCTTTGCATGAAACTTTGGTGCAACATACTCGACTGATCACTGATAAAGTGCGAGTGTGCTCCAGAATATAAATCAAGAAGTGAACGGGCTCTACAGTCATTATGGACAAGCAAAATGAGATAGACCTGCCGATCTTTGATCAGGTCAATCGTGAGATTGTAACTCACGATCAAGACCAGACATTCTGGTGGGATTTGATGGGTCGATCGCTCGCTACACAGCTCAAAGCGAATCAATATGGAAACGAGGAACAGCTATACTATCTACGCTGGTTCAAAAAGTGGATTCCATACTCATTTGGACCACAGCCAGTGGACGGCAATGCCTACTATGACTCAACCTTCACCCCTGATGGTTCACCAATCGAGTACAGCCTGAACTGGAAAGAGAAAAAGGCCCGCCAGACCGTCCGACTCGCCATTGAACCATGCTCGCGGGAAGCCGGTACCGCCGCTGATCCCCTCAACCAGCTCGCGTCCAAGAGCCTACTGGAAGCCATGGCAAAAGACGTAACCAATATAGACATGGTTCGGTTCAACAACATTCTAGCAGAAACCAACGTGCCAGACGAGGACGCAGAGCGTATTCTGTCAAAGCTCCCGCCAAGCGAACCGCAGGTTCTCTTGTTGATTGCATACGACTTGGAGCAGGGGGAAATCTTGCCAAAAGCCTATTTCAACCCACTGCTCAGAGCGATTCACAGCGGCACGTCTACAAAAAAGGTTGTTTTTGACGCCGTACGCAAATGCAACGGCCCACACGGCTCTTACGACGCGTCCCTTGCAACCCTTGATGATTATCTGGACTCCCGGGATGCCGTCGACGGGCCGCACGTCTTCTTACTGGGCCATGATTGCATTGTGGACTCGCCTGCCTCCAGAATGAAAATTTACGTCTTTACGCATGTGACCACTCTTGCTACGGCCTTGGACGCATTCCATCTTGGGGGCAGAATTTCTGGATCGACCATCGAGGGAGGTCTTGAAGCAGTACGCTCGTTTTGGTGCCATCGATTTTCTCTGAATGGCTCAGATTCCGACGTCGAAAATAGGGAGATGCTGCCGCCAGGGAGTAGATGTCTGTTTGTTTATGAGATGAGACCGACGCAGCCTGGTCAGAAGGAGCCGGAGATTGAGGTGAAAATGCATATGCCAGGCACGTGGCTGGGTGAAACAGACGCCGAGGTCTGCCAGGTCATGTCAAGCTGGTTCCAAAAACATAATCACCCCGACTTGGCGGCTCGCTATCAGACTGACATGGCTTCAGCATAGTAAGTTCAGAGTCCTGTCCTATACTACCACGATCAGCAGTCCGGAGACTAATACATCAAGTCTTAGCCCTGAGATTGACCTGAACACGCCGGGCGAGTTATGCCACACTTGGGTTTCTCTCACGTGGACGCAGAAAACTGGTCTTTACATGACCATGTATTACACTCCAAAGATTACGCAGTTCTACTGATGGAGTAGAAGTGACGGAGGAGTTCTGGACCTGATAGTTTGCCACAGGGAAATGCCAGCCGGTGAGCACTTCAAGTCTTCGGCTGAGTGCCTAAAGAGTGGGGTCGATTATGAGGGCTACATCGATTATGAACGGATTTTTCCTTGTCTTTTCTTTTGTCAAACTGCTCTCAATCGTTCAAGCCAGTTTTGTCTAGCACTCGCTCGAATTGCACTGACATAGTCAGTACCCACTACAGATTACCTGCTCGGTTATATTAGATTGCTCTTCAGCACGTCTGCTCTGTAACCCGTAGGATCAATTTAGACATTGTTCATATGCTACTTCGATCACATATTCTCCTTCACACGTTGGCTTTAGTGAAACTGACTCCACATGCCTGACGGATGCGTCGCGGGCATGATTGACTTCGCGCCAAAACGCCGCCTCCATCTACCACCGCCCTCTGATCGTTGGTCTCAGGACCGCCTGCAAGGTCGAGATAGAACTGAGCTTGGGACCTGCCCAGAACCGCATCATGGTCCACGGCGACATGTCCATCAACCACCACTTGTGCATGGCACCATGAAGTACATGGAGCACCAAGTCTGTGCGCATGCTTTTCATAATGTTGGATATCAGGCCTATTATCGTCCACGGCAAACCTCTGGAGTTTGAGATGGGAAACCTCAGTGACAAGTATGCTGACGGTGAGGGCCCAAACAAGAAGGCTGAAAAGGAACCTTTTTGTTTTGATCATTTGAAATATAGACCATTCAGCATTTTGCGCAGATTTTCAACAAGATGGAAGAAGAGGGTGCAAATTCATGTCAGATGTTTACATTACTCATGAGAATTATTGAAAAGGTATGATAGATGTAATGTAACAGATGTTGTAGTGGCTGAGTTGTTCATATCCAAGATCGGTTGTATGGTCAAATATGTATTCTCATCACTCCACTTATTGCTACATTTTGACAATATTTGTCAATAATATAATCAGAAATATACTCAAATAGAATTGATGATGACCTGGGCTGTGAGATTTGGCCGACCATACAAGACAATGATCAATCCTAGGGATAACTTAGCGAGCATCTGAGGGGATCGGGTGGGTCGGTACTACTTACCCTGCTTATCTAGTACTTACCCTGGTTATGTACGAGAGTACCCATCATATACCCCTTGGATCGCGGAAAAGAAACGATTGAAATTGTGGAATTGTATCTTTTTGAATTAAACATTTCTTCAACTAGATTCTTGTAATGTAAAATTTTGCCGCACAGCTGGATTCATCTCTACAGTTCCTAGATTGCGCACCTGCATGTTTTATTGCAATTTCCATGTTCAAGATAGCAAGAAATTGATTCGTAATCTTTAGGCGGTATCGCGAAGTACAAAAAGCAGAGGTAAGCAGCACAGCAAGGGTCTGCTCCTCCGCATTTTGGTATGATCTGAGATACGGTAGTACGTACTCTATTCCATGTCTTACCGCCACCTCTCGCAGTTAAAAGGGAAAACCCCCCAAAGCTGAGTCCTCCACCCATGCTGACTTCTCCTCCTGGTCTTCTACACCAAAAGCCCACCCAATCCTCAACTTGAACCTTTGCTGTCTATCGAGGTAGATAGAATATGAGCCATGTCGGCCAAGCTCGAATCCGAAGCTGCCTATGAGGCCACATGGATTCGTATGTTGCAACGTCAATTCACAAGGCCTAAACCCCTACCAGCTGATACCAACCTCGAGGGACAAACCGCTATCGTCACCGGTAGCAATGGCGGGCTGGGTCTCGAGGCATGCAGACAGCTGCTCAAGCTCGGGCTCTCGCGCCTAGTGCTGGGCGTGCGCTCCCAGGCAAAGGGAGAGGCGGCCGCGAATGGACTGCGCCAGACATTTGACAAGGCAGATATATCCGTCTGGATCGTTGACCACGAATCCTACGACTCGATCCGCGAGTTTGTAGGTAAGTGCGAGACGCTGCCACGCCTTGACATTGCCATTTTGAATGCGGCGGTCATCACAACCTCGTACACGACCGTCCCGTCGACAGGCCACGAGAACATCCTCCAGGTCAATTACCTGTCGACGGCCTTGCTGGCGATACTGTTATTGCCTATCCTCAAGTCCAAAAAGGTCCCCGACGCCGTTCGGCCGCCCGTGCTCAATCTCGTGGGGACCGACCTCATGTACCAACCTGAGTTCGTACCGAGGCTGACCGGTCCGGTGCTGGCGCAATACGACAGCGCCGAGAACTTTCGCTTTTTCCCCTGGTACAGCGGATCAAAGATCCTGCTCATGTGCTTTGTGAGCCGGCTGGCCAGATGCGTCGACGCGAACGACGTTTTAATCAACGTGTCTAACCCTGGACTTGTGAAAAACACAGACCTTGCTCGCAACGGATCGATCATGGTGAGGACGGTCATGGGAATCTACCAATTCTTCTTGGGCAAATCCGTGGAAAGTGGTGCCTCTGTATACCTTGAGGCTGCTTTGGGCCAAGGACCAGATAGCCACGGCGGTTTCGTTAGTGAATGGACAATCCGACCGTAAGTTCCACGACACAGCCCAAGGAAGTGGGGATTATTTGATTGCTGACAAGTGCAGATACCCGGCGGTTTGGTATACAACAGAAGGCAAGGAGTTCACAGAGAGATTGTGGGAGGAAACCATGGAGGAGCTGAACTTTGCCGGTGCATCTAAGATCATAAAAGACATGAAAGGGTCTGCCGATTGAAAGCAAAGTCTGCATTCTGACCTAGTCCCGGAAACTGATGATACATGTGAAGCACTGTTCTGTTGCTGGTAGTGAGTGAGCAGTGCTCAGTATCGGTCTAATGAACTGCCATAGCGGGGCAATCGCGGGGCTCCGCAAGACTTATAATGCTTGTGCAAGCGCTATAAGCCTTCTGTAATGGACATGTTTTGTGAGCCGCTTGAAAGTCAGCCCACTATAAGCTCCCACTACGGTCGATGTACTGGTTTTGTCCAATATTTTTTCCTTACTCGTAAATGCGCACATCCATGTCTATAGTTCTACACGGAGTCTGTTCAATTTAAGGTTGGTGATGAGTAAAGAATAAAGAAATCCATATTTTTGACTTTTTGCCAGTTTTGATGGTGGATCATGATGGTGGACTCACCATTGGGGCCTGGCGCTGCAGAAGACGCGGGGTTACCTAGGGGAGCTTGGTGAGGAACGATCTGACGCAGATCGATCTGATGTTATTCTTCCCGGCTCACGCTTCAACCAAATCGTGCTAGCTGTGTGCACGTTAACCGAGGCCTACTAACCGATCATGGTACTATGTATAATGCTAAAGAACCAGGTAACCAGGTAGCAACATGGTGAGGTTCCAAAATCTGGTTGGTGAGGAACGAATCCATTCAGGTAAGTGGGGGGTATATACTGCAAAGCCTAGTACATAGCCAGGAAAAGGCACAAGCTCGCTCCTTGATCCTACAGTTACGCAGAGTATCTTTGGCACGAGTTTGCACGGAATGCTTAACTACCTAACTACCTGACCAGGCACGCACTGGCCCCCGCTCGGATCCGAATGCCGTTGTGTCAGCTTATCATCTTCCATGTTTCGGCGAGGAGAGCTGCAGACCAGCGGTCCAGCCCGCGAAGCTCCCGAGTAAGGCTTCATGGCTAGTATGGAGTCTTTCCAGAAGCAGTCGGTCGCCGACCTCAAGGCCAAGAGGAAACAGCCTGCGTGTGAGGGTGGCGCCAGTCGACGAAGTAGATGAGAGGAAGCCGCCTTGGAGTTCCGTGAATGGGACTTGGCTGTTTCCGCGTTTTCATGCCGTTTCTTGATATCGGTAGTCCACAAAAGACATTGACACTCCTGGCTGAGTTTGTGGAGGGCAAAGTGCGGCAGGGTGGTGGCCAGTGATTGAAGTGGCAGACTGTCGGTGATGACGCGGAACAGGGCAAAACCTCTAAATTTCGATGTTGATGGCATCCATTGGAGTCGTGCCAGTATATAATAAAAAAAAAAAAAACGGATGGCTTCCTATTTGAAACATGTCTGCAGTAACACCTTATTTCGTGCACTTCTGTAGGAGAGACTGGGTGTCAATATGCCGATGGGTGCGCGGCACTCCAGTTGTCCATGGGTCACTTAGTAGTACAGTTACGAGCTGTGGTCGGGGATTCATAGTGCTAAGCCGCTGATCGGACAGCGCAATTATTATTGAAATGATGTACTAACCGGCTGGTTATTACTACCGAGTCTTTGCCGTTCAACAATTATGGTGCGTTGTACAGGTGGTGTAGTGCAATTAGGCTAGTGCAGTGCAGTGCAGTGCAGTTAGGTTGCATTGAGCTGGTGCAGCGCAATTTGTACACCACCAGAACTAAGGAGAACATGGTCATGTATTGAGACCGAACAGATGAGCCCATAGATGCCCTCGGGCCGCGGTGTGATATATGGTGGTAAGGGTTTGCAGAGCAATATTGGCTGGTTTTTCAATCCGCGATACCATTAGTGCATGAATTATGTATAGACAACAACTATTCGCCGAGTCGCCGAGGTAATAGTGTATGATGCCGTTGAGATGTGCAATTTCTGACCAATGGCGAAGGCCCAAGACAGTGAGTGTCACTGCCTCCGATGCCATAAATAATAGCCAAGCACGGTTGACCATCTAGCTGGGCACTTCCATCCATTCCACTTCACCTTGTCTTTACAATTAACGCAAAAGAAAATGGCGCCGCAGTATCAAGTCATCATCACTGGAGAGCCTGATAAGGCGACTGCAGAAAAGCGGCGCTTAGTCTATCTGAGACCATTCATATTATTCTACTTGAATTCCCTGTTTGCCGAAGTCATATTCTTGGCAGTCGGTGTCTTCATCATGACGGGGGCCCGCGACCTCATCTACAAAATACTCTGGACGCTAGTCTTTTGCCCTTTAGGAATGGGCGGGGCCATGGGTGGCATCATCAATGTCTTCATCGTTGATCACTATTACGGAACCAAGGCAGTCCATTTTACCAGCATCCTATCGCTTCTGGTCCTGAGCAGCTGCAACTATCTCTGCTACAATCTCGACAAGCACTTTGGCTGGTTTGGGGCGGCAGATCATCCACTTTGGTTTCACTGGCGGTATCCCATGATTTGGGCGGTTGGCTACTTCAATGGCAAATTACTCTTCACTGACGAGGGGCAAAAACGTCTAGCAAGAATGGGTATTTAGTATTCTCCTGAATGATACGACTCTGACAATGTTCAAAGGGACGCAAATATTGCATCTTCTTGTCCCGCCAGGTGATCTGCAGGCATTCCAAAAAAAAAAAAAAAAAAAAAAAGGCTCTTTTACACACGGTGCATATGGAGGCTAGAATTTCTTTGGATTAATTCATTAGGTTAAAAATTCCCTCTATGCGTGTTTATTCCGTGTTTCCATAATAAAACCTAGTGTTAATTGTATCTAGAGTTTTCTCCCCAAATATATTCTCTTGGGTTTCTTTTCGACTTCCAAAGCCTGAGCCACACTATCGTATCCCTTTCTAATTTAAATCATTAAGCTCCTGTCTTTCGTAATTTGCATCACTTAAAATATAGTTTTGATCGCCGAGGAGGTTCAAAGCTCAAGGGTGCTGGTACTTGAACTGCGGGGAGCGAGTAGACAACAACGGGCATCACAGCCGAGGTGATCAGCCAACTTCATGCTACCAATTGGGCAAACTAGTGGATGGTATCATTTAAGACCGCGAGCTTCCAGTAATTTATTAAAATTTTGATCGAAAAAGAAATGCCCTGGCAATTCTTCCCATCCCTCCGAGGTTTACAGTAAACCCAGGACAGTTCCGGGGATGGTAGATGCCATGATGTTAAGAGCTGAGGTGTACGTATCCTCCCGACTGCCCATCGCAGTACAACGAAATGGCGAGCCCAGCTTCTTTTCGCCAATCTCTTGTACCTTGATTCACGGCCCCACAGAAGCCGTTCTAATTGATACCCCCATTTCCACAAGCCAGACTGAAGACCTGGTGAGATGGATGAAGGAGCGAATCCCGAACAAGTCTCTCAAATACATTTACATAACCCACGGGCATGGTGATCACTTCTTTGGCATTAGCACGGTGCGAAGGCAATGGCCCAGCGCTCAAGCAATTGCTACTGAAGGAACTGTCGCGCACATGAAACAACAATTGGAACCCCAATGGTGGAACGATGCCTGGCTCAAATTCTTTCCCGGCAACCAAATCGATACGCCCGTCGAGCTGGCCACACCGTGGCTATCTGATCAATTCCACGTCGACGGGCAGGTCCTCAAGATCTTTGAGGTTGGCCATGCCGATACTCACGATTCCACCTTTGTATACGTGCCCGACCTCGAGTTGGTTGTGGCGGGGGACATTGTCTACGGCGATGTGCACCAATATTTTGGGGAAGCCAACACATCCAGCAAAAGACAAGAGTGGCTACGGGCCATTGAGAAGATTGAATCACTAAATCCCAAGATTGTGATTGCTGGTCACAAGCGTCCTGGGTCGGTGGATGCGCCTTACTACTTGGGGGCAACAAAGGCTTACATTAAGGATTTCGAGGACGTTTCGGCGGGATCCGCTACTGCTGAAGGCATTGTAAAGGAAATGCTGAAGTTGTACCCAGACCGAGTGAATCAACATGCTATATAGGCTGGTGCGGCGGCTGCTATCAAGGGAAAAGTCAAGGAAATCTAAATCTGTTGGAACAAGGGATAGCCCATCTCTATGGTTTATCGAAGTCGCACATGATTAGAATAACACAGTTTTGTTGCAGATGCAACTTCCAAGGTGTCAAGCTCATCTCTTTACGAATACCAGCAATATGCGTATGGTATCTATAAACTCCGAGTGATGGTTCAAATTACCATTGAGGTGAACAGGTCGCTACTACTGGAATAAGTCCTCGGCGTTTGGGCTAATGCTGTAGCATGTGCAGGGGTAAAATCAATGTATTGTAATTTTGCCTCGGCCCCACCTAATGCCGAGGAGGTTTGTCCCTCTGCTCCACTTGGGATGCTTATACACACAACACCATCAATTCTTGAGGCCCTTCCCTGGAATTTGGTCTACATCAATAAATCTCGCAGCAATGTCATTACAGACCAACAAACCGCCGAGGAGAAGAACCGCCGCGGCCTGCCAAGCATGTCATGCTCGGAAAGTAAGATGCAGTCTGACCAAGTCTGGCCCACCATGCACAAACTGTATGATGGATGAGGTAGAGTGCGAACCGAGGACAAATCGTAGACGAAGGTGGGTAATAAGAATAATACACTGAAATTAACGACATCTAACTGGGCATGTTTCTCGCGTAGAATACCGAGTACGCAATGCCCACCAACCGCACTGGCAACGCCGCAGTCACCAGTTGTCTCGAGCGCCGGGAGGAGTGTACATGGGTCGAGCCCTCGCCGTGACAACGCCATCACCGGCAGCATACAGGCTGTCCAGCTCACCGGTGCTGGTGGGGAAGCTCGAGTTTGTGGACAAATTGACAGTCCTGTCTCCCCGACATTAACTACACACCTTTCTCATTATGGAAATGTACAAACAGAAGATGTCTCTGGCTCGCAGCCAGGCACGCCAATTTACGGCACGTTGACTCACCATGATACATACTTCCTTCAGTCAATACCTTCATTTGACAGTTCTCACTGAAGTTATTCTAACACTTAATCAAGGAGACCCAGGAGGGATCACTCTAGTAACAGACGTCTCGCATTCCAACTGGCTGGACAAGAGTGGGCATTTGTTTCTCCGTAAACTCAGGAGAGACTCACTCGGGAACGATGAGCTGACTTACTTGCACCAAAAAGGTGTATTTTCGTTACCCCACAAATCAGTTTCAGATGTCTTAATCCGCATATACTTCCATCACGTCCACCCATTCTTTCCTATCCTCAACGCCAAAACGTTCCTGGCTGCATATGAAGATGGGGCTTATGACCGTATCGGAATCCATCTTCTCTGGTCCGTTTTTCTTGCAGCTTCGCTTGTAAGTCACATTTCTGAAACTACGTAAATAGCTATTCGTATTTTATTGAAGCTAATTTGATTCCTAGTTTGTGAAAGAAGAGACCCTTCGTGATGCCGGTTTTGCAAGCCGAAAGGACATGAAACGGGCCATGTACCAAAAAGCCAAAGTAATGCACCGAAGACCGAACGTAGACATGGGCAATATGCTCACTTTTCCTCTCAACCTCTAGGCCCTCTACGACATGCAATATGAAAAGAGTAAAACCACGCTCATTCAGGCCGTGTTGCTCATGGGATTCTGGTATTCTGACACGCAAGATCGGACTGGGCCCCTGCACTGGATCGGTGTTGCCATAAGCCTTTGTCAGTCAGCCGGTCTGCATCGCAAGTCCAGTCTTGGCACAAACCAGCACAATACCGACACTGAGATTTTGTGGCGCCAGCTGTGGTGGGCATGTGTATACCGTGACGCGTGGTACGCTGTCGGCCAGGGGAAACCAATGCGGATAGCCATTGCTGATTGCAACACTGAGATGCCATCAGTCAAGGACTGCGAGCACATGTATGATGGCGTTGAAGAGACTCTTCGGGCAAAGTATTTGCCAGACCACATGGATCTCCTGTCACAACTTTGGGTCGATCTACTTAAACTCACAGTTGTTCTGATCCAGATTACCATCACCATGCAAAGAGACGGAAACCCTGGAGACTCACGTGCGTTGGAACAAAAAGAGGAAGAAATTCTCGCATGTCGCCAGAATTGTATTGCACTGATGAACAATACCGATCGACTCGCACAAATTCACGTGCATCACGTCGAGTTGTATTGCAAGTAAGTTGATCTCATCACCAGCCCGAGTGCAAAATTGTGCTAACAATGAGCTCAAAAGCTCCACGCTACTAGTGCTCTATCGACCCCATATCCTCCAGGCCAATGCAAAAAGGTCCAGGGAAATCGCAACGCCATTCGATTCCTTCATAGAACAAAGAGCACAAACGGCCGCTGCCAGGATCAACGGCATTCTTGCGCAGCTCATCGCCTCTGATGCAGTCGACGTCTGCCAAGGCATCATTTGCATGGCCTTGATACCGCCAATGCAAATACACATGTTGAACCACTTGTCCAAGGACCCTCTTGTGCGACAACTGCATCACCATCAGCTCGAGATCTGTATGGTGGTTATGAAGGAGCTAAAGAAGACGTATTTTGGCGCTGAGATCATATACAAGATCTTCGAGAATGCAAAAGCACAGATCCAGTCACAGGCACTGACCCTCGAGACGCACGCGGGTGATACACAAAGCTTGGCACAAGGTTCAGGCCACATCCAAGGCGTCATGCCGGGCCCAAGCAATACTTCCAATGACCATGCTGACCAGCCAGATGATGTATCAGCGGTTTTGCAAAGTTTGATGAGACAGCATGATTACTTTGACATTGAGGAGTGAGTTAATTAATCACACTTGATACCGCATACTGACTGGTCATGATTTAGGCTAGACTTTCTGAACTTCCCAGCCACCAGTGAAATTGAGTAAACTGGAATATCGTGTCATTGAAATGTAGCTAGAAAATCAACAGTCTAGTGTCTCAAGAGGAAGACTCCCTAGTTTGATATCGTAGAGGCATTAATGCGACCAATACGGTACTGTAATTAGGCCTGTGGATTTTCTAAACAGTCTTGCATGGCATTACTAATAAAGATTTCTTCTTCTCGCTTTATGATACTAAACAAAATACAGCTTCTTCCGTATTAAGTGCAGCCATAATCCCCCAATATCAATTATCTCAGACAATGGTCTGTCTCATTGTATTCATCTGAGTGTATGCGTCAATCAATGACTCTGCGCTATTGCACATATGATGATCATAATGGCGTGCGACTTAGTACACATAATCAAGACAAACGTCAGTGTAGTTGATACTCATAACATCGGCCACAGTAACATTGGGGTACAAGTCCATCATCCACAAGTTGTGGGTGAGGGTCGTAGTGTTGCCATTATCGCCATCATAGGCGGCGATATCGGCAGGTTCGTCACCCGAAGAGCGGCCGTTTGTGCCGCCAATCTCGGTAAGGCGCGTGTCGAGGTCTTGAGACTGCCACTTCCACCACTGCAGGTCGATAAAGGCGTGGTGAAGCCAAAAGACGGGGTCTCCGGGGCTGTTGGCCACGTTGCCCATGAGCCCGCCGACGGCGCCGTGGCCGTTGGCGTGCGGGCCGTTTTCGACGCAGTCCCACATGTCCTCAAAGTTGTCTTCCTCCAGGCACTCGTCAAAGTCGCTCGACTGCAGCGTGCTCAGCGAGAGGTCGCGGAAGATGCACGTGTCGTCGGCTGTGGCGTTGCCGCCAAAGGGAGATTCACCGGGGGTAAAGGTCAAGGTGACATTGGCGAAGGGCCCGTTGGCAATGCACTCATCGTCGCCGACACCGTTGCCGCCAAAAGCGTCAGACTGAAAAATGGTAGAGTCTTCGATATCGGTGAGGGTTGAAGCATCCTCCTGTTCGTTCCAGTACCTATGTCAAAAATCGTGAGCTTTTCATGTGTAATATATACCAAGGAATATGTGAGATGGATGCTTACGCGAGCGGACCTTCGTACCCACAGTAGTCACGAAGAGCATTGGCGTGAACGGAAACAAAATAGCGGTGCCATGGGAGGAATTGACCCTACAATGTATTAGCGATATTCCTGGCAAGAGAGTGTGGCTACGAGTATACTGACAACAAAGTGAATATAGTCCACTTGGGTAATGTGGTTATACATCAGCTCGTCCCAGTAGGTCTTCGAGCCTCCGAGATCCATCGTAGCAGCATACTCAGTCAGGCACACCTCTGCGGCAAGGTAGTCAGACTGTTCATCCGAAGTAAGGTCGTTCCTGAGAAATGTCAGTGTTGTGTATCACCTCTCCTCAGTTATTGATTCCTACCAATCTTTGACCGTTCTGTAGGTCGAGCAGCTATCCCGTTTGACTGGAGTAGAAACGGGAGTGGCAATAGCGGTGGCTGCAAGAGCCAACAGGGCAGGAATGGTTCTAGCGAGTGAGGCCATATTAATTTTTAAGCGAATGTTTGTAGAAGCTTGGAAAAAATGAAAGACTTGTTGGTGTTTCTAAAAGAGATACACTCGGGAAAAGATGCTTCTTTATATTCACCTATAGGCTCGTGGATATAGCAACTGATCTCGCAAACTGGGCATGACGAACCTTGCTCCGTTTAGGACATGTAGATCAGAGGGCTTGGTTCTACTGCCGCAGTAATCCGAGACCGGCTACTTCAGCTCGCTAGCGACGCTCTGCTCGTATTGTTGCACACAGTTCCACGCGTCCTATCCCATGGATGATGCCCTCATTTCGCGATATGATAAGCCGCTTTGCAGCACGATGGGGATTTGACTGCATCACCTGGAACGTCGGCAAGGCCACACTTGAGTCGAGATGGGAAAAGGCCCTGCTTACAATCATTAGCTGCCCATGGTCACCGTCGCGTGGCGTAGGACAGGACCCAGAGAGGACTGCACTGCCTGAAAACCACAGCATTTTGCCGGGTTACGCATTCTCCAGTTCAATATTTGCTGCCAATATACTGCATTAAAGCAATGGAATCAAAAGCCGAACCCACTCGTGATGTCGACCGAGGGTCAGGATGCAGAGGTCATCCTCGTCAAGGACGGATCAGTCATCACTAGATATTTTTCTGTCAGCCTGAAGAACGCGTAATTGCGGCTGTTCCTGAGCGTAAGGCGACGAACAGATCCACACTCATTGGCAATCTTTAGATATCTTTTTTTCTCCTAGCGCAACGGTTGAGCCTCGAACTATGTTCTCCTTGGCTTATTATGCGCGGGCCCTTGGCACCCGCTGCTGCCGCTAGCCGCAGGGCCCATTGCAACCTATCAGTCATAGCGGCTGTTTGTAGGCGGGTGGGGAGCGCAACATTACCTTACCCTTGCTGTAAACGCCTGCTCGGGTCTCCGCCTTTGTCTTTTCTTCGAGGCTTGTTACCTTAATTATCTGGGGGTACTCCCGTGACACGCGGCCGGACAATTATGGCACCAAGGTTACCTGGTTTAAGGATCTGTTTCACCGGAAATAGTGAATAATAAAACAAGCCACACGCATTCGATAGTCTTGGTTCGTCGTCATCACCTGTATGCAGGTCCTCTCGTGTGACTATATTGGCATATCCAAGATAAACTTACAATGCGATGGAACCATCATGTGTGCCAGGCCGTGCGTGTGCAGTTCCTGCAGGCACGTTATGCATCTTGGACTTTCAATGCACCAAGTTTTGCTCGTATGTCTGGTAGCATTCGATTTAGAGAGCCTCCAATAATAGTTCAGATGTTCAGACAAACTACATACATGACCAAGTTTGCAATCAACTTATATGACCAAGGCAACGAAAGTCATAATACATGACCGTGGAATGACTATGAGCATATCTTTCTAATCTATTAGAAGAATTATCGCGAGTCACTTCTTTTAAATGTGATGATTTAATATAGCAAGAATATACTATTAATAAACAATCGCATTTCAAGGGATATGTCCTATTGGCTATATCTCGTAGAGTCTCATTTAAAAGCATCTGGTTACAGACCCAGGCTGACAAATGGGCCAGATTACTTTCATGCATTTAGCACAACGCGCCAATCAAATATATTCGGCACAAATTGTTGAGCCTCCCAGTTCCATTACATCGGCGATAGTGACGTTGTCGACAATGTTATCCATCCAAAGCACGTGGTTGAGACTGGTGTGGTTATCGGGACCATCGCCGTTGTAATCCAGGATAGAGGCACTGGGGAATCCGAGGCCACTGCTCTCGATAATGTACTCCGGAGGGACATTGGGACCGCCGACTAAAGTTTTCAACTTAGAATCTCTTTGTGTACAATGTGCATTGGAAAGCGTCATGGCGAATCAAAACTTACTGTCACTGTAGTTGTTGCCCCATGCCGTTTGCCATTCTGCCCACATCTTGTCTAGCCTATTGCAAAAAAAGTATTAATTACCAAGTGGCGCGATCGACAATATTGGAAACAAACTCACCAAGCGTGGTGGAGAAAGAAGGTGGGATCGCCGTTGCTCTCGATGGGGTCCGACATGAGACCGCCGACAGCACCGTGGCCAGCGCCGTGCGGGTAGCCGTTCCAGCACTCCCAGGCCGTGGTGTAGTTGCTGTAGGCCATGCACTCGGCAATGTTGGTCGTGTTGGCCTGGTCGAGGTCGTCTTGGTTCAGGTTGCGGCTGATGCAGTAGTTGGCCTCGGTGCTGGTCTTGTTGATGTGGAGGGTTACATTCGCAAACGGGCCGTCTTCGATACAACCACCGCCGCCTGAATTCAAGCTTGTTAGTTTACAACTCCAGTAGAACACTAACCCCAGGCGCGAAACTAACCTCCAGCACCATTGCCGCCGAAGCCGTAAACGGGATCGAAAATCGACGACTCGTTCAAAGGGGCATTGGCCAAATCATAGGGCTCGTCCCAGTATGGGTGACCACCCTCATAGCCGCACTCCTGCAGGAGAATCTCGTGGGTACGGACAAACCATCTGTGCCAGGGAAGAAAGTGTCCAACATAGTGCATATAATTGCCTTGATAAATGTGAGTATAGTGAAGCTCATCCCAAAGGTTCTTTGCGCCTGGGATCCATCCGGACCGGGTGGGCGAGTTCATGATGCAGAGCTCGGCATTGATAAACGACGTCTTCTCGTCGTTGGTGAGATTGTGCCATGCCTTTCGCTGGTTGATTGAAGTGCAGGTGCCGGTGCGCTTGGCGGCGGTTGGGCAAGCATCCACCGCCAGGCCAGCAGTCAGGATTCCGAAGAGGGCCGTCTTAGCGAGAGATAGAGCCATAACGAGCGATGTCATAAAGGAAAGTGAATTTATTTGGATTCTAGGAATGGTGGCATTGGCATCAAATCATGTTTATAGGATCTACTCAAGTATATAATTCTCATCACTCGACATGAAGGCGGACAGCCACTGGTCCAATCAATACTTGGTATAATTGTCCAAGTGTTTTGCGGAATTGCGGACACAAAAAAAATTACAAAGTACATGCAGACTTGCAAGGGAGCTGCTTGTAAATTATTCCGATCCACAGGCTAAAATGCAAGTTGCTGCAGAATTCCCAGGGGCCACAACGCCTAAATTTCCTATTTGGGAAATGCTCGTTGGGGAACGAGCCGCTGGCAGCTGCGCTAACCGCGACCTATTACTGTTTGTCTCCTGATGAGCCACCATTGACCACGCGGCCGGGCCCTTGGTGACCTAAAGGACTTCAGCGTGCCATGCTGAATCAGCGTATTGCTCAGCAGGACTAGACGCGTCCATGATATAGGAATGCGTAATGCTCGGCGCGGGGAAATGTAGAGTTCTATGTGTCTTCTAGAATCTGTCATGGCATGATTGGTGTTTAGATTGATCCGCATAACGGCACGTCGAGCCTCAATTTTACTACCCGTACCTTGTTCAGACTATTTGTGCGGGCACTAATACACAACTGGCCTCGGCATAAATATGCTTCCGCATGAGCACATATCAGACATATAAGTCCTACATAGGACATGTGCTCTGAACAGCACTCAGCGGTGTTTGGCATCCAGAGTGGGTGGAAGGCACCGGTTACGGTTTGCCCAGTAGAGAGCCGGTGAAATAACCCACATTATCACCTCGGATCACTACTTTTATTACGAATATACACCCTTGCATACGATAAACAAACATATTGCCGCTTAGGAAAAATAATATGCGCGGCTGATGCCTCGAAATAATATATAGGAAATATCATAACTAATAGCTGGCATTAGCTGTAGAATAAGATTATAATTTCAGCATCGTACTATTCGAAGATACGAGATGAATATCTGAACACTGTCCTTTGGCATCTTTAAAGCTCCATGGCGTCTCCGGAATCTGTGCTTGTAAATGCATTTCCTTGCCTCGTCGCTGTCGATAGGGTCGAAGGTGAAGTCCAAGGGTGGTGGGGCTCGCTAGGGATCAAGAGATCTGCATATGGCAGGTCACCGTCAGAGCCGATTCGAATAAGGCGCATTATGAGGGTCAGGGGCAAGGAGCGAGAGTCGAGAAATAGGATTTATATGGTCATGCTCGGCGAGCAGCTCGGTTTCAACGGCCAAGGGCGATCGTTATCCTGAGGATGAAGACCCTAGAAGCCCTAAAGGTCCTCGCTTTCAAAGAACCTAAAGATAGTCGAGGATCTGAGCCGTTAACGGCGCCAATCTCTGATGGCTTATACCAGAGTCGGCCTTTGGAAGCTTTAGCAGTTTTATGATAAGCTGACGAATCTACCGTACGCTCCTATTGTGATACTACGTCGATAATATTTAGTCTGCAAGTGCTTGATGCTGAGCCTCAGAGGCACCAACCGTGATGGCGCGATTAATATCTGAACGAATTGAAAAGGCGTAGGAAGGGACTTTGTAAGAAATCGTTCATCATGTCCCTGACCGTTGAAACGCCTCTCCCAGAGATTAGCCCTAAGGCCGAGGTGGCTGACCAGCTAGTCCTCACGCTTCTCCAACACCGTAAGCGCGTTTATACTAATGACGACGATAATGACTAGGCGCTTAGTTCCCAACCACAGAAAACCTCACAGCCGCCAACAAATAAGAGGAGCAGCAGGAAAAACAACAGACAAATCGGGAACGGCAAACGCTAAAGAACTAGATGAACTTAACCTATATTTTGCAGAAGGAGTGTTATGGCACCATTAAAACTCCACGCACTGCCCCTTCTTCGCTACACCTTCAGGTAAGATCTATACGCCGAACCTCCCTGATGATTTCGAGCCGGATTGATTACACTGGATCTCGCTGCAACGACCTACCCTCGAGAGACTTCCCCATCGTTTATCCGGCGAGGCAATCGATGGCTGGCCATGTAACCCGGTCGGCTATCCATTCCAAAGCCCGTCCACAGTAGTTAGAGTAGAATCGTACTTCCCAACAATCAGCCAAGTGGTTTCTATTGAGACCAAGCCCTACTAACTCTTGCCACAATCCCTACCAGCCAGTCGGGGCCGCTAGCGTGTTCCGGTCGCAGGTTGGCAAACACCGTCATTGATGTCCCCAAAGACTGAAATGCTGGAGATATCAAAAACCTCATCATTGAAGTTGATGAGGCTCACCTGGGCGTTGCTTATGAGGGCTGCATCCCAGGCAGCACTGGTGGGCCCAAGTACCACGCTTTGACCCGCATAAGACTCTGGTGCGGTATCCTCAACCTCCCCACATCCTCCATCGTTGATATCACCGAACACGGAAATGCTGGAAATGTCAAAGACTTCGTCGTTGAAGTTGATGAGGTTGATGGTTATGTTGGAGACTAGAGGCGCTGTTGGGAGGGTGATGGGTCCAAAAAGGATCCCTTGCGCGCTTTGACGAATGAGGGGCTGAGGACTTCCTTGGAATCCGCCAGCAGAAACTGGGTGCCCAGCTAGCATCAAAGTAATAAGAAAACTGGTGAAAGACATTTTGATTACCATTAATCGAGTTTCAAATGATAGTTGAGGGTGGAATATAGGTTTCAAAGGGCTGTTTGATGATTGTGATATTGTATTCCACTGCTTTTGAAAAGTTTGTAGATGGTTATATCTATATTCTCTGCAATTTGTAGTACCGGAAAAGATGGAAACTTCCAATTCTATTTTCGTGTGCAACTCTGCCAAGTGGACCAAGCCAATGCTTACCTGAATCCAATACTTGACCCTGGCTGATATCTCGTTTTTCGACATAGCCAAGCCAATATTTGAGCAATCACTGGATCTCATCACAATGATTTGCAGCGAGCTTGGTCAAAGTGTTACATTTCCTGCCTTGGGCAAAGTTCTATCGTTGCATGGCGGGCTAGGTTATTAAAGTAATGGGTTTTCATTATATTTCCGAATCTAGAAATCAACTACCAAGAATCATCATCGATATGTGATTGCGCGTATATGGAAGCCAAAAAAGATCGAGTGTGTGCAAAAAGTTTTAATTTATGGCGGGTAAACCCCGCGCAACTGAATACTTGATATTAAGGAATATTCAATATCCAAGCCTTGGAAGATGTCACACCGGTCAAGGCGAATCCTACGAAGGCTGTGTTTAATTTGACATGTGACCACCGCCAAGACTTGGCTTCAACGCCCTTGCAGCTTCCGTGTATCACATCTATTATATTATGGTGAAAGCAAATTGAATAATAATCGCAATACAAGGCGCATACAATGGGATACATCTTGATTTGTTTGGTAAGTTATATGGTATTCCGCAAAGGTGGTGCTGTGCAAATGGCAAAACTGAGTCTGCGACAGCATGGAATCGACAAGTACCTCAGTGGCGTTTGGCTGTGACCCAGGAACAAGCACCAGACTGAAGCAAACACACGAAAGAAAACAATTCGTAACGGTACAAATACGTATCTGGCATAAAACTGCTTCGATATCGCCATTATAATTATCTCTTTTATGTTAATGCACAATCAGATACCCTGAGACTTGTTGACAAGCTTCTCGGCGAGAACAATGAGTAGGCTTGCATTGGCAATTCCGAGGTTTCCGCCGCGCGCAACGACTGGCAGCAATCTTACTGTTAGTGGAGAGACATGAGAGCTCTATGAGCGCCTCACACCATATTGTGATTGGTAGTCAACGCACTGCCGGTATCTCTTGACAATTTCCATTGCTTTGCTTCTTCTTCATTGATGGAGACGAAAAGCTGATTCCTGCTAACCTGAGCAGCCTCCCACAAAGTTTGCATTGAAATTTTGTCTGCATGCCAACGTCGCGCCTCGTAAAAGTTTTTGACCAGCTGCTGGATACGCACACGCAGATACCCTTGGTAACCCTCTGTTTTGCCCTCTGCTTCTCCAGAAGACGATGCACTATCGGGCGCAAAGTCTGGGTCAACCGCCCAGACCCACATGTCGTCAACGCTGGGTGTCCATCTGGATATTATAGAGTTTGCTGCATCTTGATCGACGACCAAGAAGACGTTACTGAGCAAGTTATCATTTATACCTGGACCATGCTGCCTTGATGATTTCCTAGGTGCAGCTCGAGCCGAATGGAAGGCCTCGCGTAGTCTCTGAAAGGTGTCCAACAGTGCCGGAGAGCATGGTCTTTGGGGAGGAAGCTTCACAGTGAATATTTTGGTCGTATTGATATCTGGAGTCCCCTCCGTGGCAGTCTGGCCCATCGAGGGAAGATCCACCGGCCATTCAAGTCGCTGCCTCTGGAAGCGGGACTCAATGACACTCCCGCAACGCAATGCCCACCTTGCCCATACCAAGACGCCGTCCTCGCGACACAAGTAGTTTTCGTAAAGCTCTTCGCCTTTCTCCGCCTTGATCGCCGGATCACGAAAAATCGCGTAACCCCAGCGTGCCTCGGGGCGGTCTTTTAGGTCTTCTGTCCACAAACGTTGGATCCAAGGAGCAGCGTTACGCATGGCAGATTCAATCTCCTTTGCTTCTCGCGCCCTGGTATCGGCCGTCATGCGCCACGTCCATTCTTTAGGCGCATTTTGAAAAGCCTCGAGCTCATTTTGCTCATAGAGCGGCTCCCGGGCCATGGTCAGCCGTTTCGTGAGGTCTTCCCACTGGCCACGAGAGTACGCGTGGGTGCCTAGATCCATGGCTTCGCGAGCTCTATCCCCGGCCAAAGCCTCTTTACTCGAAACGTTGCGCCAGTACCGTCCCATCAGGAGATCAATTTCGGCGTCGGTGAGCGCATTGGGTGATTTGGCCGCACGCTCGAGAAGCTGCGCCTTGCTCAGTTGCGTGACGGCAGCCAAATTGGTATTTTCCACATCTTGATCCGGTATGTCCAGCAAGCGGCGTCGATCCCGGTCGCTGATTGCGGCAGGATTCGAAAGCGCCAAGCGCTCCAATTCGGGATACCGCGCGATCAGTGAGTCTGCATCATCGACCTGGCGCTGAACCCGCATGAAGGTTTGGATGATGTGTTCCATGGTAGCGTGGTTTGGCTCAATGCTGAGTATCCCGGATCGGCTTCAGAAGTCTCGAGGCAGTGGGGTTACCTGAATGGCCCAAAGTACCCGCTGGAAAGGCCAATGGCTAGCACTCAGGAACATGAGAGGTCCTACCTCCTTGTTCCGAGGCAGATTGATAGGAAGGCGAAATTTTGAGGTGCTACTATTGGCGCCAGAGGCTATCTTCTCTTGACTCCAAGAATGATGTGGTGTTTGTGCCAACAGTGATATAAGGTGAGGCGGGAAATTTCCATTGTCCAACGCCGGCCAGCTCCATCCATTCTACAGCTACAGTGGGGTCGCCTGCCTAACAGCACTGGTGCCTGGCTAGCGGTATGCAAGGTACGCGATATGCTTAGCGCGGGCCAGCAAAGGCTAATCGGGGTAGGTAAATACTAGGTACCTAGATAAATTGATACAGTACGGGTGTTTGACTTGACGATATTATCGTCAAGTCCAGCATCCAGGCTGACTAAGCCACTGCCAACAGCCACCTATCTCATCCCAGTCTTTACGCCCAGACGTCACTTTCTTTTGTGTTGACAGTTCACGGAGTTGGTGTCCTTCAACCACGACGCGACTGATTCTCATACCGACTTTCAGCTCACCGTGATGCTTTCCTTCCAGACGAATCCAAAGATCGATTCGGCACTCCACGAGTACGCCATAATGGCACTACCATTTGCAGAAATGCCGTAAAACGTACCATTGTGATCCATGGCGATTGAGGTCAAGTCCACGCTCAGGTAACCGACCGTGGTAGCGCCATCTTGGTTTTGGAAGCGAATTTTATTGTCGTGGTTCCACGTATTGGGGCTGTAGTATGTGCCGGTGATGTTTCCGGCCCCATCCATGCTCATGATTATAGCCTCGCTATGGTAGTTTCGCGGAGACGCCACGATTTTCGGCACTAGGTCGTTGCGCACCTCTTGGTTCGAGAGTATAGGATTGCTCTCGCCCGGGGCTGGACACACTTTGTTAGATGAAAAACTCCAAGCATCAGATGCGATACAAACCTGTGTAGCGTCCCAAATAGTTCTGTATTGATAATTCGATAATTGTATTGGTTTGATAGTAGAACCGAATTTCACTGACGTCTGTGAGATTGGTCCCGTCATCTGAGGCGAATGGATACATGGCTACGCCACCGCCTGGCCAGCCAGATGCCATCTTTGATGGCTCCCAGCCTGTTGCGCCAACAAACATGATGCTCTGGTCCACTGCTTGATATAAGATGGTGAATTGATTATTACATAGGTAATCTTGGCCATCGTTGGGACAAAAGTACGCCAATGCGGCCAGGTTGGAGTTCTCGGCGGCTATAATTTTATGGTTTTGGAGATCTCCAAGGCTCCAGCTGGAGATCAAGTCTTCATCGGTGCAGACCAACTCCTGTATATAATTGTCCGTGTCGAGGTAGAATAAAGTAGCAGTGAAGTCGGTTAGCCCCGCGTTGATGTCGTCTATCGAAGTAGCAGCAGTGGCAAGCGGAGTCCCTTGCTTCGCATTGATAGATATGCTTTCGCGTTCGAACACGTCGCTGATGTTGAACGCAGTCCATGAGTCATTGGACTGATGATACTGGCTGAGAAAAAGCGCGTTGTCGTGTTGGTAAAAGACGGCTCGCCGCAGGATCTGAGAACTATCGGTCCAGTTGAGACTCGCTAGTTGAGAAAGTGCCAGTGGGCCAGTGCTTGATGATGTTGTAGCATTCGTCGGTGTAGATGCCGTCGCATCATCTGTATTGCTTGCACCGCTGCGATTGCGACTGAGCAGGCCACCAGCAAGACCCCCGGCCAAGGCGCCCACCAAAACAACAACGGCTACAATGATGAGCCATGTCTTTCTGGTATTCGACCTTTGTGGAGTTTGTACTTTCGGCGGCTCTGTTGATGATGCATAGAAGTGGTCAGGAACGTCATACTGATGAACCAAGATTTTGTCCGGTCGGTCATTCACAACTTCCGGTTCCCTCTAGGCTCTAGTCAACATCTGGCCACGCAACGCAACGGAATGGAACGAATAACATGGACGTGTCGGCATTCTACTTACAGGGACGGCAACCTCAAGATTGCTATACGGGACAGTCATCATTCCAATTTTGAATGCTTTCCATGCTCCGTATTATGGATAGGACAAGAACTCCAGAAATGGCATGAGAGTGCCAGGTGAAAGTGTAAAGAGGGATGGAATCAGCTCAACAGCCCCGAGACCTTTTTCTCGGTGATCATATGATATGTAATCCTCACAACTCGCCCTATAGCAGGGCGAGAGAGTGGTTGCAGTCTCGTCTAATCCTGTAAGAGCCGGGGAGTCTCGCACCATCCGAATCCCATCAGGCAGCGCAGTGGATCGCGTAGCGTGACGGGTACTTCCATAGTATGTATGTATGTATATGGTAGAGCAATGGAACTTGTAGGCCTATTTTAATCCAGATCTACCCCCCTGCGCAGTCCCCTGCGCAGTCAGATTCCAGTTTATGCGCCAAATAGCGTATGACCCCCAGAAAGCCAAGCATAGCCCACACGCATTTGGCACGTAGACCATCCAGCGCTTTGCGCCGCCGTTCATCCAATTTGCACAGTGAATAGGGGCGGCAAAGTTAACAAATAAACAAAGGGCAGCTAAACATGGGCATGCGCGCTTTGCCAAAGCTTATCTTGCTTATGAGAGAAGCGAATCCGGGATCGCTGTTACATTTGTCGTTTGGGGCGTTCAGCTCCGTGGTAGCGTACACTTGTGCTAAGCACTATTATTATTCGGGGGATACACCCGATTAAAGTTTAAATGCAATGCACAATGGTAGCCGCATGCCGCCCGACTATATAGGGCTCAGCATTTCTCGTCCTTTCAATATGGGACCTGAGACGACCTATGATCTTTTATTAGCTCGTCCTTGTCATTTAAGCAGATGATTCTTTTCCCTTGGTAAACGATCGCTACCCTGATCCACAAACGCCGATCACTCAAGTTGCCAATTCTTTATTGGTTCGGAAATGGAAAATGCTTCACTGGTTAATTATTGTTAGATGGGGGATCACAGATTTCATACACCAGGGTGTGCTTGAGCACACTGATCAACGCCACGGTGTTTAGACAGATGTACGGAGGCTGCCGGGGACTAGCCGGTGCCACCCAAAATAGACGTACACCTTATCCAGACTGGAGGCGCAGAACAAAGATCAATACAACACACAATTAACACCCATATCAGACTAACCTAGTTTAACTCCAATAGGAAAGCACCACCTTGATCAACAACAATAGCCGCACACCACTTTCGTATAAAGACGACAAACAAAAATTCTCAATTCAGGGTCATCTTTAAGAAATTTAAGGTCATCTTTCAAGATCTACGCAAATGTTAGCGACGAATTAAGAATTATCAGAGTTCTAACTTACGGGATAATCCCAGGTCTGCCAGGGGCCTTGCTGCGGCACAACGTCAATATCGCAGACTGGCAAGTTGAAGAAAGCCAAATTTGATATCTGTACATTGCTTGGGTCTAAGCTCTCCAAAGAAGAAATCATCTATGATGTCCTAGGACTTTTGACGTCAAAATCATTCCGCTGGTAGTAAGAATTCGCTGCCCGAGTGACGGTGGAGAAGTTGAGTCCAAAATGTTTTAGTTCCTCCACTCCTGGTGTTTATGTATCTGGCATGATGGGATTCTACGGCTTTGTGGGAGAATAAAGCTAGGATCCTATTCTCGCAGCGGTGTTCAGTCGAAATCCCACCACCGTCTTTGGCCACGTCAATCAGCTGTATATATGATTGCTTTTCAGAAGATCCAGCTTTGTAGGACAAGCTAGGTTGACGTCTAGGCCCGTATCATGGCTGGTGTCGTAACCAGAACAAATCCAAATCTTGGAAACGAATGTGATTTGGAAATGCTTCTTTGCTACGGAAGAAATAACACAATCGCAGTCTTCTAACTTTGGATCAGCGATGCACGCTTACATCCTCACATCCTCATTGTATATATATATATATATATATATATATTATTTGCATGCCCGATTGTGGTGCCATTAATTAACACACTGGTAACTGATGGGTTCTTCGGATTTAAGATCCGGATTTATGACAGTCTGCATATCATCAATAAAACACACACGCTATCTTACCAACGACAACAGCGCAAGATGATATGCAGTGCGACAGGCGGATGTTGCATAACGCGAAAGATAAATCTCGTCTCACCTGACGCAGAGTTACACTTAACCGAGCCCGAACTACTATTATGTTCATTCTTTCAAAAGCGTGAGTGACAGATAAAAGGCGCCGATTCTGCGTCTGGAAACAGATTCAAATACCTGCCTCGGCGAGTCTAGCAAAACGGTGAATTCCTCAACTCATACTTCACTGATAGACCTGGATTTTCTGCTTCAGCAACGATTGTATCACAATGAATCCCGTCAACACGAAACCATACAAGATCCCCTCTGATGCGATCTGGTTCAGTAGGCCAACTTCCTTGAGACCCATCAATCGATGCGCATCGACTGAGTAAGATCATCCTAGTCACTGGTAGCTCACAGGGCATCGGACGAAACTTAGCCGAGCTAGTTGCACAGAACCCGTCATCCCGCCTCATAGCCACTGCGCGTAACACAGCTGATTTATCCTATTTGCCCGACTCCAATCCCAACGTTCTCAAAATCAAGTTGGACGTGTCTTCCACGTCTTCGGTCCAAGAAACCTTCGATACAGCAGCCGCACACTGGGGCGGTCCAGAGAAGAAGTTGCGCGTTGATGTTGTCATCAACAATGCCGGATACTCACTGTCTGGCGACACGGAAAACGCAACGGACCAGCAGATTCAGCGTCACATGGAGACTGTGTTCCATGGCACAGCCAGAATCACCATGCAGGCCGTGAAAAGTATGCGTGAAGGGTCTGCTGATGGACGCGGCGGCTTGATCATCAATATCTCCTCGACCGCTGGTCTACGTGCTTTGCCCGGTACTGCATACTACCATGCGAGCAAGTATGCAGTCGAGGGATTCACCGAGTCGGTGGCTAGAGAGATGCACCCGGATTGGAACAGTATGTTGAAGTCTTTCAAACGCCACCCATGGCAATGTTCTTGTCGTCTTCCCTTTCTCTTCTTTAACACAGGCGCTTGCGAACAATACTAAGCATACCCATCACGGAGCTCTCTACTCGCAATTGTCTCTACCCCTGGTTAACCATATGAGATATAATATAGTCAGCTTTTGCCTCATCGAGCCAGGAATGGTAAAGACCAATTTTGAGTCCACGTCCAAGGACAAGATTCCTCCCCATCCTGGATACCAAGCCCCTGGCACACCTCGTGTCGCCCTCGCCGAGTATGTGGCAGAAAACGTCTCTGCCGGCTCAGGTGCTTCAGCAGACCTGGTTGTGCAGACAATCTTAAACGTTGCCGTACGAGGGAAAAAAAAAGTCCCCTCAGATTGCCTTTGGGTGCCGATTGCTGGGGTTTGACCAGGTCCAAGTATGCCAGCTTTGTGGAAGAGCTGGACAATCTAAGGGAGCAAAGTCTGATGGGTGGTACCCCAAGAAACTTTTAAGGATTTGGCGCGATTGATCTTTGCCATCACATTGATTGCTTTGGAAGAGTGACGCAGAGGTCCACTTCATGGCAACGAACTCGAAACACACGCACCAATCACGCTCTTTATACACACGTACCATCAGATAGATTAAACAATCAAAGTTGCCTTCGTTCAATTTTGGCCTCTGTGACAGTTGAGGACACATGCCAGCTGATTATCTAATATAGCGAGCAGGTGATTTAGAATTAGTACTACTACTTCAGAGCAGCAACTGGTGAATGTGACGAATATTAAAATATACCTTTCCACATGCTTGGTCTCAACAGCGAGACTTTCCGAATCCTTTTCGCCTACCCTTAATAGTTATTCAGTTAGACATCTTTATAGGCTGGCAGAGATCTTCGGGACTTGTGACAGTCATGCCCTTTTTGGGACCGGGCACACACTCTGTGTGAAAGTTGGCCGCCTTGGCACCACAGTCTCAATCATACCCTACCTGCAGCTCAGTCTCGTCGGCCATTGCCTTACTCCGCTCCGGGCCTGTTATTTGGGCCGCTCTCGTATCATCATTTACGCAAGCGCGGTACTCCATGCTGTGTTCCCCGCGACAAAGAACCATCATCTATTGGCAGGATTGCGATAAACAGGAAAGCTCAAGACTCATTTCCGTGCGAACACGTGCAAAGGCAGGCTCTCGATTTAAAGGGTCGGGACAAGCCCTTAAGCTCAGCATTCAAAATGGGTTAGCCGCCGTGTCTCCTTCACATTATCTTGATTCACGCAACGAGGGAAATGTGACGCAAGAAGACTACATCATCAAAACATATACGCTGACCAAAAAAAGTAGATTCTCGTGATACCTCGTTCGTACCTGCTAGTATCACAATCGTCCCATTCTCGGCCCTACCATCTTGCGTACGAAGTTGCGGCCCTCTCTATGATGCGAATGACAACTGCGTTCCCCCCACAGCAACCGAAGCGAGCGAGGCCGTTTACGAGGAATGCTTCTGCCATTATCCTGGCCTTGCACCCCTTTCCACGGGCTTACTTGGTGTTTGCGATGCTATATGCACGACTAATCTCAATTATCTCTTGAGTTTACACACCTGGTTCACGGATTTCTGTGGTGACATATCATCTACTCGAACTACAGGCAGCACATTGGCAACCACTGGGCCAGGCGTCAGTACCACGTCTGCAACCGACTCACGATTCGGGGAAAGTGATTTCAATACTCTTAGACTACCTAAGGGAGCTATAATAGGCATCGCCATAGGTTCGGCTTTCGTGGTAGCATGCGTTATAGCCTCGACATGGCGGATGATCCGTCAGCACAAGGCAAGGTCTCAGGAACGAAGGGAAAAGGCTACCGTTTCTGGTAACCTTATTAGCAGCGAAAATGGCGCTCCCAATTCTGCTAAAGCAGAACTACCCGCGAATTCCATAGGCACGGTCCTGCCTCGTCAGGAGCTCGCAGTAACTCCAGGTCCGGGCCAAAGTGCCTCTCATGATGAAACGACACATTCACCAATGCCTGAGCCACAATTGACTCTATACGAATTAGACGGTGGTAAGCCTGTAATCGGTTCAACAATGTCGAACAAGAGATAATCTTTATTTGGGATGTTTATTAGCGTGGAGACGCTGGGACTGGTCATGAGTGTGGCTATGGTGACTTGATATGGAGTGGCTTAATGGTCCAGTGGGGATATATAACCGTTTATTTTCAAGTAAGATTTTGGCTCAAACTGTCACGAATTCCGATGGATTAACTCGTGAGATCTGCACTTATTGGGGCATGCAGTATGTTGAATTGTAAGCCGGGGAGCTAATTGATCCGTGGGATCAGAACTCTGGTGATACTTATGGAATTATGGCAGTCGGCCACATAAACGGCGCAATGATCTGACTAATCAGAGGCCAGGGATTAATGCACGGTCTACAGAGATAAATAGCCTTGAAAAATGTCGGAGTAAAACATTGGCGTTGTCGTGGTAAGATGGCAATAAGTGAGTGAATGTTATTACCAGCCTGAGGGTCCTTCTATCGCGGTTGAGAGTGCCTTGTCGTCGCTGCCTGTCTGTCTTACTTTATCGCTGGGTACTTCTTAGTATGATTTATGAATTCGAGCAGACTCCGACATACCTTATGGACATTAACACATGTCTCGCGATTTGACTTTGTAAGTTCCCAACTTTCTCTGCCAGGCCTTTGACTTGACCATCGCCCCAAACTTCTTTCAAGGCTGCCTTGAAGCCTTTCCATTTTGAGCGGCGGCCTTCGCTTTTCATGCTCATCAGAGCTGCGGAGAGTTGACTTGTAATTACCCTACTCTCTTCGACTAGTTTCTTCAGGTTTTGATTGTTGGTGTAGGCGTCAGCGGAGCGATCGTCGCGGTCTTTGATGTCATTGACGATGGTTTCGAGGAAGTTGACATTCTCACTTGCACCATTGTCTGCCTTGTAGATCTCGCGCGCTTCTGTGAGCAACGTCCAGGTGAAGTCGACCACAGCAAGAACGTTGCACGCGATGCAAAGTGCAGCGAGCGCCTCAGCCATCTCAGCCTTCCCGTCTGGTAGCGACAACTGGGGGGAAAAAAAAAAGGTGAAGATTGTTGGAGAGGAAGAATACTGTACTCCGGTAAGGCTGTGGAAAGTGTCATTTTGGAATAAGTATCTACTATCTAGGTGGGCGGCTGTGTAACCGCAGCGATTCCCCACTATAAGAATATTCTATTCTTGAGTCCGTTTTTTCAAGCATCTACCATGATCCTAAGAAGTAATGAACAAAGTCGGTGTGGTTTGCCGCTATTGAAAAGTAGAATAATCAATGCATATGCAGCTTTTGTTGAACGAATATAGAATGCCGCTTGAGTAACATCTGTAAGGTATTATCAACTGATAAGATCGCTCGGTTCTAAGTCGCACTAGTGGTTTAGTGGTAAAATCCATCGTTGCCATCGATGGGCCCCGCGTTCGATTCGCGGCTAGTGCAACATTCGCTTTTTGCGTTCTTCTAATGTTTCCTATACCGTTAGGAATAGGAAAAGTCTTTTTTTTGACCATTTTAGTTGGAACACTCCAGACAAGAGGCTTTTTTTCTTTTTTCTTTTTTCTGTTTGCATCGATACCTTCAAGGTGCAAGCATAGGTGGTTGGGGGTTGTGCACAGCCCCCTTCTCGGCTACGATCCTTCTAAAGTTCTGTGCAGCTGCTAACTTACCTGCCAACCTTTGAACCTTCACTTTCAATATTCGACCTGTTCATAGTAGTTGTCCGCTTCGCTTCGCATCATCCAGCCGCCGCATGTAGCAAGATCTTTATCGTCCCCTCCTCGCGAAATCCATCACGAGTCGTATTTGAGGCTGGCAACTGACCGAGTCAGTTCAGTATGGCTTCTGTGAATAACATTGACGGGCTGGGCTTTCGTGGTATGCTTCCCATGGAATGGATTGGTGCATATCATATTCATCAAGATTTTCTACCAGGCAAGGTTGCCACAAAGACAGGCGAATCAACCATCACTCGCACTCACCACGGAGGGACGGGTGCGTTTCATCGTTTTTCGTGTCGAACATTCTTCCTGGGCGCTGATTGAGATTAGATAATAAGAAGGGGATCCGTCTCCTGTTCCTATACTGCCTCGTCACTCAAGTCTTCAGTGCTTATCGCGCCTACGAGATTTACCGAAATTATGACAGCTGGGACAATCTGACTGGAAGAAATAAATTTTTCCTTGCTTGGGGTGTTGGTACAACTGCCATCATGGTCATTTTTACCGTAGCCTATGCGTTCTCGGAATACAAGTGGAGATACGCTGCATTCAGGGCCAAGATATGATGCGAAGAGTTGGTCAGATTCCGAACACGAAGAGAGGAATCAGGTTAGAATCAGTGGTGAGAGATGATGTATCACTAGGACACGAAACCTGGTCGTCTTGTGCCGCCTGCGAAAGGACTATGCCGTTCGAGGTTGAGTGAGTCTTTCCTCTGGCAGCTTCTGTATAACAATTAATGCTGAAGACCTGTAGTGCAAGAGACTTAAGGCAACGACTGCACTGCGGCTTGAGTGAGAAATCTGGGTGTTCCTGTTTATCGGTGTACGTTCGGACCCTGCGCCAACTGTATTGTAGTATAGGAGAAAACAATTGAACCATGACTGGCTACACATATGGCTTGATACAAGGCTTTTGATAATCAACTTATGACAAGATAAAATTAGCCGTACACGGCCATAATGTATATTGGTGCTGAATTAATCTGCCCAGTACGCGTAATTCTTGTAGGATTGTATACGACACAGCCACCAGTTACTACGGCCCAGCTTCAAGGTCATGAAGACGATTACATAGCTTGTTAGCGGGGCTATGCGCCTTCACTTCTTTACCAAAACAATCTCAACTCTTCACGGCAGGCAGATTCTCTTCAATAACGATGTAAAGCTTCGTTCCGACAGCCGCTCTGCTAAGCACCTAAGACCCGAATTTCACCCTGAGGTTTCATTTTTCTATTGAACCGATAGAGAAAAGCCTTGAGAAAACCTCCGATTACAGCTTTTCTCCAAGGTAGGTGCAAAAGTCCAGCTAATAGGGAAACCTTCCTCCCCCCCGGGGAGAAAAGAAAAAGCTTGGACGTGAACATGTATATGTAGAACTAGTTACTTGTCAGAGGAGGTATGGGTGGCCTAGGACCTATTTTGATCGCATTGAATGGTTTGGGAAATCGACATACAGCCAATGCGGGCCCTGTAAAATGTTCCTTATCCGTCTAGGCCTTACAGGACTTGATGTTGGATTCCATCTCTTGCTTTTCCATGGTACCTTTGCTTTCCAAAACAACCGTTTCCAACTCGCGAGAACTATCAAAGAACTGCTGGATCTCCTCGAGCGTATATCCCTTGGTCTCGACGAAAAATAGCCAGATGGTCGCGAGCCAGATGCAGTTGAGCCCGAGAAAAAATATGTAGTAGTGATATCCAATTGCTTCAAGAGCGATTGGGTTGACGTACATGTTCGCGATCAGGGCGAGTTGACCAACCAGGTTCTTGACGGCCAAGCCGCGGGAGCGCATGTAGAAGGGCATGACCTCGGTGACGTACGAATATAGAAGCGGGTTACATGCCACGTTATACATGATGTCGAAGAGGAAAAGGCAGATGACGACACCATAGCCCTCGCTGGTCCGGTCGTGTTGCGCGTACATGGCCGACAGGCTGATGAAGGGCACAAATATTATGATCATCCCGGTGTAGGATGCCATCCACAGCTTACGTCGGCCCATCCGGTCTACCATGAGTGCGCCTACACACGACGACACGAGATTTGCAATGCTCAAGCCGCCATTGATGGCAGTCCTAAGTAGGGGCGATTGGTCATCATAATGCTCAATGTACTCAGATAAGGGGAGAAGGGGGCGGGGGAAGAGAGAGAGAAGAGAGGGGACTGGGTTCTTTGACTCACTGTTGGGTAGTCCCTGTGATCTTTATGCTGTTGAGGATGCTACTGAAGTAGTATGTGATAATGTTCTGGCCGCACCAAAGTGTCATTAATGTCATCGAAATGACAATTAACAACCTTTGCAAATTCGCCTTTTGGGTGAAAAGTGCTTTCCAAGTAACTCCTTCCTGTGCTCGCAGAACAGCAAGCTCGATCTCCTCAAGCTGTGTCGAAACGAGGGTGTCATCTGGATTCCCATTGCCGTGGTAATGTGCAATGATTTGGGCCGCCTCCTCCTTCCGGTTCTTATATATAAGCCATCGAGGAGACTCGGGAATCCAATAGGCACACATAAGCACGACGATAGGACAGAAGGCCTGCAAGCATGATGGTATTCTCCAGTTCCATGTATTTGTCGAATCCATGTGGCTCGTGCCGAAGCAGGTCCATGCGGCGATGATGGAACCAAAGTACCAGAATGGATTAAAGAAGGAGACGAGGGTGCCGCGGAAGCGAGGATGGGCGAGTTCAGATAGTAGCGCAGGACCAGCACAGGTGATGAATGCTATCCCAAACCCGAGGATAAATCGTGAGCCCATATACTGGCCGCGGCCCTGTGAACCGGCCTGGAAACCTGCTCCCGCAACGGTCAGAAGCTGGCCGACGATGAGCCCCAATTTTCTGCCACTACGGATTATTGTTAGACTCGGTCGCGATATCGAGGAGCGCATTTGGTCACGGGGAAAAAAAGTTGCGAGGCTTACTCACTATTTGTCAATAACAATTTGCGATGGAACACTCCCACAAAAGCAGCCGATGAAGTATATCGCAGTGATGATACCTATTTGAGAGGCATTCGGGTTACCCATTTCTACAAAGAAATCAGCACCTCAAGCCCTCATGGACTCTTTTTGCAGAGCTTTCTAGACCTACCACGCTTCCACTCCTTGAAGCTTTGCAGATTGGCCGTCAGAGTGGCATCGAACCCCGTGCAGACCTGCGTCAGGTAGATCAGGGCAATTGGGAACATCATCTTCCTTATGCCGACATCTCTGTACCATGGTGGGTGATCATCGATCGCAGCAATGATGGCAGATGGCGGCTCCTTCCATTGCCTTCGGACTACCTTGCTGGGCCGTAGCATGATTGAGATGAGAATTGAGATGCTAGAAGACGACTGGTTTGTTCGATACGATCGTGGCTCGATATTGTGTGCAGGTTTATTGGCTCACCAGGCTACCTATTGCGCCTTTATACTGAATCGGGCGTTATCATGTCATAGTGCTTCAACGCTGGCAGCAACTCAAAGTCACACTCGGCGGCTTCTACCCCAGATAAGGATTCGAACAGTCGGATTTGTTCAAGTACAATCTTCCGTCACTATCTCCCTCAACTCCATGGGTCTCGTGCGTGATGGCACTGTAAAGCGAGTCTGTTTACTGGGGGCGATAGGGACGCTATAGTCAAGCCTTCAACCGAAAGTGAGGGTCAATCTATTGAGCATTACGACTAGCACGAGATAAGCTGTGGAAAGGAGATCTGGGGAAAAGGCCTCTGGTGCCACCACTAATAGCGCAACCCATGACTCGAAGTCCATCAAACCCCATGTTTTCAAAAGAAGGCAGTAGGGATGCATGAAAGTATCGAAATTCAAGCCCCAATCGGCCAACTATCAACAGCTACGTAATGTAACCGGCGAAATGGAACCCGAACGAGATTCCGCATACGACGGGGAAAAAGCCTATACGACGGCATTGAGATACGCTGATAAGTTGTCCAAACACGGTCCAAATCAGCAAGACAGGGTTCTCATGACTCTCCATTATTGGAATTTGGCCAAGAATCGATTTGCATATGGTATAATACAGACCAGATTAAGCGGAGATAAAGTGGCGGCCTATGCCATGTCTTGACAGCCGATAGACCATAACGTGATAATGATGATGTCTTCGCCTTTTACTAAACAGTCGGCTAGCCCCACATGCGGCAGCCGCAGGCCGAAAACCATCGCGACGGAGAAGACCTAAAGAAGCATAGCATATACTGAGCATAACGACGGCATTCATGGAAGGGAAACTTATATCAAGGCGCCGCAGGCGCCCTTATCTCTAGGCTTGTGAAGATACGATAAGTGATTTCCAAGCAAGCAGGACCTAGTAAGAAGTCATCCCTAAGATCTTGACGGAATAGATACTCGAAAATCTTCACTACCTTGGTTAAAATGGCACCCATCGCCATATCCCCAGAGTCTTCTCCAAGGCTGATCCCGGCTCCAGTCAAGGCTTTCCCTATAAAGTTCGTACCGCAGCATATCCTTTTTCGCTTCTCCAGGTCTAATATGATTACTTAGCAAGCCTGAGCTTACTGGTTGGCAGAGCGATCTTGAAAAGAACGGTTTCGCCGTCGTCAAGAACGCGATTCCCAGGGAACATGCCGTGGGTTACCAAGAGAAGGCCTACGCGTGGCTCAAGTCATTCAGCACCGAGCTCGACTTCAACGACCCTTCGACGTGGCTCAAGCAGAACTTGCCCGTCCAGAGCAAGATCAACACCTTCCACTCGTACGGAGTGGCACATGAAAAGTTTGTATGGGATGCGCGCATGGAGCCTGGAGTCTTGGACGTCTTTGCCAAGATCTGGGGTACGAACCAGCTCCTTGTGAGCTTCGACAGCTTGAACGTGACGTTCCCGAACAGGAAAGACGTCCCGCGGAAGATGGCTTGGGAGCACGTTGACCAGAGCCCTCTGCGCCGGGGCCTCCATTGCGTCCAAGGCATCTTGAATCTATCCCCGGCAGGACCGGAGGACGGCGGTCTGGTGGTGTACCCTGGCAGCCATGCACTTTTTGACGAATTCTTTGATACGCAAACCGATAAGCATGACTGGAACCCGTTGGATCGATACATGTTTTCCGCCCAACAGCTGCAGTGGCTTAAGGACCGAGGCGTGTATCCCCACAAGGTCTGTGCTGATGTTGGGGATCTGATCATATGGGACAGCCGCACAATTCACTACGGGGCCGAGCCTACAGAGAAGAGTACGCAGATCAGGACGGTCATCTACTCAGCATATACGCCGGCCAGGCTTGCTACTCCCGAACAGCTCGGTCTGAAGAAAAGAGTATTCGAGGCGTACGGCGGAACAACTCACTGGCCACACGATAACATTATTGCCCGAGCCACGGAGACATTCCTGGAAGATGGCACGCGAGACCCTCGGGACAGGGACTGCCCTCGCGACTTGCCTGATATGACGGACCAACTTCTCAAGCTTGCGGGCGCGATGCCTTACTGAGAAAGAACCGTATAAGAAACCAGACTTATGCAAGGCCCGGAGTGTCGACCTGTACGTCCGATGCATAGAAGCTGCGCATTAGACAGAGTGGTTGCCTACGTGAATTAGATACCTATAGGTCAGAATAATACCAATCCTGGCATTTCTCCAGCTACAATATCTTGCCATGCGCCCGCTTCACCCCCATTGTTTTCGCTGCGCCATAGAATATCAAGAAGACGATGCACGGCGTTGACTGAGCCAAACCCATTCGTCTTTTCTGCAACGTGGATCCGATATTCGATGAACAGTCTGCTAGCCTTCGAAATGCTTCCCACCCCGGCCATAAACATCGGAAACAATAGGTGAGACTCAGCCTGTGAGCCTGGTCGGATTAACGAGAGCGCTAGGTTTATGTTGCTGACGGGTTCTTGTATCTGTGAGCTTGCCGTCTCGAGGCTGGGCCACTTAACTTCACGCAGCCGCAGAATCATTGCCCAGCGTAGAGTGCAGGCAGCTGCTTTCTCCTCCGATTCAATGTCACGAAGGCTTTCCCAATTTTGCAGTTTTGCCTCCATCGCCAGAACCTTACACTGTAGTGCATCAAGGGATTCCCGAGTCTTCAGACGTGATCGCTGATGAAGAAATCGGTTGATGCGGGCTAGGCACATGTATAAGCCCGGCTCGCAGCCAAACAGAGCATGGGTCGCATTAGATCTGTAAAGGCCAAACCTCTTGCCCCAAACATGAGGAACATCCGGCGAGGTCACAGAGCTGACACAGCAGATGTAGTTATACAAGTCGATGAGGAAATCTTCTAATGCTCCTGGCGCACCACGGACAACTTGTGGTAGGAGGGCTCGGGCACCATAAAGATAAAGCAGCCACCTTTTAGAATGGCATTCGCAGACCTTTGTATCCTTAGAACTCGAGCTTCGCAAAAGAAATGACGCAGCATTTGACGTACCTCGGACAAACATAGAAGCAGTGTCGTTGTAAGATTTGATATTACGCTCTCCGGACTCTCAAGCCGCCATTTCAGATCTTCCAGAGCTAGGTTTCGATGTAGCAGGTGGTCCTTCTCAAAGTCTGGGTATATCTTTGACAAATGCGTAGCAGAAAGCGCGACCAGGGCATTTCTTACTCCTGTGCTCTCAAACGCCAATGGCACGATTAGACGGATGAATGGGTTATACTTATCTTCAGCCATCGACATGGAACGGGCCACAGACTGGAGGAAGTGATTCAATAAGTATCTTTCACCCGTAGACCAGCCATTTTGGGCTTCCTGATCCAAGCCGGCATATCTAATCAGCGAGATATGCGGTAGATTTAGGCCTGCTTCAGATGGCGCTGCATCACTAGCTCTTCTGCTAGGAAAGACCTTGAGCGCGCTGCTGTGGGCAAGGCTCGAAAGGGGTGAAGATAGATCGGAGTGGGTTTCCCTGTCAATGATATCTAGCCAATCGAGGGCTGAAGACATGTCGTTTTGATCTTCGCTGCTCCAGTCGCTGTCCGTGCGCCTATCATCAGCGCCAGCGTCATGGTACTTTTCAACTGTTGCGACTATCGTCACTGGCCGATGATGAGAGTCTGAACGTGGGAGACACGGAAGGTTCAGCCTTTCGCAGTCACCGCAAGTCGGCCGCTTCTCGTCACATTTCTTTCTACGCCGACGGCAGTTTGCGCAGCCTGCCGACGACTTGGTATGCCTAGCCCTGGGCTTAACACTACCATTTTTATAAGAAGCGAGCCCCTTGGCTAGACTCGGTGATGATGAAGTTGATGATCTTGTATCTGTTGTGGTGATGATCGGGCCCGTCGGCATATGCCCCTTCTTCGCCCGAGCTGGTTTTTTGGACGCGCTGCACGGTAGGCCGAGTCTCTGGCACCTAGAACAGGGGATTCGGCCAGTGCACTTAGCCTTAATCACTGCGCAGGTCTGGCACGCGGTCGATGTGCGACCCATTCTATCGCACCAGAACTGTTGTTAATACATATTGCCAGGCTCTATGAGATAAGGTGGAGTGAACGTCTTCTTTTTGATTAACTGCAGCCTTATCGGGGGCTTCCCGATATATGCTTACAATCTACGTGCCTTTGTGTCAGATGTGGATCATAGAACCCATACTAAGATAGGGAATAAAAACCAATTAAACCAACCCCCGTCTAAGCTGTGAGACTGGTGCCCTCGTCGTCGAGTCGGCACCACAGCCATTTAGAATCCAGTAGTGAGCTGATTCTTCCAAATATAGTGAACGCCTCAACAGGCGTGGCATCTTTGTTCTCATTGCTGCTTCGTGGTCGGTTATTGACTGGTTATGTCTAACTATGCTCGTCGCTGTGGACACACGCTGGCAATAATACGCCATTATAACCCTGGCCAATGCTTGTGGAACAACTACTCTCCCACGCATCTCAACGGTTTTTTTTTTTTTAAAAAAAAAAATCGTTATCTAAGATGATCGTCGTCGCTGCCAACCTGGGAGGGTCAGCTGGCGGCCAACTTTTTGTTTTAAGCGTCGCTCCGTATTATTATAAAGGCAGCATAGCTGTAGCTGGTCTGGGAGCCGGCTCGTGGTTTAATTGCGGTCCTTATTGCTGTTTAATAGTTTGATGCCTACCGCACCCACAAGGATATGCCGCCGCCTGCTGCGGTAGAACAAGAGGCAATTGTGGTGGAGATGGAAAAGACTAATAAAGAGAATAACCAAGAGATCACGTAATGATTATATATGTTAATAAAAGCATCTATATTCACCTGGGCACTAGTGGTTTAGTGGTAAAATCCATCGTTGCCATCGATGGGCCCCGCGTTCGATTCGCGGCTAGTGCAACTGAAACTTTTTGAATTCTTGGATATCTCTTATCTTGTTAGGAGTAGGAAATATGTCATTTTTTTTTTACCGCTCTAATTGTAACACTCCAGACGCTCGATTTGAAGCTGGATCGGTGACGATTGATGACTTTGAAGATGCTTAGCGGATAAGTGAAAGATCGGACTGGATTTTTGACGTGAAAAGCGGGATTCAGAGCGGGAGCAGCCGAAGCTAGCCCAATCAAACAGAAAAAGCGGGGTTTGGATCTGGAGAGATGAATCGAGTTCCACCTGCTTGAAGGCGAAATAAGGCAATCACGACTAATGATCAAGATATTTGCGATCCTCAGTAGAGGTCACGACGAAAGATTAATATCATGGCACATAAGCTCGAAAGTCGTTAATCCCATGCGTCCCCCTAAAGATCGACCACTCAGGTTGAGAAGCATCATTTGCTGAGACAGAAGATGGTGGGTTGGAACCGGATCTGGTTTGCCAATACTCAGATCGGCGCATCTTCATCCCCTGCAAGGAACTTATCGCACCACAAGTTGTAGAGTTCTTCTCCTCGGAGGGTCGAAAGCTTGGCGACCGAAACTGCCTAGATAAGACCATACATGAGACCACGAAGATTCCCATTACGGCACTTCGAGGGCTGTATCAATCAAAGACACCTGTTCATACTAGAATAGCCTGGTCTTTAGGTCGCAAAACAGCCCGGCCAGAAGACAAGGTCTCACCTGAGCCGATGTGTGAAGGGGAAACTGAAGACGATATGATCGAGGAAGCATTGAAAGTTGTCTGAGTTGATCTCTAGTCTACAAAAGAGAGGTGCTGAAGAGCGACTATATACACACGCAGGTGATCTGCGGTGGGTACTGACTACGTCAGTACGGCACAAGGTCTACTCGCCAATAGGAATTGTGGAGATTTCCATGTCTCTCATCTGTGGCGAAAGGGAAGAAAAGGCCTTCCATCGGCTTTGTAGGCAGGTGATTGAGGAGTATCCGGAATATTCTAGTATGTATACACTACTGCTCTCAAAGTACGACCTAATTGTGAATTAGTGCATGATCCATTAGCATTCGCCGCTCAATGTGGATACGTGCCAGCAATCAAGTTTATGATAAGCCGAAGGGTCAAGGTTGAGACACGTGACAAGCATGGGCGGACGCCATTATTACTAGCCGCTGATGGCGGACACGATACAGCAATTCAGGTGCTCTTGGATAAAGGAGCGAACTTCGAGTCCAGGGACAAGTCAGAGCGCACTCCGCTAGCCCGAGCTGCCCGGGCAGGCCATGTTCTAGCGGTCCGGGAGCTGTTGAATAAAGGAGCGACCACGGAGACGAAAGATATATGGGGATATACCCCACTGACCCGGGCTACGACTGGAAACCACGAAGCAACAATCCTAGTGCTCCTAGCTAGGGGGGCAAACATTGAGACAAGAGACAAATGGGGATGTACACCACTGTGTCGTGCTTCTCGGAGGGGCAATGTGGCAGCCCTTCGGGCGCTTCTGGCTCATAGAGCGAATATAGAGGCGAAAGATGGATTGGGTTATACGCCACTATCCCATGCTTCTAAGGGAGGTCACAGATCAGCAATGTATGTGCTTCTTACAAGTGGAGCGAAGATCGAGGGAAGGGATAAATTTGGATGTACCTCGCTAGCCCGAGCCGCCCAAGGAGGTCATAAAACAGCAGTCCAGGCGCTGCTGGATCAAGGAGCCAACATCGAAACGCAGGACAAACGTGAGTGTACACCATTGGCCCGTGCTGCCTGGAATGGCCATGAAGGAACGATCCGGCTACTGCTAGAGAAAGGTGAGAACATTGAGTCACAAGATAGAAACAAGTCGACACCACTGGCTTTGGCTGCTTCCAAAGGATACGAGGCAGTAGTCATCGTACATCTGGCAAGAGGCGCAAATTTACATTCAGAGGATAAATTTGGGCGTACGCCAGTAGCTTGTGCTGCCCGTAACAAAAAGGAAGCAGTATTCCAGCTCCTTCAAGAAAGCGGTGCAGGTTGGGGTATGGCGAGTCGTGAAAAGAACATTTCGAGGCTGCGGAGTTTACTGAGATTTTGAAGATATTTTGTCAGATTCAGGCACTTACCTACTCCTGGGACAGGAGCTATGGTGGATCTTGAAGCCTCCTATCGCTGTTTCCGTTCAAGCTCTCGTGCAAGACACAACCTCAACTACAAACCGCGTCAAGGCAGGTGGTAGACTCCTCTCATCTACCTGGGCCCGAAAAGACTCTGCGCATATCATGAAACATGCGAATATTGCAGTCGAGTTACTGCCAAAATGGCAGCACGGTCTCTTCCAAATGCTGATAAGCAGCACATGCTTCTCCAAGCTGCTGGAATTGCGTCGAATGCAGCTGCCATTGCACTCATCGTGGGCCAGAGCCCGGCAAAAGTAGTCGGCTGGCTAGAGATGGGACGCGGCATCCTAGCTGGTAACGTACAAGACCTGCGTACCGACTTGGCTATGTTACAAGAAAGGCATTCTGACTTGGCGGCTTCTTTCGATAACTCACGAGGGATTCTAGACGGCACAATCAAGAACGAGAGTATTCTACCTCGAATGTCTCATGGGTCAAGCATACGACTTGAAACAGAGAAGCGGCGGCAGGCTCATCATCAGCTGGAGACGACCGTCCAAGCAATTCGAAAACAGCCTGAATTCGAACGTTTTCTGCTTCCTCCGGCTGAGGACGAGATTTTGGCAGCCGCAAACAGTCCAATTGTGATTATAAACGTCAGTTGCCATCGATGCGATGCCTTGATAGTCTTGCCGTCGGGGTTTGAATGCATCAAGCTGTCAAGTAACTTATATCATGACATCCAGGAGCATCGCATGAACTTGACGTCACCATCAAAAGCCATGCTTGAATGGCTTTGGGACTACATAGTCAGTCCAGTCCTGACCAGGTTAGAAATACTAGCTCCCACACCTTCAGGGCAACAATGGCCACGAATTTGGTGGATCCCGACTGGACCTCTTGTCGGTTTCCCTTTACATGCCGCTGGGTACCACCAAGAGGAACAGGGACGAACTACCCTTGATCGGGTGGTATCGTCATACGCAATATCAATCCGTTCCATTAGGGGTGCCATGCACACCCGTGAGCAGCCACATCAAGAAACTCCAGCTGGTTCAAGAATAGCTCTCGTCACCATGACTGATACGCCAGAACTCAGCCCGCTCCACTTTGCCAGCCTTGAGACTCGCTCGGTCCAAGCCGTGTGCCAGTCGATGGGATTGAAGCTTATGGTTCCGGTCCCCTGCAAAAGAGAGGTTCTGTCTGTCCTGCAATCCTCTCAGATCTTTCACTTTGCTGGCCACGGTGGGACACATGATGATCCACTAAAAAGCCTACTACTTCTAAAAGACTGGAAGACAGATCCTCTGACAAGTGATAGTATCCTTCAGACCAATCTTAGTTTCAAAGCACCATTCCTAGCCTATTTATCGGCTTGCAGAACTGGCCAGGTTCGAAATAAAGACTCTGTTGATGAGAGCATCCATCTGACTGCGGCTTATCAGCTTGCGGGCTTCCGACATGTGATTGGCACTCTTTGGAGCGTGGACGACAGCATATGTGTAGAAATGGCCAGGATGATATATGAAGTCCTACGGGATGACGGGATCAACGACAAGGCGGTAAGAGAGGGCCTGCATCGCGCGTCTCGAAGACTTCGAGACGTGTGGGTCCAGAACGACAAGGTCAAGATCGAGGCTTTCACAGGCAGGAGGTCAGAAAGAGACGGCAAGTTGGATGACGATACTGCAAGAGAAAGGCCGGCCCTTTGGGTTCCCTATGTTCACTACGGGGCTTGATTTATTTAATGCCATTTGAGGGGCGCGAGAGTTGGTCTGTGATGTATTGAGCGTCCGCACTATACAATTCTAACGGTTAGCAGGCACGCACCCTGTACTCTATTTTCTAATTAGGTAGATATCATATCGGATATTGCGGTACACAGATCAATAATGTGAAATCCACGATGGGCTGAACCTATGCCACTCGGGGGCAACAAAGATCAACCGTAAGGACGCGATCGGCGGTATTTTCTGTAGTACCTCAAGGGTAACTGCCGTTTGTTTGCAGGCATTGATTTGTTACAGGAATCTCGATGTTGTGCGCTCTTTCTTTCACATAGTCTCTAACCACTCGGTGTCGCAGGCGTCACTGTATCTGATCTCTTACGTTATAAAGTAAGGATGTTGATCGTTTCCAGGCTACTAAGTGCTCCAAATCAGTCGCAAAACCTTCGTCCGGACGGCGACCTTCTTGAATACGAACATTTATTACGCTATCTGCCACGTTCTCGGATCGATTATATACGAGTCTTTTCGGGCTACACTCTCGCTATTGGCGAATTGAGGTTTAGTATCGCGTTTCTCTTCAGTATTCGCTTTTGATGTTCGCCTCAACAGCATGTCTTCGTGACGTTTTAGTAGGTCTTTTCCGTCGATGACGCCTGCGCCTCTGGTGACTGACTCGGTCGCTTTGACATGCATGCGCATTTTGCGACTGGCTGGTCTCGTGTTCCAGTAATAATAATACGTAAGTGAAGTCAGGGTGGGAAACAAATATTTCAGTAGCTGTTATAGGTCGTTGACGTCGGTAGATTTGATTGTTTTACTGCGAGCTGGGATTCGTTACCAAACAATTAGCAATCACTGCAGGCGCGTCATATCACCTACATTCAAAATGCTTACCCGACGCCATATGCATCTACGAGAGCAACACATGATCCCGATTTGATGTTTAGATGGGTTGCTTGGTCGTAGATGGCGCGAAGAGAGTTTTCTTCGTGAGGAAATGCGATGATGGTGGTCGGACGCGGAGGTGGTCTTATGTCGCTCCAGGTTGATCCTGCCTTCTAACACCGATGGGAAATCGTAGGACAGATTGGCGGTGGATCACTTGAGCGGCGTGATGATGGCGAAATGTAATTTGACAAAGCTGTTGACATATTATCCGATCTGAATCATAGCCGTGCGTCATCGAAAGAGATGGAGGTAGCTATGGTGCTGTAGGTATGTCGTTTAGGAGATGCGTAAGAGAATTCATTTTTAAGGAGAAAGTTGGTTCGCTCCTTGGTTAGCTTGCCGTGTGATCCTGTAAGCGAAGCTTGAGCAAGCGCATGTGCCTGTCAATAAGGCTTAGCGTTCTGCTTCCCCTCCATATCGAAGGGTTTAGTGATGGTTCGCTAGTGCTTGAGATGCTATAGACTTAGCACTAGATGCCTGGTACCGATACCCTGGCAGACCTCTTAGCTGGCATAAAAAATTTATATTTAGTTATCACAGGCTGGCTGCGGGTGCTTAATTACGATGAACCTGTTAATTATTAAATTATCGATTATCAAGGTGCAAATCATTCTGACGGTTACTTCGGAGATCTCAATGACTCGTTCCCTGAGCTAAGTCATAAGTACACGAAATCTCAAGGCCTTTTAGCGCCAGCGCCGGGCGATCAGTTTTATAGGTTCTATAACCACTATTTGGTGCGAACCTCTAGGCATTATCCGGTAATTAATGTTATTAAGGGCCTTATAGCGAATTGTTCCAGATATATCTGTAAAAGGCAGACTTTCAGGAGGATGCTTTCTTTACGAGGAAAGAGAGAAAGCCCTGAAATCGAGCCATTCCTGGCTCTAGCAATGCGAAAACCTGCGCCCTGACCCCAAGCACATTGCGATAAATCAGCGCCAAAACTGCCCGCCCACGTCCTTTGCCAGCCGTTACAGACATCAGCCTAAAAATCCACAAAAGAAGCCAGCTAAGAGACCTTGACATTGTTTTTGTTCGGTTGTTTGCTAGCATGAGATTGACTAATAACAATCTTTCATTCTGTTAACCATGGAAGCATTTCAAGGCAGTTTGTTAGACAGGAGCGGGTTCCATTCAACTCGACCCGATGGTGATCAATTCAATTAATGCAGCAGCCAGCCAACCAGTCATCTGTAGGTGTTTCTTTAGTGTTAGAACAGTGCTTGCTGGTCAGACCAGTTAAGAGAACTCCACACTTAACTGCCAGCTCATCGTTATAACGAAGCTTTCCTTCAGCTCGCGCTCAATATCCGATGGTTCGGGGTCCAAAACGACCGAGGAACGAGTCGTGCCGCATGATGACCCACCAGTAGAACAGTAAAAGCTTGACGATTGTGCAGCAAGAAGTGGCGCATAGGAACCTTAAGCCAGGGGATGGCCTGCGGCCTTGCCCAACTGCCAACACCAACCGTGAGGCGGGGTCAGATTCTCAGGTGATTAATCTTGCAGCGAAGCTTATCGATCTGGGCGGCCGAGCCCCAAACGCCCAAATAATTGCGTCTAGATCAATCAGAGCATATTGACTGAGGAGTTGCCTCTGTGACGCTGCCTACTTGTCTCTTGACGCAACGTCGCAACGATGCGACTACTTCAATTAAGCACCAACGGTGCTCTAATGCTAACGAAGAAGTTGTATCACAATATTCCTTCATATGCCATACTTTCGCACACCTGGGGCAGTGACGAGGATGAGGTCACAATCCAAGATATAACGGCGAAGGGAGGGAAAAGAAAGCAAGGTTACCAGAAAATAATATTTTGTGGCCAATAGGCAAAGCATGACGGGCTCGAATATTTCTGGGTTGATACATGCTGTTTTGACAAGACCAACTCAACCGAACTCGCCGAGGCAATCAATTCCATGTTTCGCTGGTACCAGAGAGCCGATAAATGCTATGTCTTTCTGGCAGATGTGCAGTATGGTGACGTTCAAGTCGTCAAGCCAGAGTGTACACAGTACTACAACCAGGAAGGGCATCATGAAAGTTGATTTTTGGGCTTGCGGGTCCCGCGGAACTCCTAGAGAGGTTGTTAGCGTGGGTTGGCCGGGGTGTTAGCGTGGGTTGGCTACGCCTGCAACCTTCTTTCAAGGTCCCGCAGTTACGGCGGGTCGATCCGTCCCCCCATGCATCATTTTGCGTCCGGCTTTAGCACATACATAGTACTCGGCAGATGAATGCCAACAGGATAAACGCCGAAGTTCGACCACCGCCACAATAACATGACGATACATAGAAAAGACATCTCACAGATCGTCCGTGCTTAAAATAAGAGGCCAATTTTAATGGTGTGTGAAAACCCCTGATCGGAGCCTTTGGAACTCGATCGCAACTTTTCGGAATTTTATGGCCGGGTAGTACTTAGTTCAGCTAGCCACAATATAATAACGCAATAAAGTAAAGTGTTCGGTATTTTTCTCTGTAAATTTTACTACCCCCTGCTCCGTGTTGATATTGTAATGCGTACGCAAGTCTTCGAATGCCGAAAGGACGAAGTCTGGAGCCGTTTAAACACTCCACTATTTGCTATGAGCTTCTCGCGATCGGAATAGGTTAGACACAAGTAATGGCACTTCTAGGTTTTATCCCCCCTCCATATAAGGGGGAGGATGCTAAGTCGGAGTTTAAATTCGCCCGCCAGGTAGTCGAGGGCTTCGAAATTATTTGGGCATTTTGTCGCCCCATTGGCCTCTTGCATTCGTACCAGGTAATACACAGATAACAACAACCAGTCTAGCATCCAGAAGTTGTATCAAATAACAGTATCATCGTTTCTGCGCAAGACCCAGAGCTCCGACCTTTCGCAATGGATCCGATTGTTACAAACCTTCACGCGTCTGACGGTGCTCGCAAACCCGACAAAATGTCGCCACACACTCAATGCCACGCCGAGCCGTATCTGGATATATCTTATCCTCATTTACCGTCAACGGCCCGCAATCACGAACAGCCTTTGGAAGCTCCTATCGATGGGGTCAATAGGCTACACATACAGTCCAAAAACGAGATCCATCATCAGCCCATTAGTACCGCTGTCGAGATCACCTTGGGCACTGATGCTCTGGAGTTGTCATTCTCCATGGCTGACTGCTTGAAATCTTACGGTGTAGACGACGCACAAATATCAATTCTCGTACAGACAAGTGAGGGATTTCAATCACCGCACCGCTGGTCAACTTTCAGGAAGACCAAGGTGTTGATTCCCCCTTTTCTAGCTGCTGTGATTGGGTCCTATGCGGCTGGAGCCTATTCACCTGGGTCAGAACAAATGCAACAACAATGGCAGGTGTCCGAGACTCTATTCGATCTGGGCCTCTTGATGTACGTCGTGGCCTTCGCATTTGCACCTATGACTCTCGCACCAATAAGTGAGTTGTATGGCAGATACTGGGTCTATGTCGGATCTGGTCTTGTGCTTTTCCTAGGAACTGTCGGCTGTGCCTTTGCCCCATCCCTAGGGCCGATGCTGTTTTTCAGACTGGTTGCGGGTTGCGGAGGGTCCGTTTATTCCACCCTGACTGGTGGAGTGTTAGCGGATGTTTACTTGGCAGAAGCTCGGAGCACCCCAATGGCTATCTACATGCTCCTTGTCTTCATCGGCATTGGCTTAGGTCCAATGGTCAGCGGCTTAGTCGTCGATGCCTATGGCTGGAGGTGGATCTTCTATATTCAACTAATTGCCATAGGGGTAGTGAGCTTGGCCAGTGGACTTCTATTCGAGGAAACAAGGGCCAACGTGATTCTTAGAAGCATGTGCAATGCCTTGAACCGAGCAAGCAACAGAAATCAGCCGAGCCCGAGAGCCGATCATATATGCACCATTTTTCAAGCTCAACAGCCACAATGCGGATCTATTATTCCTGTGTTAAGACAAAGCTACGCCTTTCCGTTGAGGTTGCTGTTCCGGGAGGCTGTAGTCTTCTTGTTCTCAGCATGGGCGTCATTCGCCTGGACCGTTCTCAACATGCAGTATAGTAGCATTGGTATAACCTTCAGAGAAGTATACAATTTCAACAGTTTCCAGGTCGGATTAGTCTATAACGCTATTCTAATGGGCGCCATCATCAGCACATTAATCACAATCATTCTAGATTCCTGGGCCATGCGACTATGGCCGCAGAGAATGAGCACCCCAGAGGGACGTCTACTGCTTCCGGGGGTCCTGTCAATTTTGCTTCCAGCTGGTCTGTTCTGCTTTGGATGGACTGCAAAAATCACAATTACGTACTGGCTGCCGATGGCTGGTATTGGAGTTGGTACAGTCGGCATTTTCAGCATCTATCTTGCATCTACAAATTATCTTGCCGACACGTACGGACCATTCACATCTTCAGCTATCGCAGCGCAAAGTATGTGCCGGAATCTATCAGCCGGTGTTATCTATCTTTTAGTACCACAAATGCTGGAGAAGCTCAGATACAGTGGCACTGGCAGCCTGCTTGGTGGTATTGGACTTGCACTTACGGCAATTCCTTGGCTGCTCGCAATGTATGGAGTTGAGATCCGAAGACGTAGTCCCTTTGCCGGCACTTTGGCAAACATGTAACCCCATGAAATAATAGCTCAAATTTCAATACGCATGAAGTACTGCTCATGAGGATTTGACATATAGTGTAGATATTAAAATAGGAGCTTATCCTCCTATAGGTGTTAGTTCGATCCCTAGGGCCACTACGGCACTTCCGACTTCTTTAACTTAGTTAGCCCATTTTCGGTATAAGTGTAAAGTATAACGCTTCGTCACGATCATCATCCGTCCCGCGGCATTCATCTTGCTGTCAATACCCGTTCGCTAGTTACCTTCCACTTGATTCACCATCCATTTCGTGCGTACGGTGCACTTACCGACCGGTCTCAATCCTGACACCTTGTTTTATGACTAAAGTAGATTTGAGGCTCACGTTTTTATATAAAAAGCTTCTACTATCAAAATAAAACCAGGTTATGGTAAGCGAAGTGATCAATTCGATCGTTAAGTAACTATACGCAGCTATGAGAGTGGATTAATCATATACATGCAAGTGATAAAAGGTCATAAAGGTCCGAACAATAGGAGGATTCGCGCATGGCTAAGGTTACAAAACCACCAATGGATAGGTACGTGGAGATATTATGGCAGCCATTTGCCATGATCAACAACGCTAAAATTAGCCCATTAATGCTTCGTCACATAATTAGAGATCATGGTCAGGCTTTTGTTTAGTGCAAGCTATCGATCTAAGTGATCAAATTTAGTAGGGTGATGCAAGCCTGCTCTACTTTAATGGTCACTCAAATTCAGCTTTATTGGGCTCTTCTGACCATGTTCGGCTTTTTGGCAGCGATCTGGCCAAAAGCTTATAGAACATTTTCGCTTATATACCGGAGATTCTGCCATTTTTTAGCCAATATGAGAAACCTCGGTGAGAGTACTGTACACTGATTGATGTCTCGCAGTGTGGATTGCCTCATCATCACACGGATGGGCGGCGGGTCACGGTCGGTGGTTTACTTGTCTTTTCGATAATTCCGATTGGACTTCGGCTTCGGCGGCCGGAATTTATGCCGCTACTTTGTAGTATTCGGGGAAGCAAGCCCCAGTTCTTCCCTTTCTCGTTTTCCCCACACCACGATCCAAATGGGCTTTACGAGGAGATACTAATATATGGAGAAAACACTGATTGCATAAATGCTTTCTTGATGACATCTGGCGCATCCGAAATACAGGATTGCGTGTAGGCATTCTTCTAAGTACAAATTAATCTCACGAGCTCCGCATGGATTGGACAACTGCATCAGCGAATAAAAGGAGTGCGCTCGATGCCACAATTCCGCCAGAATGGCGGCTTGACGTTTCATGGAATGATGACCCGCCAATGGGATTCTGGGCAAAGAGTCGAGTATTAACTCCAAAGGAGCTGACCATTACCGAGATGCCCGCAACTCTTCTGGTCCAAGAATTGGCGAATGGCAAGTTGACCGCTGTTGCCGTTACCACTGCATTTTGCAAAAGAGCCGCATTGGCACATCAGCTGGTGAGTTCCAGCAATATCACATTGGGCTGTAAGGAGTCTGTGAGGAGCCGGAATTCTAATCTTGGTAGACGAATTGTCTGCATGAGTTCTTCCCAGATCTGGCTATAGCAAAAGCGAGATCCCTCGACGAGTACTTTGCAAAACACAAAAAGGTTATTGGTCCTTTGCATGGACTACCCATCTCACTGAAAGACCAAGCGCGTATCAAGGTGATAAAGTTTTATCCTCATCTCGATGAACGATACTAACTGGGGAATAGGGTGTCGAGACCTCCATGGGCTATGTCTCATGGCTCGACAAGAAGGAAACAGAGGACTCCGCTCTCACAATGCTGCTTGAGAAAGCCGGGGCCGTTCTCTATGTCAAGACATCTGTACCTCAGACTTTATTGTGCTGCGAAACAATCAATAACGTTTTTGGCCGTACAATTAATCCACGAAACCGCGACTGGTCCTGTGGTGGAAGTTCTGGAGGTGAAGGCGCGATAGTGGCCATGCGCGGGAGTATAATCGGCGTTGGTACAGATCTTGGTAAGCCATTGATGCTGCAAATACTATTTATGTGTATGAAAGTTAACCAAGTTCCTAGGTGGGTCTATCAGAGTTCCTGCTGCGTTCAACTCTCTTTTCGGCCTTCGACCAAGTCATGGCAGACTGCCATATGCGAAACTCGCCAATACTATGGAAGGTCAAGAGGCAATACATAGTGTATGTGGTCCAATTTGCCATTCTATCCCAGATATGCGGCTCTTCGTCCAGTCAATACTCTCGCAGAATCCATGGATGTATGATTCAAAGGTCGTACCAATGCCATGGCGGAAGCATGAGGAAGATGCCATAAAGACGAAAATCTCATCCCGTAGCCTTACCATAGGCTATTACTCATGCGACGGCAATGTAAGATCAATCAGTTGACAAGAAGAAAAGCATATTGCTTATGCGTATAGGTTCTGCCTCATCCACCAATCCTGCGCGCTGTTGAGATTGTTAAGAGAAGGCTTGCAAAGGCTGGGCATATGGTAGTTCCATGGCAGCCATATAAGCATGCGTTTGCAGCTGATCTGGCTAGCCGACTGTGCGTAGCAGACGGAGGAACTGTAAGGTTAACAACCGCATATCTTCTATCATCAACGATTCTAATGGTGTCTAGGAGATTTTTTCGAATCTGAGGGCTTCTGGTGAGCCTGCAATTCCAAATATCGACTATCTCATACGGCCGGAACAACCGAAAATGGACGTGAATGAGCTTTGGAATGCCCAGCTCCAGAAATGGAACTATCAAAATGAATACTTGGAGAAGATTCGTTGTTTTGAAGAGAAGCACGGCAGAGAGTTGGACGCTATCATTGCGCCCACAAGTCCTTACGCATGCGTACGCCATAACAAATTTAACTACTATGGATACGCTACTGTCATTAATGTCCTGGACTACACTAGTGTTGTGATACCAGTCACATTTGCCACCAAGTCGATCGATCGGGCAAGTTACCAGTTTGCGCCACTGAGCGACTTGGATCGCTTGGTCCAGGCAGAGTGTGAGTAGGAGACAAGAACTTTCCTATATTCATATAACTAACGGACTCAGATGATCCAGAAGCATATCATGGAGCTCCTGCAGCTGTTCAAGTTATTGGGCGACGACTAACAGAAGAAAGGATCATGTGCATTGCTGAGGAGTTGGTTCGTCTTTTAAGAGATGATTAAGGGGCAAAACCTTTCAGCGCGGAAATATGCCATGTAGTAAAGGAGATAAGAGATTTGAACGAAACGAGCGTCATGGCGAAAACGCAGTCGGATATAACGTTCATTCAAAGCAATAAAAGAGCCTTTGCGACTTAGACATCACATCACGATGGGAAATTATCGTATGAACACTATAAAAAATGATAATCAAGATGAAAAATAGCCTACGTTTATGGAAACGAGCAACACAAGTCGTATCGGAAATTGCGTGACCTAAGGGTTGTGGCAGTGGCCGGATATATTTCACTGAGGATGCGTAAGTAACAAACTTAAAAGGGCACTAATTTCGCATCTCGGCAATTTAGCGTTGCTTGTTCGGTACATATACCCCTTTACTTGATTTTTCTTCGTGAGGTAGTCCAGTTCCTACTAGCGAAGACGAGACAGTGTAATTGGGCAAGCTCAATGAGGAGGATAAGTAGAATATGTGGGACGGACACTGCTCGATTATTGTCCGATCTTTGTATAACTATCTAAATTTAAGCTTAGCAAGAGTGATTCTCCTCGCAATTCAAGGGACTTACTCGTATATGGTTCGAGTAATTTTGAATGTCAACCCAAATTTATAAAATAGGTTCCAAATCTTAATTTTCGTAGTCGTTTCTATAGATGCTATGATAAAAACTTTTCCCGCCCCTCCCTGATCCAGGATTTCAATATGTCTGATTGAAAATCTATTTTGCACTCACTCTATGACCACCGAACCACATCAGAACTCACTACGGCGGACGTCGTAACCATAGGGGCCGGATATATTGGCATATGTACTACATCATATACTTGAGCTATGCAAAGACAAAGACATACCATTACCAACCACGATAATTTTGGAGACCTGCCAGTATGTTCTGGAGTAGCAGGTTATGATGGTTAGTTTCCATTCCTTTGATACCTACGGAAATATAGTGATTTGAAATGGGGTGCTATCCTGAAATCTGATATACGTTATACCGCGATAGTTATGGGTGATGTATTTGAAGCGCACCACCATATTGAAGCAGTTGTCTCAACAATAACGAGACAGATGCGTCGGTAAAGGAAGCAAAACATTCCTTAATACCTACATGCAGCAGAACTTTCTGGCTGCTAATTTGAGGAACAGTGGTGGTACGTAGTTACCGCAGATGGGGTGCCCTTTGTTGGGAGTTTATCAGGGAGACCTGGCTAGCTCATAGCCGTTAGTTTTCATAGGCATGGTGCACCTCAAGCATTCTTCGTTGCAAAAGAACTCGTGTCGATGATGATGGAAGGAGCTGACTTCTAAGACACAGGATTGCCAAGAGCCTTCGAGATAAGTCAAGTGAGATTAGAAAGGCCGACCATACTATTTGAACACAGCTGAGAGAATTGAAGACTTATTATTTTGTCGGATTCGCAGACCTTTTATCCTTCTACCATCTTTTTCCTATCATTACGGTTCTTGGCAATAATCGTTTCTCTATTCAATCGAAATTTGAACTATAAATGATCCTATAGAAATTTGGCGAGAGGATGATCCTAAAATCCATACTCCATGCTACCATAACAATCATTTTAGGCCAACACTAAAAGGAGAAGCGCTACTACTATTGCGCAAGTGAAAGGGCCATACTCGCTCAGATCTTCTCACCTGAGTCAATGTGAAGGGAAAGATAAAATCGAGGAATGTTGGAAAGAAGCCGAAGTTGATCTTGTAAATCTACAAAAGAAAGGCATCAAAGAGCTTTTTCAGATACTTGAGAGGGTAACATGGGGTGGGTACTACGTCAGTGCAACAGAATGATAAGGACGAAGATCCTGTTAATTTCTGTAAAGGAACTGACGTCAGAATGGAGCGGGAAATAGTGCCTCGTGGATGACAATTTTGAAGACAGACATGATGTATCCCCTTCGCCGTATCTCTCAGCACCCGTCAGAAGTAATGGCCTCTTTTCCCCGCTCTTTCCGTGTTTCCATAACGCATATATACTGATCGTAGTTATTTGGAGTAGATTGGTCGTCTATCACCGCTGTGCACGGGGCGATGACTTTCAATTGAGATTGAGCTGTGTCCGGCTTCGGGCAGCCGACAACTATCGGAGTGGTTTGCAAGTACCTTGAATATAGCTCTCGGCTTCTCAGGGCTCGTATAAGAGAAGAGGGACAAAATACTACATGAGCCCTAGAACAAGAGTTTTGTATTAGATTCACTTATGCCTCATGTATCATTATCCTCCATCTCGTGGCGACTGTAACAACTATCCAACTACAGTGTGAGCTCCTAGATCTTACCAGATTTACGAAACATGTGTAGTTACTAAGCAGGGAGAAAAACGAGTGGCCGCATACTACGGTAATGTCTGCCTGTTAACGCTCCTCGTTCGGCCTGAAGAGTTTCAAGGGTCTACCGGCGCGGACGTAGCATACACCGGGTGACTCTTCGTCCTGCTGCTGTTTCGTGTTCACGGTTGTTGTCACTACGAGATCTACTTTATAGGCTGTATCTTGATCATCTCATTGTGCTCCTCGAGGACCTGGTTGTAGATTTTGAGCTCCGCCTAGTAGATTCTTAGCAGAATCCTCAATAAGTCCCGAGAGTTACAAACATGGTGATAGTGCCAAGGCCAACTCTAATTGTTGCTTTGTATCCCGCGAGTGCTTCCATAAAACCATTGATGTTACTGGTTATGAATTCCGACCTTGCCTAATCTATAAGCCCGAGCGTCGACTTATTCTTGAACTTTTGCATAGCAAGCTCGAAATTACGGCAAACATGATTTGTATTAATTTAAGGCTTTATTGCGTGCTTTATAGCGTTGGATTGTTGTGCATGGTGATTTCGATAAATGAAGCCTATATGCCCCGTAGGTGTCTTCTCAAAGATATCTTGAACTCATTTCCCGATATAAATACCACAATACGGGACGTCTGCCATCTGTAAGAACTCGGGAGAATTGTCACAATCTCGGTATAAGGGATGTTGATTTGAAAAGTGTCGATATTAGGGTTTTCGAGGCTCAAGACGTATGTATAATGGCGGCTTATCCCAAAACCCCCACTGACGCTGGTCTTTAACCCAGTCCTTCTGCGTTTCATCAGCCAGTGCAATATCGTAGTTCCACACGAGTTTCGCCAGAATCAATCTGATCTCTGCGTAGGCAAGACTTGATACTCATGTCAGTACTATAACCAAGTAGGGTACGGTATATCAACTTTGTGCTTACTTTTTGCCCAGGCAGCTGCGTGGTCCAACAGAAAACGGTTGGAACGCATCCGCGTGGTCCTTGGCAAACCGAGCATCACCCAACCATCGTTCAGGAATGAACGACTCTACCGAGGTAAAGTTTTTCTCGTTGTGATACATGGGCCATTGCCAAATGTCAAAGATGGTCTAATACAGAGTCAGCCCCAGTACCATGACGTTTCCGGAGCTCCCAATGGGACTTACGCCCTCCGGAAGGAAAGTTCCACATAGTGTAGCACCTCCACGATGGACCACGCGTGGCGTGGAGGCTGGAGCGGCAGGGTAGATGCGCATGCCTTCGTCGATGACTGCTTTCAAATACTGGAGTTTTTGGACGTTAAGAAGACTGATCTCGTCCTCAGTGCTGAAGCCAGACCGTACTTCGTCGCAGAGTTTGGCCAACACGGGAGGATGTTCGCATAGAAGAGATGTGATACCACATAATCTACGGTCATGTGAACAGAAGTTAATCCGCGGGGGTGGCGCGGGACTCATGTAGTAGCAGTCGTTTCAGAGCCGGCAACGACAAAGATATTTGCATTATGCATGATTTCCGGAATCGAAAGGCTCTAATAAAAACGAGTAAGAATGACTGGTTTTTGGCATTTATTTTTGACATACCTGCTTGCTATCCGAGCCAGGGGCAATCATAGCATCTATGAAATCAGGACGACTCGTGTTTAAAGCTAGTCGCTTGCTGACCTTGTGCTCAACCAATTCGGCATGCTCGTTAATCTTCTTTGCAGCAAAAGTTTGAAGTAGTGGTTTTGTGAGTACACCCACGATTGGGTACGCTCGTCGAAGCTGCGCTAGGGGCTGTATCTCTTTGACTTGTTGAAAGATCATTGCGACCCAGGTGTGATAATCCGATTTTTCCAGACAGCCAAAGGACTCTCCGAAAGCCAGGTCTCCAATAACATCGAACGTTGTATAGTTATACCACCGTACTACATTAAACGGCGTGCGGTTCTCGCTGTGTTCCCTCATTCGCTCAAACAGAAGGTCAACGTAACCCTTGATCAAAGGCTCCTGTTTGACCATGCTCTGTCCAGAGAAGCCACCGGCGAGTATCCGACGCTGCCTGCCATGATTTTCAGTGTCTGCGGCAATAATACTGTGGCCTACCTCTTCAAATAATGAGGGGTCCTTGATATTCTCCAGTTCTCCTGGTTTGAGGTGGCCATACGCTTGCCTCCACGCGTTATGGTGACAGAGCGATACTGAATTGGGCCCTGTACGAACCACGTCTCCATATCTCTGGTGTAGCTCAAGAATCCTTTTGTGAGGCTTCCCAGAACACGCCATGAGAGCCTGAGGAAGGGGCGAAAGTGCCCAAAGTTTTGGACCCGGAATCTTTCGCAAAGGGCTGAAGAAGATGTTGTAGATAATGGCCCACAATATGTAGCCGAGTAACTGTAAAATATTAACTTTGATTCTGGTCCTAGTTCGTAGAGTTTAGGGTGCTCTCACAAGGCAGATAACCAAGGCCGCAAGGCGTGGCATCACAGCTCTGTCAAGGAGTATCATGGATATGTTTTTCATTGTGATCATCGTAAGGGTTGTTTACGATGAAAGCTTGTCCTAAAACGATCAAATATCAATAGTTTCTTTTCCTAGGGGACATTGAGGAGGAAAGTATGGATGGCGAAAGAAAATGATGATCTTAGACTAGTACCCCATTATAACTAGACATATTATAGCGCAACGTCAAATAAACATTAGTGCACAACAGTCACTTAGATTAAGTCAAGCATATACCAACTGAAGTGTGGAGACTGGCCAATCGTCGGCAATTTACACGCAAGATAAAGCGTAAATGCTTGAAATGGAGCCGAGTCGGTATTCCTTTCGGCAATTCTCTTATAAATCATTGGTTAAACAAGTCTTTTGCGAGGATCAGCTAGGTTATAATGACAATGCTCCGATGCAAGGCCTAAAACTCCGGTTTGGAGTTTCCGGGACACCGAAGACGACGAATCGTTGCGAAGAACGACATTCAAAATCGGCTTCTCCTTATTATCCACATCTCTTGTTTTTAAGCACGGACGATCCAGATCTCGCGCTGACATACATGTATATCAGCCAGACCCACTTCGTACTGTTATCCATGAGTACTTCGGCGAGCCAAAGGTAATCAGATTGGCAGTAAAAAATTGCTTGTCAACCAGAGCTAGTTTTGGCTGACTGAAGTACTTATGGGTGACAGTACGAAGTGGGTCTGGCTAATATACATAAATGTCAGCGCGAGATATGGGATCGTCCGTGCTTAGAGACGAGAAAAGAGATAAAAGATAAGAAGCCAATTTTGATGGTCTCTGTAGGCACTCAAATACGCGCGTATTGCTTATTTTTTCGGATAATTCCATAGCAACTTCATAGAGCAGCCGGCAATCGGCAGCTGCGAGTATCTAAGTACACAACATAAAGGTCTTGTAAATTTTTAATACGGCTTAGATATTAGCTAAACGTGGGGCAGTATCACTTCGTCTTAACCATCATCTTCTAACTATATAGTCACGATTAAAATCAATGGTCGCACCTTTAGTGATAGATGCGCCAACTGCGACTCACTAATTCATCTATGGCTGTGAAATTATCCGAGCTAGCGATTATTCATGGAATTGCTTGTGTAATTGTGGAGATAGATGATAGTTAAGTCCAACGCAGTTAAATAAATCTCACCCACAAAAATCTTCCAGAGTGTCAGCCGAGGCAATTCCCCAGTCTGGAAAATTCTAGAAGCTATGTACTAGTTCATCCATATGACTTTGATAGAGTTTGTCTTCAGAATCTGTGCGCCATCTGGGTGCGCGCCGTTATTAAGAAGCGCAACCAGAACTTCGAAGCAGTCTCTATGTCGTTCAAAAGCGCCAGCGCTCGTCTGCATAAACGATATCGTAATCAATAGGTCACCCAAAATCACAGAGTTTATTGTTAAAGCGGTTTGATTATCAGCTATTATCTTGCGTTTCCACGATGCCAAACTTATAATCTATATGCGAACCCATTGATCCTCACGTGTATTAATCCTGCCGTTTTGTGCAGCGTCTGCCTTAATAATCCTGTGGGAACGAGAATTCAACGCAATAAGTGATCGCATAATAAGACGACGCGGTATGCCTGGGATAGCATTGCTGATCGTGCCGAAATAAATTGTGAGGCCGGATAGATCTTAAATCGAGACGCACGATGCCTTATATCGCTAGTATCGAATGCGTGGGGATTCATTGATCTGTTTCAAATAGTACTCATGGCTCAAAGGTGCTATAATTTAAAGCTATGTTTTATTTTTGCTCCCTGCTTTCATTCCCACTAATTATACCCTCCTGTGTGACGATCTATACTATTAGGTTTCTCGATAAACCTGTAGTTTAGGTGCTAGATGGGTTTATGCTAACAGGATGCGCCAGCCAAGAGAATAACTGTACTGAGCGAAGAATAACTGAAGTGGTCCTGCACTGATTCCCAAGTCCGGCTCTTCTCTGTTAGCGAGCTCTCTCGCGCTTACGAAAAAAAAAAAAAAACAGCGGTAGTCATATGCGACAATTGCCAGGAATATCACCGAGGGAGGTTCTGCATAAGAATCGCCAGATGCGGTCGCTACAACAAAAGACGGGACAAGCACGACCCCGGAGCCCCCTGCCAAAATCCACCGAAATGCGCAAACTGCTACGGACCCCACGGCGCAAACTACCCACAGCGCCCAGCAAAACCGCAGAAGGTATATGGCAAAATCCTGCACAAATCGGAAAGCCAACTCAAGGCTATCCGGAAGATCGGAAGCCGACATTTCGCAGGACTCCACGCAGCGATACAAACTGCGGACGCGCTAGCTCCGACAAAGACGCAGGAGGCCCCCCCGAGGCCGGGCCGCCCGGGAACAGGGCAGCCGGGCGCAGAAGCGCCGCGAGGTAAAAAGAGGGCGATAAAAAAAAAAGGCATATCGGCAGACCCAATGCCAACGGACCAAATAAATGCAGAGATGCAGGAAACGATAACCCCATAAGCACCCTCGTCGCGGAGGCCCCAAAGGCTGTCAAGCCAGACGGCGGAAACCAGAATGCACGCAAGCCTAGGATACTACCAAAACCTGCGACTTAATAAATAGAGCACAAAACAAGCGTCACCGAAAATGGAGACATCGCCGGACACCAGAAACTTTACGTTTTGAATCTCTCAATACGCGGAGGTCGGGCGCCTCACACGACGCATTTCTTCAAAAATGTTATAAGAAAAATATAGATCTAGCAACGGTACAGGAAACGTGGACGTACGATAACAGCAGGACAAGGACCCAGACTGGATCCTTCGTCACGTGGCCGATCATAATGTCACTTCGAGAGGTCAGTGTCCTAGTCCCTTATCCATACTTATCCTCTGGGTCCTCCATCCTGCAAGGGTGCATGTTTGTAACATCCTGTACCACGAGCTTTGCTGTCCTTCTTTCTCACCACCGCACCTTCAGAACGAGCGGTAATACAATCAGATTGTAACTCCAATCACACGCGTCTTCAACTCTCCGAAGCAGCCATCTTCATCACTATCTTGTTGCAAAATGCCTCCAGTGACGAAGCATTCATGATATCCAACGTCGTCACCAGAATACCTAGCTCGCTCCGCACCCAGTTACGCACTTCAACTGCACTTAGGGAGTCGATGCCGTAGATAGAAAGTGGACGTGCGGGATCCAGAGGCTCGGAGAGCCGTAGGATCCGCATGAAGCACTGATTAATGACTTTAATCGTGGCGGTCAGTGTGGCTGCCGGATTCGAAGACGCAGTTCGGAGCATGAGTAGCAGGGCTTGCACATCTGCATCGCCCTTATTGTTATTGTTACCACCGGACATAGCGGTCGTACTCCCTTGCCCTGTGAATAAAGCAGCGAAGCGAGCGTCTTTCCTCAGCCAAGAATCTGCTGGTTGTGGCATGACAAGACCAGTAATCATTTGGCCCAACGAGACTCGGCTACCTCTAGCACAAGGGCTTTTTTCACATCCTACTTGACCCCGTTGCTGAAGGATAGAGAAGTACAGAATCTTGCGAAGTAATCTGTCATCGATTCCATTGAACATGCGGTTGTCGAAATGTTTGTCCTGAAAGCCGCCCCGTTCCGCGATGAAACCTGCATCCTCGATGACTCCAAGATCAACTGAGCACGCTGCTTGGCCCCTCTGAAGACGGAACTCGGCGAATGCATCGAGAAAGACATTTGCAGCTGAGTAGTTTGCCTGGCCTCGATTCCCAACGACACCGGATATGCTGGAGAGCATGGTAAAAAAGCTCAGGTTGAAGCCAAGCTTTTCTGCTGCAACATGGAGATTCCAAGTTCCCTGAACCTTGCAAGTCACCGCCTCATGATACTCGGTGACTGACATTGAGTCGAATGGTCGATCCTATTGTATAGTTAGCTCCAATTTCTACCAGACTTATCACACCAGGCATATTTACCCTGAGCACCATTGCACCCTGAATGATACCTCCAACCGGCTTACGTGTCTCGGTCAAAACCCGATCAACATCGGCAGCAACGGTAACATCGGCCGTTAGGAGATCAATATGAGCTCCGAGCGCATTGACTTGCTTGACTATGGCTTGCGACTTTTTATCTTTGTGCCCACTCCTGGCTATGACGGCAAGATATTTCGCCCCCATCTTAGCAAGATATATGGCCAAGGAACCGCAGAGACCCCGTAGCCCGCCGACGATAAGATAGCATCGGTTGTCGTCAAATGGAAAAGTCTTTGGCGCCCGTCGAATCTTTAGAGAAATCAATTAGCTAGTACCCCGGATTGAAGCATATGAAACCCCAAGCCAATGGAAATAAGGAGGTAAGGACATACAGGCACTTGAACTTCTGCTTCGCCATCAGTGATGACAATCTTTCCCATATGTTTGCCCGAGCGCAAAAATCGAATGGCGGACGGGATGTCTCCCCAAGAAAATTGATGGATTGGGTGGACGGGCTGGATCCTTCCATTGTCAAGAAGATCGAAAAGCTCTGAGAACAGCTGCGACGCAAGGTCGTCTGATACCCTTTCTGGAGACATGTCGACACCCCTGAATGTTGTGTTTCGGTCGAAGACCGCCATGGGCAGACTACTACGATCAAGAATATCCTTCTTACCGATTTCTACCATAACTCCACCATCTGCTAGGATGCGGAATGATTCGACCAGCAGATCTCCGGTCAAGGAGTTCAGTACAATATCGACGCCTTTACCGTCTGTAGCCGACAGAATCTGGTCAGCAAAGTCAACGTTCCGGGAATAGAAAATCGAATCATCGGTCAAAGAGAACGTCGATTTGAGAAACTCTCTTTTTTCTTCTGTCCCAACTGTAGCAAACACCTGGTTTCATAAAATTAGAATAAATGCTTTCCACTTGTGGAGCGTAACTGACCTTGGCGCCGGCATTTACGGCCAGCTGTAAAGCAGCCATCCCCACACCACCCGCCGCGGAGTGAATCAGAATGCGTTTGCCTGCGGTAAGCTTAGCGATCGACAGTGCGTGCAAGCTGGTGAGGTAGACGACAGTCAGGGTAGCTGCCGTTTCAAATGACATGGAGTCGGGAATGCGGTGAACACGACCAGGTGTCGTTTGCAATTTATTTGCGAGTGCACCCTGGCTGAACGCCACAACTCGTTGGCCAATAGCAAGGTCGGGGTTGGTCCTAGCTGCAGTTGGACTGATCTTAGTAACCACGCCAGCCGCTTCATATCCAAGTGCACTGTCGTCGCCGGGCACGATACCCATGCTAACAACGACGTCCTTATAGTTTAGACCCGCTGCATGTATCTGAATTTCAATGAAGCCTTCTCTCAGCGGGATCGGCTGTGGTGCTGCTTCGGCAAAGCAAATTGCATCCAGATCACCTAGTCGTTCGCACTGGAGCCGTACAAGGGTATCGCATCCGTGAAGTCCCATGACCTCCGTTTGACGTGCGCTCGTGTCATCGCTCTGAAGTGCAGTAAGTTCGAGGTCAGGAACAAGACGAGATATGCTTATAATTCCGTCTCGTTCCACATATTCGTAGTCGACTGCCGCTGGGTCATCATCCCCAACTTCAGCTGTACAGAGTTGCTCAAGACACGACTCAATAGTCGTAGCCATTCTCTGCACATCAGACGTACACTCTAAGTCCAGTGTCATCAGGCAAAGTCCTTCTTCTGCTCGAATGCTTCGTAGAAGGCCGGTTGCGGAAGCTTTCGTAGGATCGGTGACATTGATATGAGCACCGCTGGTGACCCAAAGAACTTGGCATCGCTTTTGAGTAACATGCTTCAGGATCCTCCACATTCTTTCATCCAGATGCGGAAGAATTGGCTCGAATAGCTCGTCAAGGATAACGACAACTTCTCCGCTAGAGTCGATGTCCCTTAGTGGATCGGCAGCTGTCTTCACCATCCATCTACCGCTACCAATAGCCTCTAATACTTCGCAAATACTGTGCGCGTGCTTGGTTTCTGGTTCAAGGAAGCTGATATGGGTGATATTGGGGTGCTTTTCTCTCAGGTTGGCTGTTTCGTTCCCTTCCGGCCTGATTTGAGACAGATAGATATCCGCACCCAATTGAGGCACGGCAACGGTCCGGCCGAAACCACTAATGGCTTCTTGGCTCAAGCCCGAAGTCAAGATGAAACCTGTTTCGCTCATTGACTTGCGCATCATGTTCAAAACCAATGCATTCGTGCTCTCAGAAACAGTTGTCGAGCTGCTTTTGATGATTCCAAGGTCAAACTGGACGCTTTCAGCAATGAGTCCTTGCTGCGAAGTATCAAGAAGATGGAAGCGGGCCGCGGCTGAACGAGGAGAAAGTTCTTGTTGAGCGCTAATTAGTGTCTTAGCCTCACTCACTACGAGGCTGTAATCCGAGGATGCTGCCCGTATGGCGTGAGTCTTGCTCTCAGGATCAATCCACCAGCTTGACGAATCCCCTGGACTCATGTTGATCTCCAACACTTTAAGACCAGGGTTCTTATGTGCCACAAGATTGAGGAGATCCTGTACGGTCTTGATGGTATTGCTGTCAGCAAACCACTTCCGAACAAGGGAATTGTCAGCCTTCATCAATAGACTAATATCTGCATTCCAAGAGACACGAGTGAAGGTATGGTCGAGGCTGGCTGCATCACTTGTATCAATCTCTGCTGATGCCAAGCCCTTCATCTCAAAAATGAATCTCCCGTCACAGGGATCATACAGAGAGACATTGGTAGCATAATTGCGAGCATCTTCTACATTCCCAACACCTAAGAAAGTAGCCGATGAGAACGTGATACCTTCTCTCGGCAATTCATGACTTCCCATGAGTACGAGACTGTCAATGGTTTTAGGCACTAGGACTTTCATGACTGCAGAAGAATCGCCTTTCCAGAGGGGTGGAGATCCTGTTTGCAGACAACCGTCCATGACAGTAGGATGCATGGGATAATGCGACTCGGTATGCGCTATCGCCAACGGGGGCTGGAGGTTGACCATGGATCGACCTTTTCTCTGACCCATGGCAATCTCAACATTGAGTTGCTTCTGAAAGAGTGGCCCAAAATTGTAGCCTGCGCGAGCGAGGGCCTTGTACCAGATGCCAGCTGGCACAGGGAGATCCAGAGGGTTCTTCGCCTCGCCGAGGCTCTTGGCGACTTGATATTCGGTCTCGACACAAATCTGCCCAACGCAGTGCTCTGTCGATAGCGATTCGTTGAAGGAGCACACCTTGAACTCGAACCAAGACCTGATAGACCCTCCATGCCGAGGGAAGAGCGTGAGCGTGATTCTGCTTTCGGCGTTTTCGTCCAGGACCAATGCCCGCAGGAACTTCACGTCACGCAACCGATAGCGAAATTCAGCTGGAGGCTCTTGCCTCCACTTTGTCATCATGGCCGTTTGATACATGGCCTCGATAGCCATTGTCATGTATGCCGCCCCAGGAAACACGACCTGACTGCCTAGTTTGTGGTCACTCAGCCAGGGCAAATCGGTCAGTTTCAAGACCTTATTGAAAACAGGAGCTTGCCACGGTGTTCCAAGAATTTTGGACCCTAATAAATCATGGGTGACAAATTTCCTGAATCGCCAGTCTTTGCTTGCCTGTGTCTCGTGCCAGTATGAGATCGAATGGTTCCAGGAGTAGTTTGGAAGATCCACAAGGACCTTTGGCCGCATTTTGAAAACTGGCCCACAATATCGGTTGACTTCACACAGATCAACTGCGCCACCTTTGATGAAAAGCTGACCTGCCATGTTGTACATTGGAAAAGTAGCATCTTGTCCCCGTTTCAATGTCGATGCGTAGGTCGATTCATTCGCAGGCCCCGTGGTGAATTCCTTTTGAATTTGTCCAATCGGGCCAGCAAGAGTACTGCTTGGACCGATCTCTATGAGAAAGTCGGCCCCATGCTCAGAGTCGGCTAGGAGCGCTCGTGTCGCTTGGGCAAATTGCACAGGAGACACCATGTTACTCTTCCAGTAGGCCGCACCTAGTAACGCGTCTTTCGGCAAAACGTTGCCTGTGACAGAACTAAACATACGTGTTGTCACTGATAGGGCCTGATTCCCGTTCATGTGGCCGTCAGTTGCGTGTTTACTGGATAGCAATCTTTCGTAGACGTCACCGATCTCGGACATATAATCGGAATGGTATGCAAGATCGACTTGCAGCATCCTTGCAAAGTGTCCGTCTTCTTTCAGACGAGTACAAAGATCCTGGAGTGTTGCAGTAGTACCAGAGATGGTCAAGCTACTAGGACTATTGTAGCAGGCAATCTGTATCCTGCCCTGCACCGATTCGAAGTACGGCTGTAGGATTTCAGGTCCGACTCCAACCGCAAGCATTCCTACTGGTTCGTCCGGACTTGGAACCATTTTGGCAGCCTTACCGCGGAAGTAGGCTGTTCTGATAGCGGTTTCTGATGTGATGAGGCCGGCAGCTGCGGCTGCAGCAATCTCACCAGATGAGTGGCCAATAACAGCTTTCGAAGTGATTCCCCAGGACTTGAGGACTTCGACAAGTGCAAGCTGCAATGCTGTCACCAGTGGTTGTGAGAACTCAGGCTGTCGTAGTACTTCGATACTTCTTGGCTCCGACAGTTCTTTGAGGAGAGACCAAGAAGGGGGTTCAGGAAGAGACTGTAAAACGTCATCCAAGTCTTGGATAACCTTGTGGGCGAGTGAAGATTGCTTCAGGAGGTCAGATCCCATCTGCGACCACTGCGCCCCCTGACCTGTGAACACGAAACCGACTCGTGGAGCTGATGATGCCTGTTTGCCGATCACAAGAGTTGATTTGTCGATCTTGGCTTTGGCGGAGCGTACGACACTGAATCCTCTGTAGTAATGCTTGCTTCTATGCTCGGATAAAGTGTAAGCTAAGTCATCCGTGTTGATGGATACGGTAGGATTGATCAAGTGAGCTGAGATAGACGCAACGTAGTTCTCAAGAGAAGCTTTGTCATTACTGGAGAACACCAACAGTGTTGGTGGAGTTAACTTGTCTGCAGACGTTTTCTGACGCGCTGTGTCGGAAGTCTCATCGTCACTGTCGTCAAAGAAGTCGGTGCTCACTTGCTTGTATGACGATACGTGGTGAGAGAAAGGTGCCTGTTCAAGCACGACATGTGCATTGGCTCCACCAAATCCGAATGAGTTCACACTGGCCCGCCGAATGCCCGCTGTGGGCCATTTCATCGATGTTCGGGAAGCCTGAACTCGAGAAGCCTTCCAGTCGATGGCTGGGTTCGGGGTCACAAAGGTTGGCGTACCAGGGATAATACCGGTTTCAACTGCCATAACCGCCTTGATAAGTCCAGATATTCCAGCTGCAGCTTCGGAATGACCTATGTTGCTCTTAATAGAGCCGATCACTAAGTCTTGACCATCACTGCGTCCATCGGAAAAGACAGAGGCCGCACCCTTCACCTCAACCGGATCTCCAGCCAAGGTACCTGTGCCGTGACATTCCAAGAATGATGTTTCCTGGAAGTCTCTGATGCCAGCATTCTTGTAAGCCTCTCTGATCGCAAAGGCTTGAGCCTTGGGACTCGGATTGGCTATACCTGCCGTTCGACCAGATGCTGAAGCAGCTGTTCCGCGAATCACTGCACGAATCGGGTCGCCGTCGCGAATAGCATCATCGAGACGCTTCAAATACACAGCGTTGATGCCTTCCGCTTTAACGTACCCGTCGGCCTTAGCATCGAAGCTGTGACATTTTCCAGTTCCAGATTGAGTCATGTGCATCATGCCTATCTCCTGATTGTGCTCTGGACTTAGCCACATATTTGTACCTTCAACAAGCATTCCATCAGCCTGGAAGCTATCCAGATAGCGACAAGCCACATCAACGGCCACAAGACTGGCTGAGCATGCTGTATCAAGCGTCATGCTGGGAGGTAATATTATCAGCTAATATGGTACAAACGATGCTATATATAGCAGAGCTAGCCGTCTAAGAAGAAGACGCTCGCCCCGGTGGGGTGTTCTTTTTCTTTTGGGGGGGGGGGGGGCTTGGGGGCTTCTACATACCTTGGGCCATGGACATTCAGGAAGTGACTGATCCTGTTGCTCAATATAGAGGAGGCGAGACCGATGGTGATGGATTCCGCTCGGTTCTCCGGATCACGATTTTGAATGGCCCCATAATCTGCCGTCGCCGCATCGTTAGATATATCATTCCATTCTCGGGGTGCGAATGAATGAAAAACTACTGACCTATGAAGTTTGAACCGACAATAACTCCAGTCCTTGTCCCGCTCAGTTCCTCGAGGGTAACACCAGAGTTCTCCAGACACTCATAGGTCACTTCGAGAAGCTGCCGCTGCTGCGGATCCATTGCGATACAGTCTGTCCGACTGATGTTGAAAAATTGGCCATCGAAATGGGCAGGATCCACATCCTCCATGAACATACCACCAGGCGATTTCATAGTACGTGGCTTCATGGACTTATCATAGTGGCCTGCTAAGCTGAAGCGAGAAGATGGAGGCTCGTTGACAGCAACTCCTCCCTTCAAAAGGAAATCCCAGAGCGCTTTTGGAGAGTTGCTATGACCGGGTAGACGGCAAGCCATGCCGACGACGGCGACGGGCTGCTGAGTATGGCCCACAAGCTGTCGCCCGGAGCTGTCGATAGCGGGCTCTGAATACCCATTGTGGATGGAACCAGTCGAAGTGACACCGTCTTGTTTGGTTGAGAATTCTGGCATATTGAAACATGCAATTATGCGTCTGATACACAAAAAAAATTGATTTGGACAAAAAGCAAAAACAGTCTACTGTAGAATATCATGTAAAAAAATGATCCAATATGAAAGTTGGTTCGTAAAGACTTCGGTTTCTTGAACGCGAATTATTCACTCTTCTTATCAACCAATGTATAGGCCAGGGTTATATCGGAGCGAATCGGGCATTTTTAGTTCAACCTTGAACACTTCGGAACGTATACGTTTGCTTCACAGATAAGACAACTCCGAACGTCGTGTCTGTACGACTAGCGTATGATGTGCATCAAATTGCTTCGTATATCTCTGTGAAGACTAAGGGTCTCCACATCCATGTTTCAGAACTATACAATCATTCAATTTTCCGAGGCCGAATTAAATGGCTATCGGGAGCTTACTATGCTTGTCGGGCATGCCGGTTGGGTTTAAGACTCGGCGAAGGACAACAGCTCAGATGTCTAAATGCCGATGGTGGATCCGCCGATAGTCCAACCGGATAAGTTAGATTCCCCCCCCGCTCACTTGTTGTGATAGGGCGGCATGAGCGTATTGTAACCTTATTTTCACCGAGGGTGAAAGGCGCAAGAGGGTTAGACCAGACAAATATGCTTTCCGGATTATCCGCTATAGTCTGTGGTTGGCCAGCAAGGATTTGACATGCCGTTTTGTATTAGTGACCCGGGTTCTTGCATTTCTCAACTCATCGCTGTCATGCTTTTCGTTCAACCGTGCTCACTTTACAGGTGGCGGTCAACACTATTGGGCTTGTATTTATGTCAGCCACATTTGACATCAAATGCATAGACCACAAGTTAGTCTATCCATCTACATTCTATCAATTGTTATCTCTGCGATGAAGCGACACGAGGACGTCGAGTTCAAAACTCTGGATGGGCTTACACTGCGTGGATGGATTTTCCTGGGTGCTCTCAATAGTCCTGCTATCATAATCACACCAGGGGTACAGGCCTCCTCTACAATACCGACTTGGAAGCTTTTCGACGCTAATGACCACAACAGTTCAACATGACCAAGGAGATGATTGTGGCCGAGGTCGCAGAATACTTTCATGCAGCTGGTTTTACCGTCCTGAGCTACGATCCTCGCTGCATCGGCGCAAGTGACGGCACTCCACGGAACGAAATCCAACCTACCCGTAACATGGAGGATTATCACGATGCTCTAACCTTCATGAGAGGTAATCCTCATGTCGATCCATCACGGATCAGCTTCTGGGGATATTCCTACAGCGCCATGATTGCTCTTTGTGCTGCAGCACTTGACAAGCGAGTCAAAGCAGTTATTGCCGTGGCACCGCTGACAATCTGGGAGTTTTCGAAATGGGGCAAAGTCTTATCCAAGGCTATGAAAGATAGGGAATCTTGCCTGGCTGGGAACCAGCCGGTATATGTTCCCATGCTGACCGAAGAAGGTGAAAACCCCGCGGGATTCGGTACAGGTTTCGCAGACGAGGACATATACAGCATGATTGAAAGAGCTGCCAGAATCGAGCCCAACTTCGTACCGCAGACCACTCTGCGAAGCTATTACCACATTGCGGCATTCAAGCCATTCGGAATAATGCCATTTGTGTCTCCGACTCCAGTCATGGTTGTGACTCCTGAGCACGACGTTATTTCACCGGTCAAACTGCAGACAACAATGATTTACGACGTGCTACAAGAGCCAAAGCAGAGGCTTCTTGTAAGCGATAGAGGGCACATGAATGTTCTCAGCGGGCATGGATCGGCCGTGGCTCTTGACGCCCAAATTGAGTTTCTGCGTCAGACGTTTCATGCCTAGGTGTATGGCAAGCAATTCTTCACTTTTTCATATTATATTGGTCAGCATAGCATTCAATCTATCGAGATAAGAACAAAACATAGAAGATCTTGGTAAGATGTGCGCACCCGAGATCATAAGTATGTACAAGACGACCTAATTACCAGGATTTGGAAATGTGGTGATAATCCTATATCTCCTACCTTCAAGCGTCACCTCGCCCAATGTCCAGGGATCTTTCTCATATACTCACTGCAGCAACAGCCTCTTCAAAATGTGAGTTGGAAATAACTATTGATATGTCTGGGTCACCACATTTGTTCTAATCAAATCAGGATGCAGTGAAGTCACTTGTCATGCCCAACCAGTTCAACTTCATTTGAATGAGTCGAAAGGTGCAGTAAGCTCTTGAGATGAGTTAGTAATAGATTGAAGAACGTAAAAGGGAAAATAAAAAAGAAAATGAGGGGAGGTGATTTGGCCCAGGGATCCCCGGGAGAGAACCTTTATGCTGGTTACTCTGGTGAATTCATCCTGTGGTCCCACAGGATGGCTAGCTCACTGTTTACCGACACAGCTCGCTTTACTTTCTGATCCTTTGTTCCTGTGATCTTCGTTGCACCATTGCTTAGCCATATGAACTGCAAAATTATATTGCTATTATTCCTAACGTTGGTCATGTTTAAGGTTTGTATAGCTCCGTGTTTGAAGGTACATCTAGAGCAATGTAAGAATCACTGGAACGATAGAGTGATGGGCACCGGTATATTAAGAAAACAACTAAAGCCTGCCGTTGGAACCACCTGTACGGCGATCCAACGGTCCTTATATACGAATCTGTATGCCCCCACGTGGAACCCCCACGCAGTCCTGCAGCGCTCTGACAAGCAAACAAGCCAAAATCCGTGAGAACTTAGCATTCCACCTCAATTCAAAGAGAGTCCAAGTTAATTTCCTCCTTGCGTCGTCGAACCAAAAGCATTGCGTTAGGGTCTAAACCTAGGGTCATTCCGTGAGAGATAGGCTGTGGCTCGTGATCGTCAGGTAACTTCCAGTCATACTTCAACAACAAGTGACAAAGCGCAATCTTGAGCTCATTGGCCGCGAAAAATCGTCCTGGACATGCATGATTGCCGTGCCCGAATCCAAGGTGCTTCTCGCTTGTGGTCACCAGTTGGGACAAGCTCTGTTCTGCTGGAATTTCCCTCATGCGAAGAAATCGGTAAGGATCGAACCTATCAGGGTTATGGTAATATGCTGAATCCCACATATGAGCGTTTGAAACTGCGATTCTCTGACCCTTACGAATTGTGAGCCCAGTAGAAACTTTGACCTCTTCTAAAGCAGCGCGACGCCATGTGACTGCCTACTAGTTATTTCAAATTTATAGGGGATATACATCGTGCGACTCACCTAGCATCACCGGCTTAAGCCGTTGAGACTCCTTGAGAGTACTATCCAACAGCTTGAGGTCGTATAGTCCTTGTTTCGTAAGGCCGTGTGTTTGTAGTACAGATATGATTTCTTCCCGCAGAGGCTTGAATAACTCCGGATGCCGGGCAATGTTAAGCATTGTGGCTTGGAGCAGGTCGCTAGTGGTATGAATCGCGACCATGGAGAGAGTGATTAGAGCAGTGGCCGGATCGTAACCATCGTCCAATTCCTGTTCGAACCATTCGAGGCAATGATCATCGTCAATAAGGTTTTCGCCGCGGGCTAGTGCGTCTCTTCTATTGGATTCGCGCTCCTTGATCAACGGCTCAAGCACCCCACGAGTCTCCGCTAGTTGACGACGTGTCTCTCGACAGGATGGAAGAAACCAATGCACCAAGGGCCGCACGGGACGCGACCATGCTCGCAGATCATCTCCGCTAGCGAAATTTTGCGCTGCGTACCTTGCCGATGCCTGGACCCAACTTTCATTGCGGGAAAGGGCCTCTCCCATGAAGACTCGTGAAGACAGACGTGAGATCAGGTTCGGTATATATGTTGCGAGAGAGATTTCGTGCCATACTGTGTTATGTTAGTTGCATTTCCCCGTTGCAAGAAAAGAACTACCTTGTGAATCAGTGAATGACTGTTGCAGAGCGAGAGTGGTCTCGTCAGAAATTGGTTTCGTGAGTTTCGCTGTCACCACAATTAGGTATTCTGGTCTAGTCTTATTCTAGGATCCATTTGAGGCTTCCCACCCAATACTTTAGTCAGGTGTCTCGTGATCACCGCTGACAGCTTGGGATCGCTGTTAGATGGTTCAAAGCCAGGAATGTAGGCATGGCTGTCCTGAATCAAGAGTTAGGCCAAACGTACCATCGATAGCAACTGACTTACATCTTGCGTCACCCTTAGATAATCGAGGCGTGGGTCATTACGCAGCTCGTTAATCAAATGTGGTGGCAGGACAAGCACCTCGCCCCACTCAGAATTGACCATGCACGGTGTATCCGGGTACTGAAAACGGCCCTTCGACAATATCGTCCTGCTCGACGTCATGAATTCTTTGCGAACCGCAGAAGCTGTCAATGCGAAGCGTTTCTTTGGGTTGAGATATGGGAAATCTTGTGATTGACTTTTAACATGATAGATGAACACTAGGAATATGGCAGCGACACTGATATGCGCAAAGGGGTGTTCGGTCCACGAGAATATCAAAGTCACTGCGGATTGCACTTTGGAAGACATGGTGACAGATGAATAAAATTCGCAAAGTGGTGGAAGCGGTGGAAGCTGTACAATGAAGGGGCAATGAAGGCTAGCTCAAAACTTATAATTTTCCCTTCCCCTGTTTTCCTGGAAAAATTCATTTTAATGCAACTTCCACCGGAGCGTTTTTTGGATTCTCCAATTGTTAATTGCCCGAGCGGTTCCAGGATATGGGGCTTCAGGATGCTCACGACTGGCTGATGATACATTAAGGTATGGTTCCGACAACGCCGCACAGGCCGAGGCATCAAGTGCGGTATTATGTCGCTATAAGAGCGGGAAACTTAGAAAATTCATTCATGCGAATCTGCACGACACCCCCTTCCCGGGGTACGTAGCTTACAACTCCTCCAGGCAGATTTTCTTATGCAGACCGAGACTATTCAAATCGCTTTCATGATCAGGAATGTTGTATGTTATCCAAGAGGCACTACTTCCCGCTCCCTTCCGACTCTAGTTCCGTTGCAACAGTTGATAGTATTTTCGTCCTTATGATTCTGTTGCACCGACATAGCGGGTACCCACCCCAAATCACCCTCTCGGGTCCACAAGGTAGCTCTTAGACTCGGGGAGAGACTAACGATAGTAAATCTTAGTGCCTCAAATATTTTATACCTGGCTTATCGAAATACCGGACTATACGCAATAAAAGGCAAAACTGGATGAGCCTAGGCCTTTCACTAAACGCACAAATTGCGGTGCCGCTTATCATTCTAGTATTAGTCTAACATGATTGTTTTCATATTCCTAATATGCAACACGGAATTGCCGAGATGTGAAGCCAGTATACTCTAGGTTTTCTACCCATGTATGCTCCTTATGAATGTTGCCACCTAACTTCCGCAATCGCAGCTGCCCTTGGCGCACAAAATTTCCGATACGGAAATTCTTACTACATTGCCTAGTGGTATATGTACCAACTCTACTCAATGCTAGTGTCAGAAATCTCTATAGAGGTCCCTGCGTACACGAGTTTTAGAAGTCATTAATCGTTGAGTCATATATATGACGCACCAAACCACTGCGCTAGCTAAACAAAATGTGAAGCTATATATTAGGAACTAGCCTAATAGTGGTTATGGATACGTTTAACAATCAATATAAAGCAGGGTTTCGTAAAAACCACGAAGACTAATATATACCAAACAGTCTATTTTATTGGGTTGTCATATTATATCCAGCTTCGATTTAAGTTAATAGCCGGTCATAAACTTCCGAAAAATTGCGATCGAGTTCCGAAGCCTTCGATCGGGGGGTTTCTTTTTTGTCTACCCTCACATTTGGCGAAGGTATTACACCGCTAATACCTCCGGTGTAGCATCGAAATCGCTTTTTCGGTGAACTAATAACCAGTTAGACAGGAAATACTGGTCCTTTTGCAAGCATCCTTCCTGTAAGCTTTACATCTGCATGAATGATGCATCGCTGCAAGGGATGCAAGAGGTGGTTCATGTTAACTTAAGGGCGCATGCCAACATCTCTGCATGTTGGAGTTACACGTCGGAGTTCTTAAAATTCACAATCTCTTCCCTAATGAGATGTGTGACGAATTATACGGTCGGGTTTCTTAGATAAACCTGGAGTATAGGTCTGGGTGGGTTTATGCTAACAAGGTGCGCTAGCTAAGAGAATACTGTCCGAAGGCTCAGCTCGTTTCCTTTTCGCTTATGTCGTGGCAGATACTCTATGGCACCGTTCCCGTCCCATGGGTATGTAGATCCTGGTTCGTGATCGTTTCCCAACGATCGCGAGCATGCTCTTTGCCCATCTTCGTACAGTGGCATGTGTGCTCAATGACAGCTTACACAATTAAGGAATGAACGACAGCAAGGTCGTCAGTTTACATGATACGTGAAGACACCTCCGCTCGCCGCGTTCTAATTATGCTTGCGAACGGCTGATACTAGGCCATTTGGAGAGCGCTGTTACGGCACCGCTAGGTTAATAAGGACTGTCACGTATTATATCCTATAGTTATGCTAATGATTAGTGGCTATGATCGCTTAAGTAACACGAGCCATAAGAACTAGCAAACTCAATCTGATCAACTATGACATTGAAAAGTCCACAACGGCTAGGTTATCCATGTGCACAAAGGGCAAGATCTACCATTACTTTCACTCGTGTTAGAATACCTCTACATGAGTCGGCCTGATTATGCGGCTAGCCATAAAAGAATGTATTTGATGATTGATGCTAATAGTCGCTCAGCTCAGTGCATATCGTTTAGTGAGTAAATTGACGGCCATGCCTGTCCTGTTTGGTGGCCCCATCCAACTGGATAATTTTTTTTTCTTCTCTTTTTCTTTCTTTTTCTTTTTTTTTTTTTTTTTACCGCTTTTCTTTCCGTTGATCCGGCGAGGTTTTGGAGTGGAGACTAGATATATATTGTGCAAACGTCAAAAAATGAAAGAGACATTGAAATTCAGGCATAACGCATTCACCCAACCAATACACCTTGAGCGATACGCTCGGGCATTCCGCCCAAAAGCATTGTCTTTGGGACCTTGGTGGCCTGATCCTCATGTGTAGATGCGAAAACTTCATACTTTTCGTCATGCCACTGGCCAGCGGTCAGAGTGCGGCCCTCGCTGTCTCGGAATGTTTTATCAACCTCCGGACGCAAGAAATAAGCAATCGAATACCGTTCCTCGTTCAAAGGAACTACTCGATGGATGCAAGAGTAAAGTTGGTGGCCTGAGGCGAATCGTAGAGAATCTCCAACGTTTATGATCGCATGCCCATCACGCGGCTCCACGAAGCCAAACTCTGCGTTTGCTTCGTTGGCGGGCTGGACCTGAAGCCCATACTGGTCGCTGAACAAGAGGGTGAAAGAACCAATATCAGTGTGCTGCTGGTGACCGGTGGACTTTTGGCCAGGGGCATGGGTCTCAGTCTCTTCGCTAGGAATGTAACGAAACATTGCGAGGGTACTATTGGAGGGCCTCCAGTTTCGATGGAAAGACTCGAAGCGGTTTTCGCCGGTCAGACCAAGCACGTTGGAGAGACAAGATAGCATTGTCTTGGTGATCAAATCCCCACCAGCAGCAAAGTCTCGAAGAATCTTGACATCGTTGTTGTTGATGATTCGTGGAAGGTTAAGGTCGGTATCCTTCGACAATTCAGAAAGAGAGACCTATGTACATTTAGCAAAGGGATCTTGTGTTCATAGAGGGTGCCAAGAGTAACGACCTTCAAGCATTCATAGCCATCTCTGCTATCATTATCGAGCCCGGCATGCAAGCCAATCGGCTCATAACTTGAAAATAGAGTTAGCTATAGAGGTGCTCTACCGAAAGCATTGACAGAAAGTTACATACCCGTGCTTCTGCTCTGGGAGCCCAATCTCGTTTTTATCAGCAAATTTGGAGTGAAAGAAGCGGCGCATGAAACCAAGCAGTCGATCTTTATCGTCAATCTGACGGCGACCGTTGATACTGCGAAGATCCAAGTAGAAGAATCCTTCATTTTGGCAGGACTTGAGTAGTCTCTGAACTTCATCGATGTCGTTGCAGACTAACTTTTCAAAGTCAATGGTTTCAAGATCGAGGATCGGAATGTCTTTGCCTTCGTGCTTGAAGTATCGCGCGTTTTTAGGTGCCATGATGATAATAGATAAACACGAAATCAATGGAGTAGGAATTGTTATAGGGAAACGTTGGAGTCTGGTGCTTGTTCGTCAAAAGAAGATCGATTTCCATCGAAAACACATCAGACATTTATAGACCTTTGTCGTTCGGTAAACCTTTCGGGGAAGTTCGTATGTTGCCAGGGTCTTACATCTCAGTCCCTGGACAATCTCTACAGAAAACTGTCCGGTCGTGATACCATAGTCTCCCCAGGAAAGCCCAGTGAAGGCTATAACTTCCAGGCAGAATCGTACAGTACCATGTTGAGTAGTATAGAGACTAAAGCTATAATGTACCGTCGTCCGCCTGGCTGCAGATACTTTCCGAATGTTGCTAAAATCAAGAACTAATATTCACATGCAGTTAATTCGGTTAATTAACTCACTCTTACTCTTTAGCTTTTCAAATTTCCCTGGATTAAGCATTTCACTTAGTTAGATTTCTTACTGTTCCATCTAAATCAAGCTTTAATGGAAATCGCAACCTTCATATGGTCATATCTTGGTACGTGCTATTACGGAGAAGTTGCTGCACAGGCCTGGAAACACTGATGGTGAGGAACATGGCCATAATTATTCAACTTCATAATCTACATGATGACAGTATATTCCCAACCATTTGCTAAAACGGCAAACTCGAGATAAGGATAGCTCTTCTTTGCCTAGATGCCATGTTAAGATTCAGGCTCAACAAAAGCGAACACGCGTTAATTTCACCCTGAACGAATACAGAACGAGTCCGCCGCTGTTTCAAGTTTATAATCTCAAATTACATGTGTTGAAATGTAAAGAGGCGGAAATCAAGTACGTCGGACTCTTAGAAAGCCCTATTATTAGTGGTGCTTGCCAAATACAGCCCCAGTCAGGATGGACCGGATCTGCCATGGTCGTGACACCCTCATTTCCGGAGATTTATAAATCGGAATCACAAATCGAGATTGAGTCGAAGACTTACTTCGGAGGATTACTTCGGAGGATTACTTCGGAGGCTTACTTCGGAGGATTACTTCGGAGAATTAATATCAAGACTTCTTTCACCAACCTCCCCGGATATGCACGGTTGAGAGAAGAACATAAGAAAGGTGAAGCTAACCAGAATTGGCTGAAGAAATGTTTTATAAAAGTAATGTAAATGCTGAAGAAAAGTATATTAATACTACTTGAAAGGTTGATCTTACGAACTCTTTTATACATTAATCCGATACTCCAATATTTCAGTGTAAACTTCCCCCAGCTTTCTTTGTTTCATTGGTCCCCACTCCAGCTACGATGTGTGGATTCATTGCCAGTTGCTTTTGTCAACATACTGGCCTAGTCAGCTGCATCAACGATGAAAATTTCACTATGCTTGAAGACAATCACAAACAGAACCACGGTTTAGCTACCACTTACGAACGAGAGCAACTGTCAAAGAAACTGGATGGTGCCATTGACAGGATTCGACATCGCGGACCCGACGGTTCGGGTACCTGGGTCAGCGCGGACGGCACTGTTGGCCTTGGTCACTGCCGTCTCTCAATCAACGATCTGTCTGAATGCGCTTCCCAGCCACTTCATAGCGATGATGGGCTTGTTCATGCTGTAATTAACGGGGAAATCTATGACTTTGAACGTCTACGTCACGAGTGTGAAGAGAAACATGGCTACGTCTTTAAGTCTTCGAGTGACAGCGAGGTCCTTGTTGCCCTTTACAAGGCGTATGGTGCGCCAGAGTTCTTCAGTCACCTCCGTGGGGAATTTGCCTTTGTTCTTTTTGACGAAAGAGAAGGAACCCGTCGTGTGCTTGCTGGGCGCGACCGTTTTGGAATAAAGCCTCTTCTATGGACCAAGCTGGATAATCGTGTGCTCTTTGCCTCGGAGGCAAAAGCCTTCCTAGCCATGGGCTGGAAGCCGCGATGGGATGTTCGGAGCCTCTCAAGTAGTGGATGGATGATCGATGACAGAACGCTTTTCAAAGATGTGCGAAAGTTGAGACCGGGTCACTGGATCGAGGTCAGCCAGGAGCGCGGATTTACCATCAATCAATACTGGGATGCTGAGTACCCGGACAAGGTATGTGATATCATGATATTCCATGAGCAAAGCTAAAACGTTGCGCCAAAACACAGACACAAGTAGAATCACGATCTGTCGAGGAAATGATCCTTGGTGTTCGGGAGCGACTCGTCGAGTCTATCAGACTACGACTGCGTGCGGATGTTCCTGTTGGTGTCTACCTTTCTGGTGGCATTGACTCGTCGGCGGTTGCAGGAATAGTGACTGAGCTCATTCGGAAAGAAGACGTAAAACTTGGTAGTGAGCGGGCTACAAGGGTTTCTTGTTTTAGTGTGAAGTTCCCACAAGAGTCTGGGCATGACGAATCTGGTAAGTAAATAAGCCATCCATGTGAAGAATACAAACTAACGAAAAGTTTGAGACATTGCGGAGCGCACCGCAGATTGGCTTGGGGTCAAAAGTTACAAAAGACACGTGGATGAGGCACGGATAGCCCTTGACTTTCAAGATGCTGCGTATCATGCCGAGCATCATCATTTCGATCTCAATACTGTTGCCAAGTTCGCTTTGTCTACTCTGCCCCGTGAGCACAACATCAAGGTTATACTGAGCGGGGAAGGATCCGATGAACACTTTGCTGGCTACAGCTTCTTCCCAGCCGAGTTCCTTCGATTCCCTGATTTGAATATGCCATCCACGGCTCTTGCTCAGGATGATGTACTCCGGGAGAGTCTACAGAAATCTGCAAGTGAGGAAATGGATGCTGTGTGGAGGAGTTTTGGAGCTACCAAGCACAACAAAACTCAAGGCCTTGATATTCAAGATGACCTCATGGGGAGCACGATGCCACAAAATCTTCTTACTTCGGAGCCTGCTGATGAAGTGTTTTCCGACTGGGTCCGTATACAGTATCACGGGAAGTGGGACAGGCGAGAGACCGTACTGAGCTCACATGCGCCTGAAGTGTTGGAGAAGATGCGCAACAAGTGGCATCCGCTACATACCGCATTGTACATGTTCAATAAGGCCACCTTCAGTAACCTGCAACTCGCAGGCTTGGGCGATAGGTCCGAGATGGCGCACAGCATCGAAGCCCGGACACCCTTTTTGGACCATCATTTGACAGAATATGTGAACTCGTTACCGCCGAGTACCAAGCTTCATTATCAGCCACCAGCAGATAGTGTTGTCGATTCCGTCGACAATTTTTGGTGGAAGGCCGCTGGTTCTGCATTGCGGACTATTACTGAAAAGTGGATCTTGCGTGAAGCGGTGAGGCCATACATTACAGAGGAGCTATACAATCGTCGGAAGCTTCCATTTTTTGCACCTGTGAGATGGGCTGAGGGGGGTCCTTTGCACGATATGTTCACAAACCTGCTCACGCGTGAAGCTGTGGAAAAACTCGGCTTTGTCAACTACGATAAGGTAGAGGCCGCGCTGCAGAACGCGTTCGGCGATCAAGCGAGCTCATCCTCGTTCCGTGTTCTGTGTTACACGGGGACTTGGGTCACACTTTCCCAGAGATTTGGAATGGAAAAAGCCACTGTTGAGGAATATAGTTGGGCATGAAATTGCGGTCCCAATGAAACAACCTCAAGTCATTGCCTTTGAAGTCGACCTATCTCATAGCTAGTTACGCAGTTAAAGATCTTACGATTGTGATTAAATTGATTGCTCCCTCTTTTCGCTGGATAAGAAGCGGGGATGCGGGCTAGAATCAACGCCGGCATCTTCTTGTCCTCCGTAATCTAATATCCTATCCATACGAGTCTGAACAGAACTTTGGACTTCAATCTGATAACCTACTTTCTCGTTATGTGAGGTTGACTTCTCACGCCACTTGTGGTGAATTCATCCACCGCGCGAATACTGTGCATATGGGGCTCGAAGTCCACACGACCTTGCTTTCAAAATCCGAAAAGGGCGTATTTGCTTCCTGCGAGTGTGTGTATGCACCGTGCATGGAGTCTGTGTTCCATATCCTGTTTCCTCATGGCTTTAACATTGCTTGCCGGTATACTATCCGGTCCTTTCGAGTCGTTGTGTCTACCTCGCTGCGCCTCCACTTGATTCGCCCTTTTTTACAGTTTCGGTTAGTTATCAACTGTGCGTAAAATCCGAATTTCTCCATACCAACCAATTTCTTCAGGAGCGTAGTTTCCATTTTTATCCATCCAATAGCGAAGGTTTATCATGCCATGCTTATCAGTGTCCATATGACCTAGTCAATGCCATAGCGGTTCCGAAAACGACGACATTCTACTCTCAATACCCGCACCTAAAAACTTTAAAAAGCGATAGCCGAGATAGTCTTCAATTGCAAGGAACGCTCTATAAGTGGCGTTCATCTCGTCGTGAAGAAAAGCCAGATTATGCGTCCGCTGATCCGACATGTACCTGGCAAGAGCCTTCACGATATCGCCCGTTGGCAGCCAATGTAACGTCATGCATGCGCAGCCGGACGAACTCCCGTAACTGCTACAACTCCGTAAACTCCCCGGGAGACCTCTAGCCGACAAGAAAGTGAAAGCTATTTTCGCTACTGCGTCAAGTTGAGACAGACCGCTGATCGGTTCCACTTTGGTGAAGGTTCGAAATTCATGCCCTGCATATTTGCTGGCCCTCGGTCGTATTACATATGGATAACCTACCATGCTTATGGATGCGAAAGAATTCCCAGAACGTCACTGATCTGCCTGCCAGATATGTTGAATGACCTCGGCATACCCTTTTGCCTAGTTTGCAGAGCAGTTTATATTTTATAACACTTTTTTATGCTTGAAGGAGGCCGTGCAACTCTCCTGCATACCGGCAATGCCAAGTCCGGAGACTCGAGGCCGGGTCAATTTAATATTGGACAGATATCATTACTGCACACGGAGATGTGAGAAGGATGTCATGTATTGCAGAGCCAAACGATACCGTGTGTAATCGTATTCGAGATGCCCTCTGATTAAAAGATTGAGCAATTGTTACGTGACGCTATACTGTCTATTTCGACATTTTCCGTTATGATTTCGCGTTTCTTGTCAATTTTTCTACTACCTTCGAATCCAGTTGCCGAGTAATCCAGATCGACCTCACAGAGCCAAGAGTGTCCACTGAATGCTGCTATAATTTTGTGTCTCGCGGACCGGTTGCGCAACGAATAGACTTGACTGGCAGAACATTTCATCTATTTCTCAGATAGGGTGTGTGGGGTAAGCAAGTTCAGTCTAAGCTTACTAAAGGGGAAAAGCATTAAATATCATCTATGGTTCTGCCGATGTCGTAATTTTGCCTTCAGACTCCCGTACTCACAGTGTTGGTACGCTGCAACCCCATCAAAGATGATCTATTATTACGTACTTTACTCCTTTTCCTCTTGCTTCAATCCTTTCGAGTAAGGAAATTATGCTACTAGAAAATCACACACGCATCTATCATGTCTTCGCCGAACCTCACGCAGCCACCAGGACAGGGTGTATCTTCTGTTTTGCCGGTGAAAAGACGTCCGGCCTGTGAGCGATGCCGCAGCCAGAAACTCAAGTGTCTTCGAGACGAGGGCAATTCGGCTGGCGCTTGCCTCCGTTGCGTCGACTCTGGGGTCAGATGCGTCACGAACAGGCACAGAAGGCCAGGTCGCCCTGCAAGGAGTTGTGGAGAAGACCAACAGGCTTCTAGTACGAGGACAGATGAGTATAGTGGAAATGTGTCTGCTCTTAGCACAGTCGTAGACGATGTGTCTTGGACAATGATGGACGACATTACGCTGGACTCAATTATGTCTTACGCAAATGGGACCACCACTGTTTATCATGATACAGGACAGTATCTCGACACTTTCGGCTTCGAAGATGGGCAAGAACTATATGATCAAATGAGTAGCCACACTGGTGTGACTGCAGACTATGGGGCTTCCGGATCAAACCAGAGTTATAGCGAAGACTTGGAATGCGAGCTACTTCAATTACAGCAACAGCTTACGAAGCTGATTATCGACCTAAGGACACGAGGTTGGAATGTTACAACTTCGTTGACGATAAAACCCCAAACGGTGGACCACGATATCTACAAACAATCCCATACAGACGGACCGGGCTTTAACCCGATCGCTGAAACGCTCGGAATGGTTTCAGAACTCGACAAAATTCTCAACAAAATAATGAATAACGTATTTCCGCGTGAATCTTTCGCAACTATCAACACGTGCAGCTGGGTTCGGAGCCAATATGTGTTGAGTTCTTTGGCTTGTTATATGCGCATAATCTCTGCGTACGACTATATAGTCTCACACATACTAGATGAGTATTCGAAAAACCCAGTTGCAAGAGAATTCATTCTTAATGGAGCTCCAAAGCTTGCAATTGCAGGCTTTGCGGTCCCATCACCGAAGAATCTGCTGGGCCAGCTTCTGGCGCAGACCTTGGAACAGAAACTCTCGCCAATCGAATCGACATTGGGACTCCCTTATCTATATCGTGTCGTTCCAGAGATGGAGGACTATCATAATCGAAAAGGAGGCAGGTTACTCAAGGAAACAGACGGGAAATTGCTCTTGGATACGTTGGAGAATATAAGCTCTGGAAGCATGATGAGTTCGACGGAGCCTAGTGGTGTACAGGCATTGAAAGATAAATTGGATCGCCTTAAGTCGCTGGGTTTGAGCTAGGGCTACGTTGGGTATTTCCTCGAGTATGTTAGACGTTACACTAGGATATACAGGGAGATATGTTTTGAGCATCATTGGTATTTCGTTCAATGACCAGACACTCAGCTGAAAGACATCGTTCGCAGTCTACCTGTGACTTGACTGCAGAGATTTCACATTCGAGCTATGTATCTCTCCTATCCCTTCACATCACCTTGGCACCTTGGCACCTTGACCACCAAATCGCTCATTGTTGCCTAGCCATCCCCAAGTCCTACCGTAACAGCCGTTATACTGGATCATGATATGAGCTATACAGAATGGCTGCGAATTCACTGCTAGCACCCTCAGCAGAAGATGGGTTTAGAGATTGGAACTGCCATGTTTTCAGTGTGCTGAGGGCTCTTCTTTCCTTCCTCGCCAGAAATCCGCGCTTGGTAATAGTAGCTAAGCAATGGGAGATCCATTGCATTGCACGGAACACATAACTTATATGATTTTTATACGCTCTTCTACTCATACCCTCGCCCTATACCTGGCTGATTCCATAACCATTGGTTGTGCCAACATACAACAGTGTTGCACCTGCTAAATTCTTTTATTGGTAACTGAGAAAAAAAAAACACAAGAGTGAAAATAATCAGAAAGCTGCCCTATGGGATCTTACAAACCTTCCATCTTATTGACTTGAAGCTCTACCACGACTGTGGTGGGGATTTGGCTCCACTAACTGATGCTAATCGATCCGCCGCCAACGGCTTTTCCAACCCGATCAAGGGCTTCTACCACATGTACAAGACACCGATCTTGAGCTGTAAACGCCTGTGTCAACGTTATCACGGTGCGTGTCGATGCCGACGTGGTCACTCGCCAAGGGGTTTGCAGGGGCTTGCCAAGCCTCAAGCTTAAAGGAATGCATGTAAGTTTGGGCATCTATCCCTTTAAACTCGGAAATCGGGTCGTTTTGGTACGTACCATAATTTCCACTTATTGAACCAGTCAAAATACAGATTTGACCGCCAAGGCATACTAGATTATATGTAGTTTAGGTCGCGCATTGTATTGCAAACTGGCACAACGCGTCGGTTAACAAATCAATTTAACAGCTGACTAGTAAGTCCTAACTAACTGGAAGTCCGATTTTGTGTATTGAAGATGTGTGTTGTTATAGTCAAGCCCAGGTTAAAATGGGATTAATTGACTGGTCCACTGGGACCCAGGGAAATGGTGATATCGCCAGAAGCTGTATTCTATCGGCTTGGCAGGCGGTGCCAGTTATCCTAGCACAGCTTACAAAGCTATTAAGAAAATTGGTAGTGCAGGAGTCACTGCACGCGAAAAAACGCGGTAATTTGCTCTGTTAATACTGCCAAGTACAAAAAGCAATGTGTAGATATGTACAGCCGATACCAAATGTGGTGGGATTAGCGGTACGTACCAAAACGACCCGATTTCCGAGTTTAAAGGGATACGCGAAATTAGATGGTGAGGAGGCGCTGCCGCCACTATGCTTCACTTACTTCTTATGGGCTCTTTGAATTTTCATTTTATGACTTCTCTATGTAGTTGTACTTGTAAGTCCAATGAATTCGATAGTGCCCGGTATTGGGCGAAGTTAGTTTACGTGTCTAGATGGACCGCAAAGACTGTGGTCTTCAATTGGACCACCGCTTCCTAGAGGTTATCCATTACTCAACTCTGAGTGACATGGATTTGAGGAATAGTAACCCTGTCGATTAGTTACGATATGCACCATCCTCCCTGTTTCAATGACTCGCGTTTTTATCAACTAGGTTGTCTTCCAAGGTGTACGTTGGCATATGTTCTAGACCTGCCTAAGAAAACGAAGCTATGTTACCATCCGGTGTCCCCGTTCTTTGTGAGTCTAGCGCAGCCTGAAGACGATTGGTGTATTTTCGGTCCGATAGAACGATCCATTGGCATATCGGTCAGAACGGCGGGTTGCGACTCTAGCTCCAAGATCCACTGTTGAAGAAACGCCCTTGCGGAGCTAGTCAATTTGGCTGCATTGTAATATATTTGTCGTTGCTTTCCAGATTGATGCCGGTTTCTGACTAATGCACAAGACTTTCAATGCCTTGTCAATTCTTCGTTGGGTTTGTCGTAAGCTCTTCCTTTATAACTTACGGGAAAGCTTCTGCTAGCTGCAAAGGATAGACTACATAGTAACTAGCATTTCTGTCAGCCTCAACCTAAGTACTGGCAGGGTCTTCAAGTAGAACCACTCTGACAAACATATGGCCTTTTCATAGTGTGTACCTCGATGGTCTATGTAGGGCCCAGTGATACCCCAGAACCATATGCATTCCATTTGTGCTCCTGGAACTTCGATCTCCCTCATTCGAGTACTGCAGTCAGGGAGGCCTCCTGGACACCGGCAAGGGGGAACAGCTGAGCAATGTGTTCTTACAGCCAAAGAACTGCCCAACAGACCAGTCTGCTGAGTACGACTTCATGGCTACGTTAAACATTAATCCGTGCATCCGATCGGGTCAACAAACATCTTTTCCCCGCCTCCTCCACACTCGTAACGGAGGTTCCCGCCTCCTCCACACTCGTAACGGAGGTTCCCGCCTCCTTACTAGCACAAGACTTGCGCAATCCTTACCTTGATTGAGTTTCAACCAGGTGGGTAGCTCGGCAGATTCTTTTTGGCCACTAAAAACCACCATAATATAGGTACGCACGAACTGCGCGATTAGTAAGCTAAAGACGGTATATCAGAGGCATGCATATGGGATAGAATTACAGTCACGACCAATAGCAAAGTGGCGGGCCACCTCAATTTCCATGCCAAGAGATCGGGCACGGAGAACGTTGAATTCTAGAGCAGAATCTCTTCAAACTCTTTGCAAGCTGTGCCTCGGAAATAATTAGCGAGAGCCTGCCCAATCGCGTGCGCTATAGGTAGTGCACAGCAGTAGATGACCAAGGGAATCGACAAGAAACACAGAGATAAGTCAACTGATGGACCAACCAGCCCTGATCATACGATGTAGCATCTTCTCGGGACTTCCGGCCGAGGTCCCCGGCCAAAATAAACTTTCGTAGTGCGATTTGCTCGGGTCCTCCCGCTGACCGGTCCCACTATGCCAAGTACACGAAGTTTAAATTTGCTTGCACCCATCTCACTCGTGTATATACTAATTCCATGTATGAGATCTTTACATATAGGATTTCCGCGCCCTATTCAGCTATGCTAATATATTCAACCATCACTTCGGCATTTCTTTTGGCTAACTAATAACTTAAGCCTATAGTTCCCCGCCCTAACTTATGCTTAGACTGCGATAAATTGCCACTCTCTCTATATAGTGGTCGTGCCAAACATCAAGCTGCCTAGTGATTGCTATATCGTTTTTAGCCCGATGACAGATGGATTTATGTATAAGTTATAGTTGTATCTCGACCAGCAACGTCGAGAGCGAGCTAGAGTGAGATCACCCCACGACGTCGATAAGGTCAACGTGACGAACTATACAATCGGGTTTCTTCGATAAACCTGGAGTATGTGTCATATTATGCTGCAAATGCGAAATGGTCCGGTCGTTTGCTCATCAAGAACTCTTGGGAAAGTTGAATGCCCCATGCGGAGCTTTCAGTCATGCCAGCTACCAATCTCAGGTTCTCGGTCACTCATTTTGCCCACCCTGGCCAGAAACTGGAGTTGTGGAGGATAGCACATGGGAATCGAAGGAATATAATAACTGTCCAAACTTTTCGAAGGGGACTCTTTGAAGCATTCGACATACAAATGATCAAGATCGAAGACAAAGGTCGTGAGATCAGGGTACACCTATGAGTTTATTCGTTCGTATTGGGAGTATGAGCTCTTTGTATTTCGGAACAAACATGAGAGCTATCGTTGCGTCTAGTTAGTGCGATCCTCGCTTGTACAAGTACAGTATCTCAGGGTCGCTGTATTTCGTTCACTGATTCCCTCCAGCTTTACATGTTCTCGTGTGCCCCAATAAGCTTCTGAGACATAAGTAAGTAAAATCACTTATGGTGAGTCGTGATGGGCATAAATAAGGCATAAATATTATTATTTAGAGACTTCCAAACCAAAAGTTTATTCAACCCCTTTTAAGTTGTGCCTTGAAGATAACTGAAATCATATTTGGCAGCAATATTGTGATGCATGGCTTGCTCTACTGTGGCCCAAGGTACTTCATCAGCTGTCCGTACGGCTGGTCGCTGTAGGGTCTGTTGGTCCGACCACGGAACAATCTCAATATGACTGGTCGCAGAACCTGTGACATTAGGCACATCATGATAACCGTGATATGGTAATCTAGACCCATGGTCGAACTTTTGTTAATGGAGTTTGTTGGCGTCATCCTTCATGTTCTGCGCTTTCATACTGCCTGCACGAATCATCCCGGCCATTCTCGTAGCGGGGTCGAAAGAAAGCACTACCAGTACTTTCATGCCATTATTACCTCCGCCATTGCTCGTTGAATAGACGATGGTTCAGGAGTCGCCTGCGGCTGTAACGTTTCCGCGGAGCTGAGCTGGATTCATGGCCCGGAGATGCAGCTTATTGCAGAAAGCACCTTCGGCAGATGTATGAATGGTTGCTGCGTTTCCATTGACCAAAGCCCCTACCCGCAGGGCTCCAACCCATGCCCTTGAACTCCTTTCCCAGCCTCTGTAATAATGTTTTCCCGGTTTTCCGACATACTACCCGGCATTTCGAGTTTGTTCAAGTCCGCCACGGCCCTGATCAATAGTTAATCACCTTTCCGAATCCAAAACATCCTCATTCATCATATTGAGAGATATCCTGCCTGCTTAGATCTTCGTGGCCGTGGTATTCGCCACTAGACGGTTGATATAAGAAAATAATTAAGCGAGCCTTTATTGCTAGCGCCTGCCAAACCAAGCCATTACTAACATAAATTTCGAATACATCGACCTCTGCTTCATCCTCTACTCTCGGCGGCGATAGCCGGAGTAGTTTTCCTACTGTGGTCGCAGGCGTATACTGTAAACCCCCT